GGAAAAAAGTAAGGGGAATTGGAGTTGTACCAGATATTGGATAGTCAGCTGATAAGTGAAAAATTACGTCTACACTGCAAAGATATGGTTTTGGAAAATAATAATGAAAAACCATAGACAGGAAAAAGTGTCATGAAGAAGTATGTATTTTAAAAGATTAACTCTCAGGGACTGGTTCACAGCATAGACTATACAGAGAAAAAATTGTCCCCTTTTATGTAAAAAGAAAATGATTTGATTGCGTCTCAGTATATGTGACTGTTTTAATTACATAATTTCTTACTGTATCTTTAGATAATTATTTGTTCAGTGGCTATTTAATGTTTTTTTTTCGAGATAGTGTCAACTCTGGTTTCTGTTTTATTTTGCTGTTTTTTAGAATGGCTGGATCTCCTTTAACCCCGGATGAGTAGAACTTTCTCTTGGATGAAAAAGTAACTTGACTGATGGTGAGGTTCTTGACGTATCTTGGTAAAGTCTGTGAGTTCTTTCAATGCGTTCTTTTATCTTATTACTAACGCACACTAATTTGTTAGAAAAGACTTCTACACAATGTAGGAAGTCCTTGGCGAGGAGAAATTGGTGAAGATCCTGAAGTCACGGACATCAAATCTACTGGGGCTCGAACGGCAACTACTGGCAGACCTCATGTAGCCTACTTTGTGCCATGTCTAAAATAGCTGACTTCCTGTCGGCAGGATGTGAGGTAGGCTGTTGTCTCTGTAGTCAAGCCTGGCAACAGGATGTGAGCTGTTGTCTTGTAGTCAAGCCTGGCAGCAGGATGTGAGGTAGGCTGTTGTCTCTGTAGTCAAACCTGGCAACAGGATGTGAGGTAGGCTGTTGTCTCTGTAGTCAAGCCTGGCAGCAGGATGTGAGATAGGCCGTTGTCTCTGTAGTCAAGCCTGGCAACAGGATGTGAGATAGGCCGTTGTCTCTGTAGTCAAGCATGGCAGCAGGATGTGAGATAGGCTGTTGTCTCTGTAGTCAAGCCTGGCAGCAGGATGTGAGGTAGGCTTTTGTCTCTGTAGTAGCCCTGGCAACAAAGGCTGTTTGCCTGGCTCAACAGGATGTGAGGTAGGCTGTTGTCTCTGTAGTCAAGCCTGGCAGCAGGATGTGAGGTAGGCTTTTGTCTCTGTAGTCAAGCCTGGCAACAGGATGTGAGGTAGGCTTTTGTCTCTGTAGTCAAGCCTGGCAACAGGATGTGAGGTAGGCTGTTGTCTCTGTAGTCAAGCCTGGCAACAGGATGTGAGGTAGGCTGTTGTCTCTGTAGTCAAGCCTGGCAGCAGGATGTGAGATAGGCCGTTGTCGCTGTTGTCAAGCCTGGCAGCAGGATGTGAGATAGGCCATTGTCTCTGTAGTCAAGCCTGGCAGCAGGATGTGAGATAGGCCGTTGTCGCTGTAGTCAAGCCTGGCAGCAGGATGTGAGATAGGCCGTTGTCTCTGTAGTCAAGCTATAAGGCAGGGCTAGCTTTTCAACTAAGTTTACTCACAGACCAAAACTTTCAAAATGGAGATTGTCTCAGGCCTAGGCCCCAACATAGAAATGTAATTGACACGATGTAGCTGGCAGTAAGCTGCGGGCCATATTTGACCTACGGGCCGTCACTTAAATAGCTCTGTTATAAAGTATTATGTTCAGTTTGGTTATCTTAGTGTTGGATTTAATTATGTTGGTGTTGTGTCCGATGATTTTGTGAAGGTTGTGTTGGTTTGAGATCATTATCCATGTATCCTGTAGTTGTGAGAGTATTCATAATTGACTGTCTCACATTATCAGCAATCGGACATCTTTGTGTGGGTTCCGAGGCCCAGCTTTTGGTGAAAAAAATAAACCCACTGCTCCTCTAGGAAAGGGGGGGGGGGTGTGCCAACAGTCTGCACACAATTAACCAGATCTATGAACAAGACCTAGAACAAAATCAGAGGTCAGAAATGGGTGATAAACCAGTACTTTCTGCTGGAGTTTACAACCAGTGACAGTGAAGGAAGAAGAAATGGGTGATAAACCACTACTTTCTGCTGGAGTTTACAACCAGTGACAACGAAGGAAGAAGAAATGGGTGATAACCCAGTACTTTCTGCTGGAGTTTACAAACAGTGACAGCGAAGGAAGAAGAAGAAGCAGCCTGTTTGCAGTGTTTATTTGTATCCCGAAGGATGACATCCATTTGTTATGGTATTTGCATTTTCCTTTGAGGCTACATTTCCGTTGCAGTTACTTGCGGAGTAGGGAATGACCACGGGGTCTGACCAACATTCAGTACTCAGGGAAAAGGCAAGACATACATATAGTCAGACCTCTACAGGTATTATCAGAATAGAAACTTTTCGCTGGCTCCTGAAGATGGTGATGTAGCACTTGAATGCCATGAATGATGTGTGTCGGTTCTTGACTTTTCTAATTGCAGTAACATCTTTTTTTAATTGAAATTGTAATTCTTGTTAAATTGTTATGTTTCCTGAAATTAGATTTGTTGTATGTGAGTTAGTGATGTTGATTTGGCAGTGTTGGCTCTTTGCTGAGCTATATTATAAACACTTGTGCACATTTTTAGCCCCCAGTAGATTTATTTAAATCTAGCTCAGTCCAGAGGCCAATGAAAAAAAGAGTGTTTCTAGTGTAGTAGTAGTTGCCTGTGTCTTCTATATTCAAAGTAACTGAATAGCCACATGACACAGCTTTTGGGTGAGGTCTTGACTGCAGACATGTGGTATATGACAGCTCAGAATAAAACACAAAGCCATGTCTTACAGATTGTCTTATTAGTTTGTTTCATCCTTTTTGTTTGGGCAGGTGACCATATTGTTTGCAGACTTGCATGCATACCTGGACAACATGAAGGCCCCATGGGAACTGCTCAACCTCAGGGTCAAGTACTACGAAGCTGTTATCAAGTCCATGTTGAAATCAATTGGGGTTGACCTTGGGAAACTCAAGTTTGTCAAGGGCACAGATTACCAGTTGAGCACGTAAGTGGCAGTTTTATAAGCATTATAACATGCAGGCAAATGTACTGTTGTAACAGTCAGGGACATGGATACAAGATGTGTACCTGTAAATATCCATGAATTTTATATGAGCGAATAGCTATTTTTTGGCAGGCCTCACCATAAAACTAAGTGTTTTTATAGATTCTTGTTTATAATTGCATTGTTAACCCTTTTTTTTTCATGTGCTGAAGAAGGTTTTTTGGCAGCACTGCTCATTTTGTTTTATTAAAGCCTACTGGGGAAAAGAAAAAGAAAAAAGCCACATGAATTGGAAACATAAGTAAAATAGGGGGAAACATGTCAGGTGACGCTAAAGATAGCAAAGAATAGAAGCGCATGGCAGGTGATAGCTGAGAGAGTCTATGCTCCATCGTGAGCTAAGAGGTACAAAGTCCCTCTTCTCTTGTCTTAAATTTTAGCCTCACATCTGACACTTTGACTTTGTTGTTTTTGAACAAACCCAACAAAATAACTGCTAGTTATCTAGTTCTTCAGCAGTCAACATTTGCTGTGCATCTTCTCTTTCATGTTTACCAGCTGTAAACTCTTGCAGAAAATGCTAGTTGTTCAACCACTTCTGAACTTTAGACTTATTCTAGAACTTGAGTTTTGCATGCACATCCATTTTGCAGATTGAGCTTATTTGTATGCAGACTGTTGGTTCCTTGCCACTCAGTCAGATGCATTCTGACTTTGAGGGAAACTCATAGTTAGTCGACTTTTATCGCATGCTTCTTAGAGAGAGAGGGGGGTCTGTTCTTGTTTTCCCTATAATGGGGCCCTGCAGCCCACACAGGGAGCTAGCTGCACATCAATTAACACATTTCCTAACATGTTGTTTGTCTTTTGTATCTCCCTTTTGTTTTCTCTACTTAATTATGATAGATTGTTTTAGGATTATGTTTGTCTGCTTTAAGCTCTGAAATGGATAGGTCTGCTGAAGATTACATATCAATTGTCATCTCATCTGACGTTGTGTTTCCAAGTATAGCACAGTGGCTGTCTTCTTTAGGGTACATTTTGTTCTTGACAAAAAGATTGCTTTTAGTTTTCCTACATGTCTGTCTTGTATTTGGCATCAAATGGTTTGGAGCACAGTGTCAAAGTAGTTGAAAGAAGCACACATTTTTTAATTGTAAAAATTTTTTTAATCTAGCTTTTGCAGACAATTCGAGTCATCACATGTGAAAAAAAAAATGTCTGTTGTCTTACAATAAGTTCAGTGTATTAACCCTTTGCATTAACACCACTGAATAATTACAATAGTTTCTGTTTCTGTTTTTCTGTAGACAATACACTCTGGATGTGTACAGACTCAGTTCCTTAGTGACAGAACATGATGCTCGTAAAGCCGGAGCCGAAGTCGTCAAACAGGTGGACCACCCACTACTCAGTGGTCTGCTGCTTTACCCTGGTCTTCAAGCTCTGGATGAGGAGTACCTCAAGTGTGATGCTCAGTTTGGAGGTGTAGATCAACGAAAGATTTTTACTTATGCAGAAAAAGTAAGCCATTTTCATCACTTTTGGTTGGTTGATACACCTTCTAGAACAGTTCTTTGACCTTTTTACAGACGGGAAATAGGGCTAGTGGCTAAGACTGGAAGTGACAACAACATCTGGAGATAGCATTTGTTTGTCACATCCAGTGTTGTAACATTACAGTTTTTGTTTGTCACATCCAGTGTTGTAACATTACAGTTTTTGTTTGTCACATCCAGTGTTGTAACATTACAGTTTTTAGTTAATGAGAGATTGCTGCCACTTAGAGTTTATAAAAGCTGATATGCCTGGCTGAGGCCTTGTTTCTGAGAAGCAGAACATTTTCCTGGGCGGCCAAAAAATGTCCCTGGACTAGACCAGTCTGCAGAACATTTTCCTGGACTGCCAAGAAATGTTCCTGGACTAGACCAGTCTGCAGAACACATGTTGAAAAACATGGCTCCAGAAGACTAATTTTTTTTTTTTTCTTTTTTCTTGTCAAGTCCAATGCATGGTCAAGTCAATTGAGCTTTGAAGGACTCATCTCTTTCACAATAAGGTTGGTGAAGAGACTTGCCTGCCCGCCAGTATCATAGTACTATTTCTGTAGGCCTTGTATTGCAGAGTTCTCCTTACCCTCTCCAAGCTTGTAAGTCAGCAGCGTGTGTAAGGCTGGTATTGAAACCTTACATTTGGATACAGGTGTAGCTAAGGTCATGATTCAGCACAGCACACACATGCTGGCTGGGGTTAGGTCAAGGCTGGTCATATTCCCTCAAGGAAAACATTTAACCCACTGACTACCAAGCCCATTAACCCTTGCATTTCCCCAGAAACAATGTATTTTAGTGTTTACTAAAAATGCCATAGCTTCACAACTATTTGATATAATCTCACAATATTTTGTATTTTTGCACCAAACTGAATGAAGAACAGATTTCGAAAAAAAAGTTGTTTATTTTGTTTTGCATCATCATCATGTGGCTGTAGATTGGTGCATAAAAGGCAACCGGAAAATCTTTTATCTGACAACAATAAAGGCAAATAAAAATGTCTTATTTTCAAAAACATATTTAACAAAAATGTATAATATTTTGTATTTTTGCACAAAATTAAACCAAGAACACATTTAAAGAAAAAAACAATAAGGTTTACTCTGACATAGTCATCATCATCATGTGGCTGTAGATTGTTGCAAAAAAGGCAACTGAAAAATCCTTTGTCTGACAATAATTCAGACTCCCAAAAAATTTCACAGCTTCACAACTGTTCAATATCACTTATCCTATCTGATATTGTTTGCACACAATTAAATAGAAAATATCAAGACAAATGTAGATTTACTGTTTTATATCATCATCATGTGGCTGTAGATATGGTGCTAAAAAGGCAACAGAAAAATATGTTATCTGACAGCAATATATAGAAAACGCCCCCGTGACATGTTGGTGGCAGCAAAGGATGAGTGGAGAGATGGATATAGACTCTGGTAGTCTGAAATAGACAGCTTTTTCACAACACATGTGACGCAACAGTACAAGAAACCCTGTCACTTCATTTAGGGTTGTGTGTTTCCAGTTCCAGCACTAATCTTTGTCTCAGCATAACGGTTTGTTTCTTTAGCAAACACAGCAAGTATGTCTTTACTGAAGAAAATATCCAGTGGTTAATTTGTTCCTTCTGGCAGAAATAAACCAGAAGTGCCAGTAAATGGGGGTACTCCAGGAAAGCCTTCTAAATCACAATGCCAGTCATGAACCATTGGGGGGCGTGGCACATCTTCTCCGGACTCGTCAGATGATGATGATTCTGAATCAAAAGCGGCAATGATGTCTTCGTCATGTGCAGGCTCAGGCACAAAATCTTTATAATCTGTGGGCTTTGACTGAATAACTCTCACAAGAACTATTAGCATCATAAACTGCAACACTAGTGCTTTCAGCCGACAACACTGTCTTTGTCAGACGACTTCGAAGCGTCAAACTGTCGTTTTACAGTCGATGATGTTTTGAATGGCACTTCATTAAATCTATTATAGTCATAGCCATCAAATTGTTCAGAAGTGTCTTCAAATTCACTTTTTGAAGCAAAATCAAGAAAATGGAATGCATCATTAGAAAAATTAGGAGAGATATGGCCACCATGATGGTTCCGATAATTTGACACCATGATGAATTTTTCGTCAATGTCTCACCGTCATGGGAGCTAACTAAAGAAATTCGTCAAATATTTACTTTAAGCACTACGAAGTTATTTCCCTTAATTAACCATACAGAAATGAATAAGCTAGAGGTTTCAACTAAATCCATCATAAAAATCGCGATTTTTAACATGACGGCGAGCATCCAAAGCTGAAATCGCAAGGAGTGTGACGTTGGTAACAGGAAGTAAACGTCGCCTCGTCGCATTACGTGCGACGCTGGTAGTCAGTGGGTTAACACTTGACATGTCCCGAGCTAGCTGACTCCAGCCAGTTTTCTCTATGTTAACTGGCTGTTAACTCCAGCAGAAAGTTCTGGTTGTTCGTCCACTTCTGGACTTTGGCTTTTTTCCAGGACTTAAGGGGGTGCCCCCCACCCATTCTACAGATGTAGCATATTTATGTGCAGACTGTTGGTTTTTTCACCTCTCAGGTAGATGTACTCTTGACTTCAAAGGCAGTTTTGATCCTGTATACACTGTCCAGGCTATTGGTTGTGTTTCTAGGATGACCGTGGGGAGATGTAGCTAGGTCTGGACAAGCCCTGGTCCTAATGCACTGCCAGGTGAGGCTCAGCACCTCTACATCCCAGGGAAAGCAGTTAAGTACTGACCATCACTGACTGTAGAAGACAATCATCTGCTCCTTCACTGCTGAAGTGACTTGTAATGTGCTGAACTGGGGTAGCCCCTTGTGTGCAGGAAGTATGCTTACAGTTGCTGTAACAGTCTAGAGTGAGGGGTTACAGCCCAAACAGAACCCTTATTGGTGTTGTGATGTTCCACTGTGCTGATGCTTCAGTCAGATCTATTAGAGACTGGAGCACTTTTGAAATTATCTGCATGTCATGAAAGTGGTCCTTAACAATTCCTGTCAAACCAGATAACACACAGTTGTTACAGTAGAAGCTTGAGAATTACAGGAGGCTATAGGGCTAATTCGGTTGCCTGAACCATTGTGATGTTTTTGTGTGTGCCCCCAACCAAAGTAAAATACAACGTCCATCACCTGACCGGGGATTTGAACCAGAGTCTTTCACATTAGAGCTCAATGTTTTAACCATTCAGCACTCAGTAACAGTTGTGAATTATTACCGATTTATGTACCCCAGGACTGCACCAAATTTGACACATTAAGGCAAACCTTTTGGCCAGAAAGAACAACAGTGAAACGTAAACCCTATGGACCACTGAATGAACTAACGACAGTGAAATTCATGCAAGAGACAAAATTGCTGATATAGACAACTTATTTCAGGCGAACAAAACAAGCAGATTACCGATTGTAGTGTGTTAAATCATGTCAATACTGGATGGGAGTCTTGCTTAATTAATACAAATGTTTGTCCTAGTGCTGCTGAACTCAGTGACATAATTGCAGAGGTCATTCAGAACGCTTGTTAATTCGGTGCTTGGTGACAATAATACAGAGGTAATTCAGAACGTTAGTTAATTCAGTGCTTGGTGGCAATAATACAGAGGTCATTCAGATATTGATTCAGTGCTTGGTGGCAATAATACAGAGGTCATTCAGATGTTGATTCAGTGCTTGGTGGCAATAATACAGAGGTCATTCAGATGTTGATTCAACACTTTGTCATGGTCAAGGAGATTGTATAATGCCTGTAGAAGTTTCCAGTTACTTAGTGGGCATCCTTTTGTACTGCTGGCCTTCAGTTATAGATCATTACAGAGAAGGGCTGGATGCTACAGAAACATGGTTTCATAACACTGCTACTGTCTCCTGTGTGAGATGATTTGAGAACCAAGACCTTCTCTTGTCTCTTTTTGTGTTAGCCTCTCTCTGTTTCTTTGTGAATCACTTCTCTCTTTTCTATATTAATTACTGTAAGTGTTTTCTTTGTTAACAATGGTTAGTTTGTCAGTTTTTATTGCTAGTTTCTGTTGAGTTTGTAAACTTCTGTTTGATTTTGATTGTTTTTGTCCATCTGTTTGTGTTTACTGAGTCATAACTGTTACTCTTTGCACTTATATCTTCATAATCTTCATTCACACCCGTCTGAATTCAGAGTCTGCCTCATTCTTTTTATCTTCTTTACAAAACTGGAAAAGTATTTAATTACTTTGTCTCCAGCATGTAATTAAAAAACCCTTTGTTTTTCTATTTGTTTCAAGTACCTGCCACATCTAGGATATGCCAAAAGGTCACATTTGATGAACCCAATGGGTAAGTACTCAGTAAATAGGCATTTGTTTGTTTATTTGCCAACGCTTTGTTGACAAAACTGATAGTGTGTGTGTGTGTGTATATATATATATAGAGAGAGAGAGAGGGGGGATCTATATTTTGCATAAAATATTTTGTTTAAAATGTGAACATTCAGTTGCGATATGCAATATTCCATTCCCGTTTATCATTAGAAAGATAGTGATAATGACTTGTTCTGATCTGCCCATAGCAGAAGCTTCTAAATAAAAAAAAAAATAAAAAAACACGGTCAACATTAAACTAAAAAGTACTTGATATTGGGGAAATATGGATTTGAAGGGCTTTAATAATAATACAAAATAAGTAGAAGGCGTATGAAAAAAAATGGGGAAGAAATATAAATTTAAATAAGTGAATAAAATTAAATAAAGCTATGTTGAATATTGATCCCTTTAAGACTCAGAATGCCAAAACTGTGAATGTAGGGGTAGTGGCTGATTTGATCACCAGAACAAGATTTAATAGCAGTAACTGAGAGATCGCTTTTGCCTCAGTGGTCAGAACAGCTGAAATGTAGGGAAGATAGATTTAAGATTAACCCACTGACTACCAAGCCTATTAACCCTTGCATTTCCCCAGATACCACGTATTTTAGTGTTTACTAAAAATGCCATAGCTTCACAACTATTCGATATAATCTCACAATATTTTGTATTTTTGCACCAAACTGAATGAAGAACAAATTTCAAGAAAAAAAAGTTGTTTATTTTGTTTTGCATCATCATCATGTGGCTGTAGATTAGTGCAAAAAAGGCAACCCAAAAAATCTTTTATCTGACAACAATTAAGACTAATAAAAATGTCTTATTTTCAAAAAATATTTAACAAAAATGTATAATATTTTGTATTTTTTGCACATTGACTTGTTTTACATCAAGTCTAGGAACATTTGGAAGTATTACAAGGTAGTGCTGTGTGGATCAGGGACAGTCTGCTTCTGACAAGTATATTGCGAGCCTGGTCTCAGTTACTGATATTAAATCTTGGCTCTGGTGATCAAATCAGCTGCTTTTCCTTTGAAAATCATTTCATTGACAAGACGTAGACATGTGTATGCAGCTGGTGGTCTCAAGCCGTGGCTTCTTATAAGTAATAAGAAAAAAAACCACACCATGCTTTATTGTGTGCATCATTTCTATGTGTATTGACATTGGTAATTGAGTGGATGGATATGTCTGTGTATGTAATTATTAGGAAAATGGATCAGTAAACACTCTCTATCGAAGCTTATTTTTTTCTGGATGTTTCCCTCTTTCAGTGCCTGGTTTAACTGGAACCAAAATGAGCTCATCAGACGAAGACTCCAAAATAGACATGCTAGATTCTCCGGCCCAGGTGAAGAAGAAACTCAAGAAGGCCTTCTGTGAGCCAGGAAACATTGAAGACAATGGGATCCTGTCCTTCTGTAAACATGTACTTTTTCCTTTACGAACAACAGGTAATGTCTATCGCTGTTTGTCTTCATGCTCATAAAACATGAAATGAGGTATCGGTTGTAGTTTATTTCATCCCAAATACAGATGCTATCTTCTTCTTCTTTGTTCTCCAGCTGTAAGCTCCGGTGGCAAGTCCTGGTTGTTCGACCATTTGGACTTTGGCTTGGGTCTGTAGTTGATTTCCCCACATGGGGATAGGTGCTATCAACGCCAGTAAATTCTCCTGTCGTGACCTGCTGTCTGTTTTGTACCCACATTAGACTGTTATGTGGCTCACATAGTAAATCTCCACTCTGTTCTGGTTAGCACCGACCTTTAAGCTGTATGTTTACACACTAGCTTATATTGATGAATATGCTGTATAGTTCTTGCCACGGCAGAGATGGCAACAAAGAAAGCCAACAGACACCGTATATATGTGTGTACAGATTCTGGGGCGCAGTGTGTTGTTGTTGGTGTTTGTGATGTTTATGTAAATTTGTTGAGTTGCTCCTTCTCTGAGCTAATAAAGGAGACTAAGGCATCTGTGAAAAGGTCTGTGTGCTGCAGAAGTTTTCCTAAGTCTCAATTCTAAGCCTGTACGAAACAAATGATGAAGTGCCTTGCAGAGTGACACAGATTATGATTCTTGTAATCACCATGTATAATTTCATGTCTTTAATCTTATTTAGACATACCTGTTTGTTTTTTAAAAATTTAAAAGCGTATGTATCTGGTGGGTGAATCTGGTTTTCTAGAAAGCCCATTATGGACATATAAAAAAAACAGTTATAGAAAAAGTGATGAAGTCTTCCAGAAAAGGAAGAACCACCAGTATCAAAACTGATGAACACCAGTTTAAGCAGGCGGAGGATTTTACATATCTGGTGAGCATTTTTTCAGAAAACAGAAGAGTGAATTAAGAAATCCAACAAAGATGCAATCAAGTTTTAAGCCAAATGGCACCAATTTTGAAATGCAGGCATGTGAATGTGAACTCTACTCAACACAATATTCTTACCAACGCTTTGCTATCAATGTCAAACATGGACACTGTTTTCAGAAGACGGAAGGAAAATAGTTACGACAGAAATGAAATGTTTACCTATAATGCTAGGTGTAATGAGAAAGGACCGAACAAGATTGGCATCATCAGACAGGGCACAACAGAGAACAGTGTTATACAGATACAGCAGTAGCATAGCCAGAGCTCGACCATGCAGAATATGAACCACAGAAATATCAGAGACTGAAAAGTAATTTATATTTTACAGATCTGACTTTCTTGAATGCAGATGTTGAAAAAATCATGTTATATTATTTCCATTTTCCTGTCATCAAACTGACACATTCATCTTCCCCCAGCTTTTGAAATCAAACGACCAGCAGAGTTTGGTGGTGATGCTTCATTTAACAGTTTTGAAGAGTTAGAACAGGCTTTTGCTAAAGAGGTGAGTTACACTTAATATCATCTATGGCGAACACATTTCCCCTTTTGTCATATGTGCTAGGAGCTGTGGTAGTGTAGTTGTTAGTGTGCTTGCCTGTCACAACAAAGATTTAGGTTTAGCTCAGGCAGGAAATTTCAAAAATAATAATATAAATGCATTAACTATATTTGTGTAAACCTCATACTTTTGTGAGTGATAATGTCAAGAGCACGCCGGCCGCCTTGACTTCCAAGGAAATTTTACTGGTGGCCACTTTAGGCCGGGTGATCTGTGGACCTAGGCCAATGTTTGACCTTCTGATGTATCCTGAGTGGGAATTAAACAGTATAAACGCTGAGCTGGCTAATATTTGTGCTGCGCTATTTTTCTCTGGAGTAGTTACCCCTGAGTATAAATGGTAAAGTTGTGTTCTGTAGAAGACAGCTTATGCTGAACAATTATTTGCTGTCTCCGTGTTTCTCTGGAACTTTGTGTCCGTTACATGTTATCTATAAAGGCTTATTTGGTACTTAATTTATAACTTACCCCTGACGTCACGACAAAGTCACGGGAGACAATCCCAATAAATTCTAGGGTGTTCAGATTGTAGTTTCTCGCGATTTCTCTACAGCCAAGGTTAGGGTTAGCATTAGAAGACAGTAGATGAACACTAAAAAAAAGGACCACATAACAGCACACTTGCACCCCTTGAAATAATGGACTGTCAGGTCAGCTGTGGATTTCGTGTTTGGGGTATGTTATAAATTAAGAACCGTTTATTTTGATTGTAATCTGCATTGAACACACAATACAGGCTTTTGTAATCGATTGCTTGCATTAAAAATGAGCTGCAGTTTTTGGTGTGAGACTGTCGGTGTTGGCATATCTGACATGCTTGTGAGCTCTAAGGTTTTGCTGAGCCTGATATGTTTTTTGATGCGACAGTGACGGAGAGTTTGTCTGATTTCCATTGACACAGTTACAGAGCAGCTAGGGTGTAGTTGGAACTTTGACTAATAGTGACTGTAAATCTAGATATATCTTCAAACGCTTCCTCTCCTCGTGTGGGTTCCGGGGCCCCATTTGGCAGAAAACAAGAATATACCCACGGCCTCCCCAGCAAGCATGTCCTGAGAGTCAATAACTGGGAACTTTCTTCGAGGTGGGAGTGCATCTGCCTGAGAGGCAGTGAACCAACAATCTGCATACAAGTAAGTCAGATCTGTAAAGTGGCGCGGTGATTTATGTCACAGGCGTGAGGGGAAGTTAAGTCCAACATGATGTGTATAAGGAGATACTCCGTACGTCACTTGGGCGCCAGTCCTTCACTATCCTGGTTGTACGGAACCTTATGCAAAACCCCTGCAGCACGTCCTCGTCGTGCGCCACGGATAATGTCTCAAATGAGCATTAACAGAGCTGTCAGGGGATCTCGGAGTTCGGCGGCCCCCAGAGGTGATGTGTCCTTGTGGCTCTCATCAGCCCGCCCCCAAACGCTTGGGTGAAAAAAGTTATCAAAACTCATTAGGAACATGAGCAGGTTTGCCAAACGTACAGCCAAAATTACAACCCTTGGTTAAAAGACTGCGGAGTAAAGAGATCATTGCTCACTGCACATCCTCGGTTAACCCTCAGTGTCGTCGTCACCGCGCTGAGGTACACCACAACAGCAACCATCCATAGGCTGGCCGTACATGTACATCCTCGGTTAACCCTCAGTGTCGTCGTCACCGCGCTGAGGTACACCACAACAGCAACCATCCATCAGATGGCTAAGCCTAAATGTCCGACAAAACTGGATCATACGGATCAAAATCTGACCATCACAATTTGTATTGAACGGAAAAAGACCAAATGCCCACACCCAAAGACCCCACTCGCCCGAGTGTTGGGACAAAACTCATAACGATATGCTGACGCAGGATGTAAAATTCTATCGGGCTAACGGCTCGTCAAAGAAATCTAACGTGCGAAGAAAAAAAAAGAAGTACCTATCTGTGTGGTCACAAAAGTCCAAAACCCACGGGCTGCTCCCCGCTGACTTCCAGAGGGAGCAGCCCCTGTCGAGCGGGAGGCCTGATACGGTTGTGAGGTTAAGCAGGCATGTGCAGGACGTGACGATTCCTTGGGTGAGCCCAGAACCAGAGCGCAATGTGCCGGCTCTGCATAAATGGAAGCCTCCTTGGATGGCGGGGAATGCCCATGATCTGCCCCTGCCTTCCCTTGAGGGCTAACTGTTCCACAGAGGGCTGCCCCAAAGGGATGCTCAGGGGGCAATACCTGCGGAGAAGTGGACACCACACAAATCAGGCAACGTCTTGACCCACACAAAACAATGGCCAGAGTCACCCTAGAAATAGGCCTGACGTCCTCCCTCGAAGTCGGAGTACAGCTGCCCATGAGGCAGGGAAATGAAAAACGGTTGTACACGCAAAAATCAGGTCCAGGTGAAAGCCAAAAGTCCAAGCGGACGATTAACCGGGACCTTCCACTGGAATTCACAGCCAGTGTTTGATATAATAATAAAGATCTGTAAAATGGATTTGTATGCAACACTCAGGTTCTGGAAGAAGACTATAGACTCCAGAGACAGTCTACCAACCAGAATTTTCAGCAGGAGTTTAAATCCAGTGAACACAAAAAAGAAGAAGATGAAATGCTTCCTCCACCATTATTTATTGACTGCATGTCTGCCCCAATGATTGTGAACCGTCTGCTTTGTCTTCCCTCCCAGTTAGTTCACCCTGGTGACCTGAAGAGTGCAGTTGAGCGCTACTTGAATGAGTTGATGGATCCCATCAGGAAGGAATTTGAATCTCCGGAGTTAAAGAAACTTGTATCTGAAGCTTATCCAGTCCAAAAAAAGAGTAAGTTTTCTTGTGATCTTCACATTTTAGAACACAATGCTTGCAGTCTCTGTGTGGTCTTTCTTTTGCATTGAAATGTAATTTTTACTTCTTTAATAATAGAGCGTACTCTCCTTCACTTGTCAGCATTTTCTATTTTTTGATCACTAAAATAATTCTCTGGTCATTGCTGCCTGTGTTTACCATCTTTACAGTGTACTGGGAAGGGGCATCTCTAAGCCTGGGGATTTAGCGCCGCATGGCTGGAGCTGTTGCTCAAGACTATCCAGGTTAGGGTTTTATTTTTGCTTCCAGCTGTAAAACCCATGCTGGCTGAATAGTTAGAACCTTGGGCTCTCATGCGAGAGGCCCAGGTTCAAATCTTCGATAAGGTTGGAGACAAATTTGTTGTCAGCGGCAAAAATAAAATCTTAACCTGCAGGCCATGGCGACAACACCAGCCATGCAACACTAAATCCTCAAACTCAAATTCCCACCACCCCCCACCCCCCCCCCTTCCAACCTGCAAAAGTACTAAACACAAGCACTAATTGGCAGTAAAACCCATATCCTACCAAGGATTTGAACCTTGACCTCCCACATGAAAGTCCAGCATTCTTATCCATTCAGTCAGCTGCTCCTCATTCTCTTGTCAGCTTGATAAATTCCGAGAAAGTTTCTACTGAGCATCTCCCTGTCAGACGTTTGATACTTTCATAATAATTTATAAATATTGATATCAACTTGACAGAGTCTGGTGCCACTCCAAAGATCAGTAATGCTGTAGAAAGTGCTGATAATGGCATTGTTCCCTCCAGGCTGGACTTGAGGGTGGGCAAAATCCTAACTGTTTCACAGGTGAGTAGTCGACATTTCACAGCTATTTATACCACCTGTTTGTGTTCCTGTGGCAGTAGACAGCCGCCTAGCTTTCTTGGATGGCAATGAAATAATAGCAGGTTAACCTCCCTTTCTTCGCACATTGAGTATACTTAATGTCTGTTTGAAGATTCAACTGATTATTGAGGTGAATATGGAAGAGAATGCGGACTGCTGGAGTAATTAATGATTACCTGAGGAATACTAAGGAAAGTAGAGCATATGCAGCTGCAAAAAAAGTCAGCATTCTTTGTTCATGTGGGCAGTGACCATCATGGGCAGAACAGAGACAGTAGAGAACATCATGGGCAGAACAGAGACAATAGAGAACATCATGGGCAGAACAGAGACAATAGAGAACATCATGGGCAGAACAGAGACAATAGTAGAGAACATCATGGGCAGAACAGAGACAGTAGAGAACATCATGGGCAGAACAGAGACAGTAGAGAACATCATGGGCAGAACAGAGACAGTAGAGAACATCATGGGCAGAACAGAGACAGTAGAGAACATCATGGGCAGAACAAAGACAGTAGAGAACATCTTGGGCAGAACAGAGACAGTAGAGAACATCATGGGCAGAACAGAGACAGTAGAGAACATCATGGGCAGAACAGAGACAGTAGAGAACATCATGGGCAGAACAGAGACAGTAGAGAACATCATGGGCAGAACAGAGACAGTAGAGACCATCTTGGGCAGAACAGAGACAGTAGAGAACATCATGGGCAGAACAGAGACAGTAGAGAAAATCATGGGCAGAACAGAGACAGTAGAGAAAATCATGGGCAGAACAGAGACAGTAGAGAACATCATGGGCAAAACTGAGGCAGTAGAGAACATCTTGGGCAGAACAGAGACAGTAGAGAACATCTTGGGCAGAACAGAGACAGTAGAGAACATCTTGGGCAGAACAGAGACAGTAGAGAACATCTTGGGCAGAACACAGGCAGTAGAGAACATCTTGGGCAGAACAGAGACAGTAGAGACCATCTTGGGCAGAACACAGGCAGTAGAGAACATCTTGGGCAGAACACAGGCAGTAGAGAACATCTTGGGCAGAACACAGGCAGTAGAGAACATCTTGGGCAGAACAGAGACAGTAGAGAACATCTTGGGCAGAACAGAGACAGTAGAGACCATCTTGGGCAGAACACAGGCAGTAGAGAACATCTTGGGCAGAACACAGGCAGTAGAGAACATCTTGGGCAGAACAGAGACAGTAGAGAACATCTTGGGCAGAACAGAGACAGTAGAGACCATCTTGGGCAGAACACAGGCAGTAGAGAACATCTTGGGCAGAACAGAGACAGTGGAGAACATCTTGGGCAGAACAGAGACTAATAGAGAACATCTTGGTCAGAACAGAGACAATAGAGAACATCTTGGGCAGAACAGAGACAATAGAGAACATCTTGGGCAGAACAGAGACAGTAGAGAACATCTTGGGCAGAACAGAGAACATCTTGGGCAGAACAGAGACAATAGAGAACATCTTGAGCAGAACAAAGACAGTAGAGAACATCTTGGGCAGAACAGAGGCAGTAGAGAACATCTTGGGCAAAACAGGCAGTAGAGAACATCTTGGGCGGAACACAGGCAGTAGAGAACATCTTGGGCGGAACACAGGCAGTAGAGAACATCTTGGGCGGAACACAGGCAGTAGAGAACATCTTGGGCAGAACAAAGACAGTAGAGAACATCTTGGGCAGAACAGAGACAGTAGAGAACATCTTGGGCAGAACAGAGACAGTAGAGAACATCTTGGGCAGAACAGAGACAGTAGAGAACATCTTGGGCAGAACAGAGGCAGTAGAGAACATCTTGGGCAGAACAGAGACAGTAGAGACCATCTTGGGCAGAACAGAGACAATAGAGAACATCTTGGGCAGAACAGAGACAGTAGAGAACATCTTGGGCAGAACAGAGACAGTAGAGAACATCTTGGGCAGAACAGAGACAGTAGAGAACATCTTGGGCAGAACAGAGACAGTAGAGAACATCTTGGGCAAAACAGGCAGTAGAGAACATCTTGGGCAGAACAGAGACAGTAGAGAACATCTTGGGCAGAACAGAGACAGCAGAGAACATCTTGGGCAGAACAAAGACAGTAGAGAACATCTTGGGCAGAACAGAGACAGTAGAGAACATCTTGGGCAGAACACAGGCAGTAGAGAACATCTTGGGCAGAACAGAGACAGTAGAGAACATCTTGGGCAGAACAGAGGCAGTAGAGAACATCTTGGGCAGAACAGAGACAGTAGAGAACATCTTGGGCAGAACAAAGACAGTAGAGAACATCTTGGGCAGAACAAAGACAGTAGAGAACATCTTGGGCAGAACAAAGACAGTAGAGAACATCTTAGGCAGAACACAGGCAGTAGAGAACATCTTGGGCAGAACACAGGCAGTAGAGAACATCATGGGCAGAACAAAGACAGTAGAGAACATCTTAGGCAGAACAGAGACAGTAGAGAACATCTTGGGCAAAACACAGGCAGTAGAGAACATCTTGGGCAGAACACAGGCAGTAGAGAACATCACACAGGCAGTAGGCATCTTGAACAGAGACAATAGAGAACATCTTGTTCAGAACTGAGGCAGTAGAGAACATCTTGGGCAGAACACAGGCAGTAGAGAACATCTTGGGCAGAACAGAGACAGTAGAGAACATCTTGGGCAGAACACAGGCAGTAGAGAACATCTTGGGCAGAACAGAGACAGTAGAGACCATCTTGGGCAGAACACAGGCAGTAGAGAACATCTTGTTCAGAACTGAGGCAGTAGAGAACATCTTGGGGAGAACATCTTGGGCAGAACAAAGACAGTAGAAAACATCTTGGGCAGAACACAGGCAGTAGAGAACATCTTGGGCAGAACAGAGGCAGTAGAGAACATCTTGAGCAGAACACAGGCAGTAGAGAACATCTTGGGCAGAACAGAGACAGTAGAGAACATCTTGGGCAGAACACAGGCAGTAGAGAACATCTTGGGCAGAACAGAGACAGTAGAGAACATCTTGGGCAGAAACACAGGCAGTAGAGAACATCTTGAACACAGCAGTAGAGAACATCTTGGGCAGAACAGAGACAGTAGAGAACATCTTGGGCAGAACACAGGCAGTAGAGAACATCTTGGGCAGAACAGAGACAGTAGAGAACATCTTGAGCAGAACACAGGCAGTAGAGAACATCTTGGGCAGAACAGAGGCAGTAGAGAACATCTTGGGCAAAACACAGGCAGTAGAGAACATCTTGGGCAGAACAGAGGCAGTAGAGAACATCTTGGGCAGAACAGAGGCAGTAGAGAACATCTTGGGCAGAACACAGGCAGTAGAGAACATCTTGGGCAGAACAGAGGCAGTAGAGAACATCTTGGGCAAAACAAAGACAGTAGAGAACATCTTGGGCAGAACAGAGGCAGTAGAGACCATCATAAGCAAAACAAAAACAGTATAGAACATCATGGCATCTGGAGAACATCTTGGGCAGAACAGAGGCAGTAGAGAACATCTTGGGCAAAACAGAGGCAGTAGAGAACATCTTGGGCAGAACAGAGACAGTAGAGAACATCTTGGGCAAAACAAAGACAGTAGAGAACATCTTGGGCAAAACAAAGACAGTAGAGAACATCTTGGGCAGAACAGAGGCAGTAGAGACCATCTTGGGCAAAACACAGGCAGTAGAGAACATCTTGGGCAGAACACAGGCAGTAGAGAACATCTTGGGCAGAACACAGACAGTAGAGAACATCTTGGGCAAAACAAAGACAGTAGAGAACATCTTGGGCAGAACAGAGGCAGTAGAGACCATCATAAGCAAAACAAAAACAGTATAGAACATCATGGCATCTGGAGATGTCAGCCATAGCAGAGACAATCTGAGAGAAATGATGCATAAAGGAATTGATCTAGAACCCTAAACACTGAGATCTTTGGTTAAACAAAATACGGATGATGATCGTGATTCAACCCTTCTTTACAGTGAATGATCGTCTCTGATGTGTTTCTTACATCTGCAGTAAACACTGCTGCCTCATTTCCTGTCTTCATTTTGTTTGCTACAATAGTCTGCTATCACGTGTAGCATTCCTGTACTTGTCTGCTGGCGTTTGACTCCCACTTGTATGTAAAGGTAAAAAAAAAGGTAAAGTCGGGAGATGTGAACCAGCATCATTGCACACAGTTATAAACCATAAGTGCTCTGCCACCGGTACAAACAACTGATAAGAATTGTCCGCCTGTGTTGCCGTTTGCACGTAACTCTGTAGCTACAGCGATGCTCCTCTATTTACCCCAACTCTGTTACTCATTTTCTAGAGGCTGGGTGTACCCCGGGAGACGCCCAGTTTCGAACACCGACCGTGTGCTGCAGCGAGTCGTAACTGAATTTGAAAGAGAGCCTCTTATCGACTGCGCTAACTCAGCCTCCACTTGTATGTAGAGCCATGGTAGTACAGAGGTCGGCACATTTGCCTGTCAGCTCCAGGGTCATCATTTTTAGTTGTGTGTGTTATTAAGGAGCGGCTGGTCCTCCAGTTTGGAATGCATGGCTTTCATGTGGGAGACCTGGGTTTAAATCCTTGGTAAGGCTTTAATTTTTTTCTCTTACAGGTGCAAAAATAAAATCCTAACCTGCACAGTCCGTGGCGACAGCACCAGCATTGCAGTCCTAAATCCTCAGGCTAAAAGACCTTGCCACCATAAAGATGGTACATTCCTGCACATATGACAGTGTGTTTTTGTAGTATTTATCCACTTGGTATTGAAGGCTCAAAGGTTGACAGCCAGTGACTCCAGTAAAGTAAAGGACCCCTTTCCACGCCTTTAGGCATATAGGGCTAGACCTATATTTTATAGACCAATCAACACAAGATGTGTTAAATGGTCAACATCACGCCGGCTGTCTTTACTTTCCAGGACTGCACTCGGTACCCACTCAAGGCTGAATCAACTTGGTAGCCAGGGCCAATGACTCAAGGAGCCACTATTATGATAGAATCAAAAATTCAGTCCTAAAATCCTGTTTTACTGTTAAATTGGATACTTTAGGAAGTGGCGAAGTGGTTTTGTGTGTGTGTGTGTTTGAATCCTTGAAGTAGGGGGTTTTCCTTTTGTCAATTTCCAGGGCCTCCCAAATTGTTCAAACTAGAATGTTCTGAAAAGTACAGGAAATAGCCATGATTTTGATCACATCCGACGTCCATTGCTGATTGATCTGTACATTGGAGGCTTGCAGCATATACAACCCTCTGCAGCGGTGGACGAGGAAGTTGACTGTTACTGATGAATATTGTGATGTCAGGCATCTCAAGTTTCACGGCTTCCATTGTTTGTTTCAGCACCCAGATGCAGAGTCCTTGTTTGTGGAGACAGTTGATCTAGGTGAGGCTGAACCACGTACTGTCATCAGTGGGCTAGTCGGGCTGGTGCCCAAGGAGGATCTTCAGGACAGGCTGGGGGTGTTCCTTTGTAACTTGAAGCCAGTTAAAATGAGAGGGATAGAGTCCAAGGCCATGCTCATGTGTGCTTCATTGTAAGTTTATTGTAGTTTTTAAAGATGTCTCATAATTCATTGTCTTCCTGTTCTTCTGCGTTTGCTGTTAAAAATTAGCGGTTGGCACATTGTGTTGTGGTTTATGACTAGGCTACAGTATTTTCTGAACCTTTCAGCCTTGCACATCTGAATGCATGAAAACCCGAATTAGTCTCCATTTATGATATTTTTAGGGGGGGGGGGGGGGGGGGGGGGGGGGGGGGTCACTATTCATTTTCCCCCTCTAAAATGAGGTCCACACAGGGAAAACAAGTTTTAATTTTTTATTGAAACCAGATTGTAATTAAACTTTTATGCCATATAAAACAGAATAATGTAATAAACTGCCATCTTGCTAGGCCAGCACACCTTTAATTTAAAAAGATGCTGTGCCACCAAATAAGTGCTGGCCATTGACCAGTCAGTAATGATACTACTACTTTCTATCTGATCGCAGAGAAGACCCAAGGCAGGTGGAACCACTATTTCCACCAGAGGGCAGTGCCCCTGGTGACCGTATCTTCGTGGAAGGGTTTGAGTCGGGCACACCAGATGACCAGTTGAATCCAAAAAAGAAAGTCTGGGAAAAATTACAGGTGAGATATCTGATGTCATGATTGTGCTAGAGTAATTACAGGTGACATTAGTGCTCCATGTAGAATGGTGAATTAATTATACAGGTGACATTAGTGCCCTATGTAGAATGGTGAATTAATTATACAGGTGACATTAGTGCTCCATGTAGAATGGTGAATTAATTATACAGGTGACATTAGTGCTCCATGTAGAATGGTGAATTAATTATACAGGTGATATTAGTGCCCTATGTAGAATGGTGAATTAATTATACAGGTGACATTAGTGCTCCATGTAGAATGGTGAATTAATTATACAGGTGACATTAGTGCCCTATGTAGAATGGTGAATTAATTATACAGGTGACATTAGTGCTCCATGTAGAATGGTGAATTAATTATACAGGTGACATTAGTGCCCTATGTAGAATGGTGAATTAATTATACAGGTGACATTAGTGCTCCATGTAGAATGGTGAATTAATTATACAGGTGACATTAGTGCCCTATGTAGAATGGTGAATTAATTATACAGGTGACATTAGTGCTCAATGTAGAATGGTGAATTAATTATACAGGTGACATTAGTGCCCTATGTAGAATGGTGAATTAATTATACAGGTGATATTGGTGTTACGTGGGAAATGGTGAATTACAGATGGGTAACATGCTGAGGTTGGACTCTGCTGTGATATAAAGATGTGCAAGCGGGACATGAACGATACAAGTTTTGAGGTAGAATAATGTGAATAGGATGCCATGGACAATGTGGCATGGAGGCGGAAATTGGGAAGACAATAGAAATAAAGAAGAAAATTATTGCAGACAGGTTAAGAAGAAACAAGCTAAAAGTTGCTGTGTCAGCAGTGGTATGAAAATGAGATGGCACAATTCAATACTGTTGCACAGAAGGACAGACAGACAGATGTCATTGAGCTGTAATTCTGCAGTAAGAGCAGATACTAGTCTTGCTAGAATTATAACAGGTGAAAAATCTGGTGTTTAAATAGGTTTAGGTGAGATGGCTAGTCTGGTTTTAAAGTTATGCTATAATGTGTACAGCCAGAAAGGTCGTCTTTATCTCATTTAACTGTGTTATTTGGGTCTGCTGCAATTCTTCCATTGAAAGTCTCAAAGCAGAAACTGTCATTTCAATGTGAGGTCGTGGGCCTTCACATATTTTAGGCTGCAACACCAGTTCTCTGACATGTTGCCTTCCTTCTCTGAGAGTTGCAACAGTTATCTGGTACGCCCTTGTGTTTAATGAAGCCGAGAGGGTTTCTCGGCTGGACAGGTCAGACAGAAAGCATTCCTCTGCTGAACTGAGACTACTGTCCTGACAGGCGGCTGCCGCACAACCTGCTGTCTCTGTGACCTTTACCTGTGCACAAGTTTTGTCTGTATGGGAGCAGTAGAGGCTGGATACTTGCCTGCAGCCAGCAGGTCTTGAGTTCGGATTAACATTGTCAGATTTATCTTTTCATGACCTGTCTCCCAGGTTGACCCAGCCTAATATGGGTACCGGTGATGTCCTATGACGTAAAAGCAGTCAGTGTGATGTTACATCACCTACTGAATGCTGATTGACCTCTATACAAAATATGACATTGTATGTTCCCATGTGCCACTAGTCTCAAAAGAATCCTGTGTTTTTTTTTTTATTTTTTTTTTTTTTATTTTGTGTATAATTTTTGAAACTAATGTTGCTTTCATTTTTTTTTTTTTTTTATGTACTCATCATTTATTCCTATAAATTTTATTTTTTTGGCCTATAATTTTTTTTTTTAAATGAATGTAGCTTTATCTAGAATCTGTATTATGTTGCAGCCTGATCTGAGAGTCAGCGAACAGAGAGTAGCAGAATTTCAAGGAAGTCCACTGATGACAAAATTAGGAAAGATAGTCACCAAAAATGTGAAAAATTCACCAATCAAATAGAAATCACCTTTATCTCTAAGTAACCTTTTACTTTATGTAGACATTTTCCATGGCTGTATCATTGTGCATCAGGTGTGATTATTTGCTCATCTGATGAATTGTGGGTTGTGTCCTATATAAAATCATGCTCATCCACCTGCTAGGAAATTTTGTTTGAGATTTGGGAAAAATGTGTTCATGTCCCTTGTGTGTGCAGTCGGCAGGGAAAACATGTTCTTGTCCCTTGTGTGTGCAGTCGGCAGGGAAAACATGTTCTTGTCCCTTGTGTGTGCAGTCGGCAGGGAATTAGGCATCCTAATATAAGTGACATTTGTCAGCAGGGTGATGAAGGACAAGGTGTTATAAACTAGTGGAGGATCCCCCGTGCTCGGTGGAGGATGCTCACGTCTTTCACTGGAAGTGACTTCAGGCAAGGGGCTACTGGGAGGCAGATAAGACCTGAACTGTGAATTTGAAGATAAATCTGTGTCGCTGTATGTCTGTGAAATGAAACGTTAGGAAAGTCACAGAGAACAACAGATTTAACTACATCTGTCTGTTGCTCACAACAACAGAATTAATTTCAGATTTAGATAACAAAAGAATGAATGTCAACCTAAGCTGACAACAACAGCAGCAGAATGAAGTTAAAAAATGTAGCTAACACAATAGACTACACGCCTATCTAACAACAGAATGGTCTAAAACCGTAGCTGACAAGAACAGTTGACCAACCTTAGCTAACAACAACATAATGGATTAACAGATGTAGAATGGTTCCTGGCATGAAGTATCTAGTCCCTGAATGTCTCAGATCTGTTACTCAGCACTAGCCTCTATCAACAATTCAGAAAATAAGACACCTAAGAAAATCATCACTGAAATATAAACAAACATGGACAACCTGAGTATAGAACAAAACTGCTGTACATTGTGTTTCAGCATGAAAGCAGTGACACTTTACAGAAACTTTTCTATGACATGAGAATTTGTTCATGTCTTCTAGTACAAGATTTCTCAATTTTCCTTCCTCTGTCTCTGTTTATTAAACAGACTTTGATGTACTGTTACACTCGCTCAAAGTGTACATTATTCTTGAATAGCTGACAAATGTTAATATACAATAACTGCACAGAGCAGTGACCCCCCCCCCCCCCCCCCCCCCATCATAATACAGATATACTTTTTGTGTACAGGGCAAAATTCAAAGTCAGGGTGGGAAGCTCTTTCCAGTTAGCTTTGTGGCAGTACTTTAAAAAAAAAAAAAAAATTTGTGTAATTGTGATAGGTTTAAATCTTTTTGAGATTGAAATCCTGTCTAGATTCTTCATCTTTATTCACCCTTACAACAGTAAGTTTGCACCTTGTGTTGTTACCTTCTATGACATGCTGTTGGGGGGGGGGGGGGGGGGGGGGGGGCATAATTTGTTTTTGCCTGAAAATGGGGCTCTGAAACCCAAAGAAAGTGTGTCTAGATGAAAGGCTTTCTTACCCATTCCTCAAACTATATAACAGTCAAGTGTGTCCCCTCACTTTAACCACCACTTTAAAATGTGGGTTATAGTGGAACAAACCACATTAATCGACATGTACCTGCGAGACAATATACAATAATTGTGTTGTTATTGTGTGTATGTGTAATATTGTATGACTATGTCAGCTTTATCTGCAGTGTATTTGCCTGGGTGGCTACTTCGTCATTTTGCCCAGGATACAAATTATTCACTGCAGTTTCTTACCTGCAACACTTGGGATATAAAAGTCATTTGAATTTTAATTTGATGGGTGTTTCAAACTATTTTACACAGTAACGTACATTATCACATTCGTCAGGCTGCAAGTGGAGACTGTCACATTCGTCAGGCTGGATGTGGAGACTGTCACATTTGTCAGGCTGATGTGGAGACTGTCACATTTGTCAGGCTGAATGTGGAGACTGTCACATTTGTCAGGCTGAATGTAGAGACTGTCACATTTGTCAGGCTGAATGTAGAGACTGTCACATTTGTCAGGCTGAATGTAGAGACTGTCACATTTGTCAGGCGGTATGTGGAGACTGTCACATTTGTCAGGCTGGATGTTGAAACTGTCACATTTGTCAGGCTGGATGTTGAAACTGTCACATTTGTCAGGCTGGATGTGGAAACTGTCACATTTGTCAGGCGGTATGTGGAGACTGTCACATTTGTCAGGCGGTATGTTGAGACTGTCACATTTGTCAGGCTGGATGTTGAGACTGTCACATTTGTCAGGCTGGATGTTGAGACTGTCACATTTGTCAGGCTGGATGTTGAGACTGTCACATTTGTCAGGCTGGATGTTGAGACTGTCACATTTGTCAGGCTGCAAGTTGAGACTGTCACATTTGTCAGGCTGGATGTTGAGACTGTCACATTTGTCAGGCTGGATGTTGAGACTGTCACATTTGTCAGGCTGGATGTTGAGACTGTCACATTTGTCAGGCTGGATGTTGAGACTGTCACATTTGTCAGGCTGGATGTTGAGACTGTCACATTTGTCAGGCTGGATGTTGAGACTGTCACATTTGTCAGGCTGGATGTTTAGACTGTCACATTTGTCAGGCTGGACGTTGAGACTGTCACATTTGTCAGGCTGGACGTGGAGACTGTCACATTTGTCAGGCTGGATGTTGAGACTGTCACATTTGTCAGGCTGGATGTGGAGACTGTCACATTTGTCAGGCTGGATGTGGAAACTGTCACATTTGTCAGGCTCACTGTTGAAGTAAGAGCCCATCTTAAAATAAATATCTCAGATCTGTCACAGAGGTATTTTTTTTAGTGCGTTTATTTGTTTAAAAGTGTGATTTGCTTGATTTTTTTTTATTTGTCAATTTAGTGAGCAGAGAAAACTCATCTGTTTATGAACATTCCCTTTACTTGTGAAGGTTAAGACTCGTGAGAAACATGGGTGGCCATGAAATTTCGGAATCTTTGTTATTGTTTGTTTGACAGCAACTGTGTTTATGACATCGTCCTTCACATTTGAACATATCTGTTGATTTTCTGCTGCCTCAGCTGTGTTTATGACATCATCCTTCCCATTTAAACATATCTGTTGATTTTCTGCTGCCTCAGCTGTGTTTATGACATCGTCCTTAACATTTGAACATATGTGTTGATTTTCTGCTGCCTCAGCTGTGTTTGTGACATCATCCTTCCCATTTGAACATATCTGTTGATTTTCTGCTGCCTCAGCTGTATTTATGACATCATCCTTCCCATTTGAACATATCTGTTGATTTTCTGCTGCCTCAGCTGTGTTTATGACATCGTCCTTCACATTTGAACATATCTTGATATTCTGCTGCCTCAGCTGTGTTTATGACATTGTCCTTCACATTTGAACATATCTGTTGATTTTCTGCTGCCTCAGCTGTGTTATATGACATCGTCCTTCACATTTGAACATATCTTGATATTCTGCTGCCTCAGCTGTGTTTATGACATCGTCCTTCACATTTGAACATATCTGTTGATTTTGCTGTCTCAGCTGTGTTTATTTCATCATCCTTCAGTTGAACTTATTTATTGTGATTACAGCTGACAAATACAGCGTTATTTATTCTGACAGAAAGCAGACTGTCAGAAGACAGAATATTGTAAAAAAGTTAAATGGCAGGCTTTCTGCTATCTACATCAATCAAGCATGTGCACCAACAAATGAAAGTGGTGAAGATAACAAAGATCGAAATCTGAAAATATGTTGCCACAACGCTGTATATTACAGTATCAAATAAATGAACATTTGTGGAGGCATTATAGACATCCTCTATAAAATCAATATAAGAGATAACAATGTTTATAATAACAGTAATAATAATATTTTTAACTAACTGATAATATAATACAGACTTTAGAGAAAAATTTCTGAGTAAAATGAACAAAACAACAATAATATGGAATGAACAACATCAAGAGACACTGCCATTAAGCAGACATTTAGAAGTAATTAGTGTGACTTTTGTATGTGTATATAACCATTCAGGTTCAAACATTACATTTGGTGATGCATTTAATATCATTGTCAGACCTGGTTCCTGTCAGCATCCAACCATGAAAGACATGATGCATGAGCTGCCAGGGTGATCAACAGAGTGTGTTGTAAAAGGCGATTAATTAGGAGTTTGCTGCGACTGGGTGTGTTGGGCCAAAAGGTGCAGATATCACAGCCTAGCTGTAAACTACAATGAGCCAACTACCCTTTTTAAGGGCGGATCAAAAGAAGATGAATAAATGAATCGATAGACAACAAAGAAAGTGTCTGGTTATCTGCAGAAGAAGCCTGAGCTACAACTGATACGGAAAAAACATTCTGATACATATAGAGAAAGGGGAACAAGAAAGAACAATGAATAGATATGAAGACTACTCTATAAAACGATATGGTACAACACAATGGGCCATGGAATGCAAGCTATAATCTCATCCGTATACTCAATGGATGCAGAAAGTGAACATCACCAAAACGGGGCTAGAGAATAAATTATTGTGAAGAGATATATAGATAATAAAAGACTGGTTACAAATCACCTGGAGGATTTGAGTTTGAAATCCTAATTATTGTTTCAATAATGTTAGCCTTGAAAACCTTCTCACAAGGTACCAACGTTCTGGAGACTACAGTGCAAAGCTTTTGTCAGTTCTGACAACCAACAGGATGTACAAGATCAGCTGTGAATCATCACATCTGACTAGAGACATCAGGGTGTAATCAGATCATGATGCAGTGCAGCATTGGATTGGGTGATATGACACTCAGGCTGGTCACGTGTTTTATTCACAGGCTCTGGGTATCTCATTTACACACAATCCATCATACTGATCAGGGGAAGAGGAATGGGCGGTAGAATAACTAACGCCTCACACCCCCCACCCATGCGCTTTCTCAAGGCTGGGCATATTTCTAGAGGTGAATTCAATCAGTTTGCATATGCTGCATCGATATGTGACATTGAGAGACTGGTTACTGGCGGTCAACCTGCCTGGTTTAGAGAAATAACCCAAATAACTGTGAAGGACTGGCCTTAGACCAGACACGGTTCTTCACTCTGTAGCAGAACGCAAGCTTAGCCTGCCGTACAAGTCGCAGATGGAAGAAAATCATCTGTACAATTTTGTAGCGATGATGCGTACACAGAACTCTTCGCCGTCGAGGTAAGCACAAGAGGGTTAATCTCCACCCCCACATAAATGTACTAAAGCACCTGGGCCTGCAGGGAAATGAACAGAAAAGGGCACTAAAACAACTGCATGAAAGGGCTGCTAGCTGACTGGAGGCAATGGAATGTCATGGGGGATAGACCTCGGTAGACTGGTCCAAGCCCCTAGTGGGAAAAGAACTTTACATACCTAAAAACCAAAGTATCTGATTTAACGTCTTCCAGTGTCTCTTTGCCAATTGCCAAAGTCTAATGTCTGTCCGATGAACACCAAACCTCACAATACCTGTTGCAAAACTACCATTCCATCTTGTCCGAATGACTGTTAAGCACAGCAGGAGATGTCTGAGGACTGGAGTCATGAACCAGGCCAGCCCACCCTCCAAGATGTCTAGGATGATAATGGGCAGAAACAATTGTTAACAAAGGACCCTTTTACTGATGATTGGGAAACTCCTGCTGTGGATGCTACTGCCATGGAGTTGTTCTCATATATTATTGACAAACATGTTCAGATTACTTGAGCTGGTTCAACAGAACTTGATAAGTTGTATGTAAACATACAGCCCTGATCGCACAGTGAATAGTAGGACTTTCCAATCAACTAGTTGCTTCACCTGAATGTGTTCATGCCAAGGGTGAACTTACAAGTGACCTTATTTGCATCAGTGAGAAAAATTGAGTTTTAGATTCAATCAAGCACATCCAAAATTCCTCCTCTTCCTACCAAAAAAATCAGTATTTAGTTACTACAGTTTATAATTTACTATGTGACCTCGTCCTAATGTTAAGTACGAAAGGTGTACACAGTAAGTTCGTCTTTGCTGGGGTACAGTATTTCATTTCTTTCTGGACGGTCAGCTTTCTTGATACCACTGTCGAAACCACAGCAAGGCGCATGGGATTGAACCCGGCATTACGAAGTGTTCGCATCAACTTAGCCACAGAGCCGACTCTCCATATAGAGCGAGTCTAAAATCTACCACAATACCAGCTCAGGAAATATGAGGAAAGAGAAGTCAACCAACCAGTCCATCTGATGAAACTAGTGGTAGAAACAAAAACTTGAGTGTGGCAAGTTCACTGGGGTTAAGTACCTAATGTAACTCAGAGAGACACCCCAGGATGTGGAAATAAACCCCACCCTGACCAATCCACAAAAGCTAGATGCTGTCTTAACCAATCACACCAAAGTGTTCACAGATAAGCCCAGCCTGACTAATCTGTCTAAACAGTCCAGGCCCTCGCTGTTTGACAAAAATGTTAACCCATACAGTATGCAAAGGAGGAAGCCCGAGCTAAGATAGCATTCTGACTACTGGAAAGGGAAAAATATAACCATGTGAATAATCATAAGTGCTGATGCAGTTTCTCTAAAAAATCCAAACGGGGAATGCTGGCTCTGCACAGACTGTAGGGAATCAAACTGGGCCAGTGAATGTCAAGCTGAGCCCCAGTTGCAGCATGGACAGCTCTGTGCTAGGCTTAGAAAGGCAAAATACTTCTCTCAAAAGACTGTGTAAGGAGTATGGGTTTTGGGGTCCCACTGTGGGGGAGAGAGAGAACAAGAATATACCCACTGCCTCCAAACATGCATAGCGTAGAGGTCGACCAATTAGGGGTGTTTAATTTGAAGTTGGAGTGCATCTGCCTAAGAGATGAGGAACCAACAGTCTACCAACAGTCTGCTTACAGACAAGCCAGATCTGTAAAACGGATGTGCATGAAAAAGTCAAGTTGAGGAATAAGACCCAAAAGCGGAGAAGAACCAGAACTTTCCACAGGAGTTTACAGCCAGTGAATGCTGCGCAGTAGTTAGGGGTATTATTCAATACCTGTGAAAGGGGATGTGCAAATTTCTGATACCTCTAGAGGTCCTAGATATATGTTTTCAATTTAAGATACCCCACCTTCTAAAGTTTGAGATTCCTTGATTCAACACCATCGATCTGTTCTGGACAAGACTTTCCAAACCTTTTTTGAGCCAGAGGTTAAAAAGAAGTGTTTGTGTAAAGGAAGAACTTACAAGTTGCATCATTTCCCCCAGTGAGACAAATATACTTGTAGATTTTAAATTATTTTTCTGTCTACCCCTTTCTACCAAATACCTACATTAGTTATTACCTTTTATCACTGTTTTGATATGTTACGTAATTAAAATTGGCATCTTTACAAACTGGGCATTCCCATGTGTGCTCAGTCCTCCAATGCAGCAGCACTCCAAGGTACCTCTAATCATTATTCCCATAAGAATTTGGTTGTAGTATCCCCTAGAAGACGGCACAGACATGCTTCACAAAGCTTAATAACTCCCAGGTCGTGCAATCATGTTAGCATCAGAGATTCAACGTTTTCTCCCAACCTGGTCCATATTTTATCACTAACTTGTTACATGACCTCTTGTTTGAATTTTAAGCGAAGTGAACACATGAGTGAACATAAGCTGTACTTTATGTTCATCCTTGCTAGGGGATAGTATTTTATCACTGATAGGGAAAGATCTATGTATATCCTCTTCATGTTGCTGTTGACACATAAGGCATTCACAATTGATCTCCACTGCTGCCGTTCTTCTACTTTTCTGCCCATGGTATCCCATGTCAGTTTACATTTCTTCATTTCCCGTTCTATTGTTACCTTCGGGTTTCCTTAGGTCGTCCACGTCTCCTTTTCCCATCTGCTATCCACCGGAGAGCTGTTTTTGCCAGTGTCACAAGATATTCTGCAAACATATCCAAGTCATCTCCATCGTCTTATTTCAATAACATTTGCCAGTGATGAACATTCTGTTTTCCTCCCCAGTTCTTCATTTGTGATCTTGTTTGGCCAAAATATTCGTAGAATTCTCCTGAAACATTTATTTTGAAAAGTCTCAAGTTTATTTGTAATTCCTGCTGTCATTTTCCAACATTCACCGTTGTACAACAGTATTCCTAAAATGTTGCTCTTGTATATTCTGAGTTTTGTCTAAATCCCCTTGACTTCCATATATTTTAAGCATGGCAAATGATAGGTAAAGAAAGCGAAGGATAATGATATCTTCAGGCCTGTTATCATGTATTCTGATAGAGAATTGGCTTCCTGTCACCTGAACCTGTCTCTGCTTCTACAACCAGGATCTAACCTTTAGACTTATCTATGAGCCATTTCAAAGCTGTCTGGAGACTGCTGGCTTGGAGTGTCCTAGGAAAATGTCACTTTAGTTAGACTGATGGGTGTGTGTGTGTTGATATCTAGGATGCTAGATATGTACGTGGATACTTTTCCTTCTTGCCACACATCTACAGACTCCAGAGACCTTGACACAACCATAATAACTGCAGTAGCTTAATTTCAAGAATGACGACCCCAAAAAGGCCGCCCAAGAAAACAATCAAGATGTGTGGAGGTTAAGATGAAGAAAGTTGGCGCAATTAACGTCAGTCAGTCTTAGACTGCAGACGTCTGCCTATTCCAGACGTCCCTGACAGCTGTCATTCCAACTCAACGACAAGAACAAGATAAATTATCACATCTTAATTTTGTTTAAAACAGTAACAACAACAACAAAATATTTATTCCCAGTACAGGTCCTCTTTCCGTAATGTCCGCTGTATTTTTTTCACATCTTTTAAAACTGATAAGGCAGGATTTGCTGGGGTGTTACTGTCTTTTGTTTTGCTGCTGCAGATGTGAGATTTGGAGTTGCTGTTCTTGTTGCTAAAACCAGTGTCATGTTGCCGTGGAATGTCGGCTGCTGTGTGCAAGGGCCTTGACCTTGGTCCTCGAACTGTTGTCTGTTGAGCTTGTGAAGTGGCACGCATCTGCAGAAATAAAAACACATGTACCTCTCCCAAAAATTGCCTGGATTCATCACTTCTGTGGGGGAGGGGGGGGGGGGGGGGGGGGGGGTTGAGGGGTCAGCCTGAAAATGAGGGCAACATGATTAGTGCAGCTGTCACTGAAGACAGGTCAGGATTTTTTTTTTTCGATGACATAAAAACTGACACTGAGGATTTGAACCTGTCTTGCGCAAGAGCGCCCAGCCTCCTTAACAATTCAGCCAGTAATGTGTACATAAATTATTCAGTGTTTGATACTGTTGCTATCTATTATAACTGTGACAAATGATTAGTGCAGAAGATTACTGACACATTAGTTGAAGATCAAATCCTGTAACGATAATCTTGACATAAGAATGTCATTCAGTTGTCTGATTGCGTGACGTTCAACACAACCAGGACAGCACAACAAGCGATAAACACCAGGTGACCCACACAAAAACACCATTCGGATGAGAAGCGCCCGGGTGCAAGTCCCAGAAATCCTGTTCAACCGTCCAGTTATATTTAAGACCCCTGACCACCGCCAGGTGGGGCTTTAAAATAACCCCCCAAAAATTCTTCAACAAGCAGCGGTGTCTTTAAACAGGTGAATAACCATAAATGTGTGATCTTGGATCTCATTCAAATTATTTGGTTACATTTTATAATAATTTTTAGTTTGTTTTCTTATCTTCCATGATTCTGATTCTACAAAACTACATTTTAAAAACTTCAATTCCACCCTGACTTAGTTTATTAATACCCTGGCTGTAAACCCCAGTAGAAAGTTTTGGTTGTTCGTCCACTTCTGGCTTTTAATCTTGTTCCAGAACCTGAATGCACATTCATATTTGTCATGATCTGGCTTATTTGTGTACAGACCGTTGATTCCTTCCTTGTCTCTCAGGCTGATGCACTCCGACTTTGAAGAAAGCAGCCCTAATTAGTCACATTTTACAGCATGCTGGTGGGGTAGTCTGTCTATTTATTTTGCCCTTTAAATGGTGCCCGTAACCTACACGGGGTTGTTGACCTGGTCACCATTATTCTGTTGCTTACTTTAGCTACACTATCATCTTTTACTATGTCACAGTAAAATTTTTTTTTAATTTACTAACTTGTTCAAGCCTCTTTCCATACACCAGAATTTTCAGCAGTAATTGAAAAAGTACCATTATGACGGTTTTTTTTTTAAATAGCTAAGCCATACAAATTTGAAGAAAACAAGTTTATTTGATTTCTCAAAATAAACCTTGTTTTGATGTAAATGAGATTCTAGCTATTTGTGCCATACAAACCTTGCTTTGATATTGTCGGATTCTGGTAATTTGCTGAATTTTCATCTCCATGTTTGATGATAGCATGTCCAGCTCTTGCTCCAGTGTTTGCCTGACTCGAACATCACGAGCTGCATGCATCTGGCTCAGGACTGCCTGATGCTGGCTGTGGAAACATAACATTGTGCAAGCTGTAGGTTAAACAAGACAAATAATATGGTGAGAAAAACAAACAACCTAAGCTGTAGGTTAAACAAGACAAACGATGTGGTTAGAAAAACAAACAACCCAAGCTGTAAGTTAAACAAGACAAACGATGTGGTTAGAAAAACAAACAACTCAAGCTGTGTGTTAAAGGCGACAAACTTTTTAGTTAGAAAAACAAAGTTGTAGGTTAAACAAGACAAACGATGTGGTTAAAGAAATAAACAACCCAAGTTGTAGGTTAAACAAGACAAATGATGTGGTCAGGGAAATAAAACCAAATACTAGCTTCAGATGAAAAAAAAAGACAAATTATGTTAGAGAAACAAACAACTCAAGCTGTAGAATTAACAAGAAAACTTATTTGGTATAGACAGTTTACAATATGCTAGGAATGGACAGGGCCAGCCTAATGGATGAACAAATGAACACTATTTTCAAATGGTCAAATACTGATTATGCAGAGTGATGCTTCCTTCCTTCCCACCATTTTCCTTCCCGAAGAAATCTTATTTTCATTAGGCAACGTTCTTTCCTTGTTCATTTTTTGTCAAATACAATAAACAGCCATTAACAACTAGATTTTAGCTCGTCTAATGTGTTCTTTAAAGCATATAAAATACCAACGTTAATATTATATCCCTTCACATAGACACACAAGCAGAGAACATTGAACAGGGACCTAAAGTCCTACTGACCTACTTAACCGCCCAAACTCATCCTGCAACTGGTTGAGCAGATCATGTAAAACGTGTTTGATTTCTCCATCATATGAGCCCCCAGGATATGTGCGGTCTGACCTCTGAAAGTGCCCATCGGCACCGACTTGAGAACAAAGGACAGGGTTGTGCAGCTTCAGCATAGCCAGCACATTCTGCACATTGGCACCGAGGGAATGGCTGGGACCTGTTGACTGACAAATGTGGTAAAACTAATTGATTAACCCAGATCCTTGAAGGCAAGGACTGAAACTAAAGCAAGAGTAAAGGACCATTTTCCACGCCATTAGGCATATTGGGTATATAGTGCAAGAACTATATTTTACAGACCAATCAGTGGGCGATGTGGTCAGCTGACCGCCTTTACTTCCCAGGATTTTGCCTGTACCAACTCAAGGCTGCGAGTCAGGGTCATTTCTGAAAATCGTCCAGCACCATTCAGATTTGAACCCATGTCCTTCGCATCAGTAGGTAAGTGTCTAGCCGCTACATGGTGGCAGCCCCCAATGACTGAAACTGGTGACAGACAAATGACACAACAGCTGTTTATTAACCCATGGAATACAAGACAATAACCTGCTGACTAGCAAATGTAGAAGAGACACGGTTCCTCAACTCATACACTTCTTCATGTTTTTAACCAAAAGAAAACTGTTTATTAGTCTACCCAGAGTTTGATCAGCACAACATTGTGTGCTTGGATTTTGTGCCTAAATCAAGATATTTTGTCTATTCCACCACAGTCAATCAAGCTACAGTGAACAAGAAGAACAAAACTATTGAAATATTAACAAGGTTCCATGAAAACATTATGTACCTACTTGCATAGTGCAGACTATGTATTTATTACGTGTATTTGAGACAAACTAAGTGTCCATTTTTTTTAGACAAAGTCAATAGACTAATGAGAAATTATATAGAAGTTTCAACATGTGGGAACAAGTCAGATGAGAACAGTAGGGACACAGGAAAAGTGTATCGAGGATGTCTTGAAAGCAATTCAGTTATATGGGAACTGGTTCCTGGCATCAGGAGAAAATCCAGATTCTCTGAGAACGTCCCAATAAGGGGACAATTAAAGTAGGTCACTATAATGGGAAAGCTGAGTTAGAAGAATAAGACAGAGGCAGATATCAGACTGGTATCACGACATTAAAAAACATCTGGATCAGAAATTATACGAGACATAAGGTGTGAAGAGAGATTGCGACCAATGAAAACATGGTCGGAATTCTAAACAATTAGGCATATTACGAGAAGAGAGGAACTGGAGAATATTATGTCAGGATAATCCATTTAACTTGCAGATGTAGTCTCAAATCTGTCAAATAAAGAATATTCCACTGAACACAAAACATATGTGAATCATTTATGTGGAGCTTAACTAAACAAATTTCACTGAATCAGACACTGTTAACAAATGACAAAACAAATCTGTTAACCAGAAATTCTCCTTTTTCTTCTGCGTTCATCTGAAGATGTAAATGCGTTGTGCCAATTTACAGCATGGGTGCGATATTTGCACCTTTTGGCCAACATGTCCGACAAAATGATTCTTCCTGGAGACCACAAGGCAAATGAAAGAAAGGCTGGCCTAAACAATGTGCACAGAAGAAACCTGGAGTTGATGACGACCAGGCTCTGGATGGAGCTGCGGAAGATAGTAGGGATTACCTTGAGATGGGGTTGAAGGTCAATGGTCCAAGGACATCAGAAAGGAAAGTGCCAAGTATTTACCTGTCCTGCCACAAATGGAATCTCCGCTAAATTGAGCCGATAGTGTCTCATAGGATCAGATCTAGAAGTGCCTGGCAAATGTTTAGAAGACTTTTTCTTCTTCTTTGCCGATTTCCTCATTTTCCAAACTTGTGTCACTGGAGGTTCAGGATCTGTTGTTTGTGGTGACGAAGGTGGAGACAGTGTATGCTTGTCATGTGCTGCAGACTCCAGCTGCAGAAACATCAACAATATTTCCTTTTAATCTGTATAATAAAATGCTGAGACTGGTGCACATGCTTCCCCTCGTCAAGAGATATGACCACAGGGACAAGTTTACAATGTTACAGGAACATCCACAGAGACATTTTCTGGGAATGGCTTTTTCTTGGCCTGGTTTAGGATAATGGATTCTCTGAGTCTACTTAAGCAAAATTAATTTATGAGACTTTATTCTCTTATCACTTGTTCTTCTTTTTCTAGCTTTTATTTCCCCATTAGAACCTCTACCCTCAATAAACTCACACCGACTCACCCTCATCTTACCAGACAATTTCTGCCCTCCTATAGATCACCATCCAACCTCTACCCTCAATAAACTCACACCCACCTTACCAGACAATTTCTGCCCTCCTATAGATCACCATCCCAACCTCTACCCTCAATAAACTCACACCCACCTTACCAGACAATTTCTACCCTCCTATAGATCACCATCCCAACCTCTACCCTCAATAAACTCACACCCACCTTACCAGACAATTTCTGCCCTCCTATAGATCATCATCCCAACCTCTACCCTCAATAAACTCACACCCACCTTACCAGACAATTTCTGCCCTCATATAGATCACCATCTCAACCTCTACCCTCAATAAACTCACACCCACTCACCCCCATCTTACCAGACAATTTCTGCCCTCCTATAGATCACCATCTCAACCCTCAATAAACTCACACCCACCTTACCAGACAATTTCTGCCCTCCTATAGATCACCATCCCAACCTCTACCCTCAATAAACTCACACCCACCTTACCAGACAATTTCTGCCCTCCTATAGATCACCATCCCAACCTCTACCCTCAATAAACTCACACCTATCTTACCAGACAATTTCTGCCCTCTTATAGATCACCATCCCAACCTCTACCCTCAATAAACTCACACCCACTCACCCTCATCTTACCAGACAATTTCTGCCCTCCTATAGATCACCATCTCAACCCTCAAAAACTCCTCACACAACACACCTTACGCTTTTTTCTGCCCTCCTATAGATCACCATCCCAACCTCTACCCTCAATAAACTCACACCCACCTTACCAGACAATTTCTGCCCTCTTATAGATCACCATTTCAACCTCTACCCTCAATAAACTCACACCCACCTTACCAGACAATTTCTGCCCTCCTATAGATCACCATCCCAAACCTCTACCCTCAATAATCACTCACACCCCACTATTACCAAAACAATTTCTGCCTCTCCTATAGATCACCATCCCAACATCTCTACCCTCAGTAAACTCACACCCATCTTACCAGACAATTTCTGCCCTCTTATAGATCACCATCCCAACCTCTACCCTCAATAAACTCACACCCACTCACCCTCATCTTACCAGACAATTTCTGCCCTCCTATAGATCACCATCTCAACCTCTACCCTCAATAAACTCACACCCACCTTACCAGACAATTTCTGCCCTCCTATAGATCACCATCCCAACCTCTACCCTCAATAAACTCACACCCACCTTACCAGACAATTTCTGCCCTCTTATAGATCACCATCTCAACCTCTACCCTCAATAAACTCACACCCACCTTACCAGACAATTTCTGCCCTCTTATAGATCACCATCTCAACCTCTACCCTCAATAAACTCACACCCACCTTACCAGACAATTTCTGCCCTCCTATAGATCACCATCTCAACCTCTACCCTCAATAAACTCACACCCATCTTACCACTTAATTTCTGCCTTCCTATAGATCACCATCCCAACCTCTACACTCAATAAACTCACACCCACTCACCATCATCTTACCAGACAATTTCTGCCCTCCTATAGATCACCATCTCAACCTCTACCCTCAATAAACTCAGAACCAACCTCACCAGGACAATTGGCTGCCCTCCTATAGATCACCAGCCCAACCTCACACCCTCAATAAACTCATGGAACATCTTACCAGGTCAACCTGCCCTCCTATAGATCACCATCTCAACCTCTACCCTCAATAAACTCAGTGCCCACCTTACCAGACAATTTCTGCCCTCTATAGATCACCAATCAACCTATATTGAAATAAAACTCACACCACATCTTACACACAATTTCTGCCCTCCTATAGATCACCATCTCAACCTCTACCCTCAATAAACTCACACCCACCTTACCAGACAATTTCTGCCTTCCTATAGATCACCATCTCAACCTCTACCCTCAATAAACACACACCCACTCACCCCCATCTTACCAGACAATTTCTGCCCTCCTATAGGTCACCATCTCTTCTTTTTTCTTCTTCTAAGTGTATTTTACTTTATATTTCCACAGTCCGTTCCCAAAGTCGTGCCCTCAAACTGTATCATATTTTTTATGAGCCAAGCAACAAGCATTATTGCATTACATCAGGTATCCACTTCACTATTCAAAATATGTGCGCCTCATTTTCTCACATGAATCATCTCTAAAACATGCGCAGTTTGATGTTTTGCAAACTCTGCCTCAAGCTTTTAAATGTAAATATGTTAACTGCATGCTCTAAATCAGTGTTTTCTTCATATGCCAGAAAAATGCCAAAAAAACATGTGATATTTGTTTATAATTATTTTCCAACAGGGACACGATTATGAACAGGCTGCAGGTCCACTAACTTCAACAATTTACATCAAACAGCTACTGAGTTACAGAATTTTACAGTTAGACAGGACCTTTGGAAAGCATTATAGAATAGTCTATTCTTATTTTGGTTAGCTGAGTCTTCTTCTTCTTATTCATATTCACTGGTTGTAAACCAGCAGAAAGTCATGGCCGTCCGCCCACTGATGGACTTTGTTCTTGCTGCAGAACTTGACTTTTGAGTGCACTTCCATTTTACAAATCTGGCTTATCTGCAGACTGCTGGTTTCTTGCCTCTCAGGCAAAAGCACTCCAACTTCACAGGAGACACCCACAGTTATTTGAGTTTTACATCACACTTGTCAGGGGGCAATGGTTCAATACTTTTCATCCTACAAAGGAGCCCAGAACCAAGAAGAGGAATTTGGCTGAGTAACTCTGTGTCCTTTGGGATGTTCACAGTTGGGTTATGGTTTATGGAACTGGGTAGGTGGTCAACCCCAAGACCAACCCTCCTAGTTTTCTCTAAATATTCTGAGTGCCCTGACAACAGAAGGGAGCCTCTTATCATAATCAAATATATATTGAAAGGGGGGACACACACACACACACAAACCTGGTCTGTTCTTTGTTGCAATGTTTCTCTGTGCAACCTCTCTTCCTGCAGCATCTGTTCCAGCACCTTGATCTTGGACTACAAGAGATGAACATGTAAGTGTTTCACACATCAATGACTTCACTTCAATACTAATGAATGCAGAAGCTGGTAAAGTGACATACCGAGAAGACCTGGGTATATTTAGTAAGTTTCTTTTTTTAACCCGGCAGCGGAAATAATAAAGAAATACCCAAATATTAATTCTTCTTCTTTTTTTACGGTCACTGGCTGCAAACTCCAGCAGACAGTTATGATTCTTCGCCCACCTCTAGACTATAGTTTTGTTCCAGAATGAATGTGTTGTGTGCATATTCAGTTTACAGATCTGGTTTATCTGAATGCAGACTGTTGGTTTCTTGCCTTTCAGGCAGCTGCACTCTTAAAAAAACACCCAATTAGTCTACTCTTACGAGATGCTTGATGGGGAGACAGGAGATAATAATTCTTGTTTTCCCCCGCAGCGGGACCCGCGAACCCTCCAAGGGAAAATGTTATTTGATCAATTAAAAATACAGTGATAACTAAATATACATAGAGAAGAGAGCTGGAGACAGACAAATAACATGGCTGTAGGAGATGGTAAAAAAATAGCACGGTTTGGAGGAAATGATCAAAGGATTTTTCTCCACTGATGGAATAAAAAGGCAACAGATGATGATGAAAACAACACAATCATCATCATCTGGCGAGCTAACCTGTTAGTATATATGTTAGTATCATAAACTGAACCTTTCCCTTCTATGTTTGCCCTTCTAAGGGCGGTCAGCACATTTGATTGTAATATACTGCTAGGTTGTTATGTCTGTGCCTTTCGGCCCAAAACATCTGATTTCAGTAAACGCCTAGTTAGTCATCTGTTATGACATGCTTGTCAGAGCGGCAGCAGGTCTATTCTATTTACCCCTAAAATGGATTGCTAGAACCTACAGTCACTGTCACTGCTAGTCACTGTCCTACTGCAGCTGCTGGGTCATATACCAGGCTGACATGGGTCATTTACCAGACTGACATGGGTCAGATACCAGGTTGACATGGGTCATATACCAGGTCGACATGGGTCATACACCAGGTCGACATGGGTCACATACCAGACTGACATGGGTCATATACCAGGCTGACATGGGTAGTATACCAGGTTGACATAGGTCATATACCAGGCTGACATAGGTCTTATACCAGGTTGACATGGGTCACATACCAGGCTGACATAGGTCTTATACCAGGCTGACATAGGTCTTATACCAGGTTGACATGGGTCATATACCAGGCTGACATGGGTCATATACCAGGTTGACATGGGTCATATACCAGGTTGACATGGGTCATATACCAGGCTGACATGGGTCATATACCAGGCTGACATGGGTCATATACCAGGCTGATATAGGTCTTATACCAGGTTGACATGAGTAGTATTCCAGGTTGACATGGGTCATATACCAGACTGACAGACAATTAGGAAGGTCGGTAATAGTATCCCACCAGGACATCACACAAGCGATAAACACCCAGTGACACAAAGTGCCACCATGTGGATGAGTATCACCCGTGGAGAGGCCCAAGAAATCCCTTTCAGCCATTTAGGCCACATTTATGGCCCGGCTATATTCAGGGCTCCTGGAAAAAGCCAGAGTTGGGCTTCAAATAACAAAAAATTGCATTCTACATGGGGATGAATGAATGAATGAATTTCTACCCCACCAGGACATCACACAAGCGATAAACACTGGATGACACAAAGTGCCACCATGTGGGTGAGGATCACCGTGGAGAGGCTCCAGAAACCGCGTTCAGACAATTGGCCACATCTACAGCCTGCCTATATTGCGGCCCCTGGCAAAAGCCAGAGCGGGCTCCCAATAACAAAAAATCACGTCCTAAAAAGGACATAATAAAGGACATTATAAATGAAGCTAGTTACAACGACGAGATGTCTGACAGACAAGCATGCAAGTCACTGTCCTACTGCAGCTCCTCAATAATATACTAGGGACCTATAGATCCTGCTCTGATTATTCTTATGGATGCATATTATCATTAAGGGCCTTGCATGGGCAATCAAGCCTCTCCACAACTTGCAATCTACAGCGGCATATTTGAATTAACATGCTGACACCCTTTCATGCCATAAAAGATTTTCAAGAATCTTCTCAAGTTGTCTCCCTTTCCACAAATCTTTCCAGTGTCATATGTTCCAATTTCCTTATAAAATATCCAAAAATGATAATGGCTCTTTCAGATGTTTATGATAAGTTTCTTCTTACTAAAATGTTAAAGACAAATATATAAATCAAACGTATGTCACATACAAGATAAACAAACAGAGATGCTTACTTCAGCTAATGTCTGAGTGAGAACGAGCCTTTGCTGATCCCTCTCTAGCTCGTTAAGTCTCTCTTTATGAAATCTGATGTCTGTGTCAGTCAGATCCTTCTTCTGCAGCTTTCTCATCTGTTCCAGTAAATTTCTCTGATTCTGCTCAGAGTTATTGACCATCTTTCTCATCTGCTCAAGCTGTTTTTCTAAACGCTGGCATCGGCGCTCTGCAGACGATATCTGTCCTTCCAGCTCTGGCAGAAAAAGATGAAAAACTGATGCAATCATAATTTATGTCTGTCTGTGTAAAGGTGTGTGGGGTGGGGGAGAAGGGAACTGAAAAAATTAAACATTAGCCTCATTTTGTGGAAATGATGTATTTTCTATTGGGCTGTTTGGTTTGTTGGTTGGTAGGTGAATGGATTTTTGTGTATGTGGGTCTCTATTTGTTGGGCATGCTGGTTGGCTGCTTGGGTGATTCATTTACTGTTTGGTTCACAGGTCAGTTGGTGGATTTTATCCTTGATGGCTTAAACTGAAGCTAGTTTATCATGTATCTCTCCCCAACCTCAACTGTAGACAGTTTACTGTGTAAGAAAGTTTGCTATGTAAGCAATAGTATACTACTAATCTTTCTTCTTCTTTTCACCTTCTTCTGCTTCATTTTCTAAAGTAGAATGTGGAAATTTGTTGAAGAAAAGAGAAAAACAGTACAGTTAATACATTTCAGCCATAAAGCCCTTAAAGATAATATTAAAAATGTATTTTCTTTTCAGGTAGCCAGAAAAAAATTAGAAGAGGAAAAAAGCAAGTGAAACAAATGTTCAGTTTAAAGATAAAGAACAAATCCTACCTTTGGTTTGTTTAGTGAACACATGTTCACCATCAGATGCCTGCTCCTGCTCATTGTTACAGCTCCTCTCTGTGTATTTTCCCACATTCAGAAGTACTTTGTATTGTTCTGTTTCTGAAGCTAAACTATGCAGATTTTGTTCTGCTACATTCCTCTCTAGCTCCAACTTTTTCACTTTTTCATGGAGATTTTTCAAGGCGGAAATGACAGCTGTAAAATAAAAAGAGTCACTAAAAGATTTAGATGGTCTCAACAAACTGAACAGTGTATATACGGAAACTAAACAACATATGGTCAAGCAGTATGTACGAGAATCTTTGTAGTGTGTCAATCCTTAAAGGAAAGATTGTAGTTTAATTTTATATTTAGGGATATAGGATTGACAGAGGACTGTGCTGCACATTTTTTCCACTGAGATAAACAACACTGATATAAACAACAGTGAGTGGGATAAACAACAGTGAGATAAACAACAGTGAGATAAACAACAATGACAAAACTGGACACTGGCAATATTTACTGAATTGCTAATTATACTTCTTCTTCTTCGTTACTGGCTGCAAACTCTGGCAGAAAGTTCTGTGTCTGTCCACCTCTGGACTTTAGACTTGTTTCATAATCTGATTGTTTGCGTGCATGTCTGTTTTACAGATGACTTATTTGTATACAGATTGTGCATGCATGTCTTTTACAGAGGACTTTTTTTGTATACAGGTTGTTGGTTCCTTTCTTCTCAGGCAGATGCATTTTAACTTTGAATGAAGCCTCCAATTAGTTGACTCTTATGACATGCTTGTTGGGGAGGCAGTTGGTCTATTCTTGTTTCCCCCGCAATGGGGCCCCAGAACCCAGACAGGGATGATGCATATACAAACTGTGCATCACATCCGTTAATCTGCATATATAAATATATTTAATACACACATACGTTATTTCACTTCAACTACAATGCTGCCAGACAGCATCAGCAAATTCATTATCATCATCATGTAGGTCCTTTGCAGAACGTCGCTCTCATCACGGTTTGCTTGAAAGAAACTCGGTCTCTAGCCAGTTCTCCTTCCTCATGTACTTCCATACTCAAGTAGTCACCTATATCCTGTGCCCATCTTCGTGTCGGTCGGCCTCTGCCCCTCCTTCCTGGCACCATGCCTTATGCTATAGCTTTTTCCAATCCGTTGTGGCGCTTGATATGACCAAAATATTGTAGCTTTCGAGAAAGGATGCTATTTATTAGCCAATCTTCCTTGATGTTCAGATCTTTTGAGGTGTCAATATTTCTCCTCTTCTTTGGCCAAGAAATTCTGAGAATCTTTCTATAGCATTTCAGCTCAAAATACCCTATTCTCTTTCTAAGGACTAGAAGATAGTCCACAACTCGCATTCGTATGTAGCCACAGGGAAGATGCATGCTCTCAAAATTCTAATTTTTATCTCCTTGCTGGTGCTTAACCATAGATTTGCAAAGCTGTTCAATCTTTGCATTGCTATGGCCATCCTCCTTTTAACTTCTGTTGAACAGTCTCCATTGCTGTTTATTATAGAGCCTAGATATTCAAAGTTTGTGATATTTTCAATGTCTTCATCGTTTAGTGTTATTTTTGGGCGACAGCCAGTTTTATCTGTGGACATTATTTTCGTTTTCTTTAAATTCAAAAACAGATTTTGATCTTCACTGTGCTTTTGGACAGACAATATTAAATTTGTTATACCCTTTACGCTGTTCGAAAGGAGGACTGTGTCATCTGCATAGCTGAGTTCCGGAATAGGGTTATCAGCAAATTACTATCTCAAAATAGTATGGAAGCATGTTGAGTATATGACCATACAGTATGAAATACAAAATACAGGTAACATTAAAAAACTGATTTGTCACCAGGTTATTAAAAAAATACAAAAGGCCTACCATCACGGTTACTGGTTGGGAAAGCATCTACAGGCTCATCTGCTGCACGTGTGTAGTCTGTGTTGATGAATGGTGTACTGGCGGGGTAGTCGAGGTAACTGGATATCCCACTATCAGGTCGGGCAAACACTAGAGGGCTGTTTATTTCTGCACTGCCGCCAGGATTCTCCTCCATACTGCAGAATCACTCAATGCGTGCGCTAACAACCTGTAACAATTTCACTGGTTTCAGCATTGCTTCAGTTGCGGCCGCTTGACAAAACTACAAATATTACAAGATTGCAGTGAATGTTTTCAAAGTTACAGTGATACTGTATTGTCAACAGAACTGTGACAGAGAACATTAACATTACACTGTTTAATATAAGCAGTGACAATCTCATGGTATAAGTGTTTTACTGTTTAAAATTTGAACTTTATTGGACAAATAAACTAAACAGTAAGGAGATACATACAAAAAAGTTGGCTATCCTCTAAGTAACGGTCCTAAATTATCGAGGCGGAAAATATACCCTAACAGGGCCTCAGTAACTTGTGCACTTCCAGAGACTATAACGCCACCGCCGAATTGCAAACTTCCGGCGACTTCCGCTGAGAGTATTCCCGGCACCGCTCATGCGGCGTGGATTGGAGCTAAACTAGATGGCTAGGACTTACGAGCAAATAAAAAAAGGGAAGCTGCAGGAGATGCGGTAGCTGCTGCTCGTAAGTCCCAGCCATCTAGTTTAGCCCAAATCCACGCTGCTCATGAGGCGTGGGGGATACTCTCGGTGGTGGGGGAAGTCACTGGAAGTGCGCGATTTAAGACGACGAAAGTGCGCAATTGACACGTGGCCCTGTAAGGGTATATTTTCCGCCTCAATAATTTAGGACCGTTATTCCGAGGATAGCCAAAAAGTTAAACAAACAAATACTGACAACAATGACTTCATGGGTACAAAAACTTTGGCTCTCCTCCGAACTTCTACCCCCGCATTATGGCGGCAACAAATATCCATATGGGGCTCAGTTCTATTAAAAATATGCCGGCTCCGCATAACGAAACAAATGCTCTAACAGGGTCTCAGCGATATGTTACTTACGGACCTGTTTCTGTGACTATGCCTCACCGCCGACCGTATCCCCTGCGCCGCTACGCGCGGCGCTTATGGGGACTAAACTAGATGGCTGGGACTCACGAGCAGCAGCTACCACATCTCCTGCAACTTCCTCCAATTAATTTGTTCGTGAGTCCCAGGCACCTAGTTTAGCCCCCATCCGCGGCGCAGGAGATACTGTCAGCGGTGAGTGTAACCACGTTTTGCGCATGCCAAGTTTGAGGGCAACAACGACGCTAATCTGCGTCGGTGCACGTGGACTCCCCGCCATGTGGTTTTTATCGCCAGTCTTGAAATTGTCAGGTAATCCTAGTTTTGCCGCGATTCATTCGTCGCCGGAAGTTCACATATCTTTAATAGAATTGAGCCCCGTACGGATATTTGTTGCCGCCATAATGCGGGGGTAGAAGTTCGGAGGAGAGCCAAAACTTTTAAAGCAAAGGATGAGAATGATCAGAATTAAGAGGTTTTGTAACTAGGAACAGTAAAAGTGCCAAAATCCTATAAATGAGTATTAAATAGTAGTATGTAAAATACTACATAAAATGAACTTCAGAATTTAGTTGCCAAACATACCGTACACAATAAAAATGTCATTATACATCGTTTTTAAATCAATAATTTAAATTAATCTGTAAGCTTTCAGTTTAATTTTTATTTTGTTATTAATAAATAATAAGTGTGAAACTTTATAGACGCCTGAGGCTGAAAATGTGAAAGAAAACCAACTAGGTGACGAAAACATTTATATATTTTAATTTTTAATCCGACCGGTTACTGTCACTTACACTAACTAAACTAATGACAGTTGATTTTAATGCGACAAGTCAAATATTATAAAGTGTGAATCAAGACCAAACAATGTCATGTTTATCATATGTTGTTTGCTTTCCAAACAAACAGCATCTATCAAAAGAAGAGGCTAGATGTTTACACTGGTATATATGACACATCAACAATCAACACACACATATGTATCGAAGACAAGCGCCCAGCTGACTTGCTCAATCAACCGTTCCTTCCTGATGGAAACAGCCCCAGTGTTTGAAACACATTCCTGCCTGCCCGTCCACTGTTGATGTCCACTACGCTCTGATTGGCCGGCCGACACTGACACAGTGGATTGGATTCTCAGTTCCGGATAACTTTTTTTTTTCCAAGTGAATAAATCAATGAAAATTCCATAGACCGTCTAGGAATCAAACGGTTTGGTCGTGTAGTCAGAATGGAACAAAATCAGCTAGCAGCTAAAAAGCACTACATAAGGACCGCAGGTTTCAAGTCAGAAGGCCACCCGAGAAAGAGATTATGGAAGGGTAATAAAGACACTACAAAAAACGCTATATGACATTAGCCAGCCACTCAACTAGTAAAGGTTGGTTGCGTGTCCTTTACAGGACGTTGCAGAACCAACACCAACAGACGCTGGCTGTTGTGTGGTTTTTCTAGGCAATTTTGCGTCCAGTAGTTTGCCATTGCTTATGGATGGTCGGCTTTCTTTATACCACTGTCGAAACCAACGCAAGGCGCATGGCCCGCAGCTGGGATCGAACCCGGCATTACCAAGCGTTCGCATCGACTTAGCCAGCACTATGCACAAAGAACTCGATCGAATTGCCGCCTGGTATGATGGTTCCAATGCCTATGTCAATCCTTCGAAGGCATCAGTGTCATGGTTCTCTTTGAACAATCACATTGTCAAGTCGGACTTACCAGAAGTGAAAATGCGTGATAATGTATTGATCAGAACCAACGTTATGACGTTTCTCGGGGTGAGGTTCGATCGCAGCTTGTCATTCAGGGAACACGTTGACCATGTGATAACAAAAGCACGCAAAGGTCTATCTGCAATGAGGATTATGGCTGCTTCCAATATTGAGCAAAGACTACTAATACTTCTATTCTACGGTCTGGTCCTTTCCCCCATTGAATACGCTCTGGCCATCCTCACTGTCAGTGCTACCCAGATTGAACGACTCGAAAAGGTGCAAAATGAAGCCATGCGCATTATTTTGGGATGTACTAGAGACACATCCTGTGGAGCAATGAGGTATCTACTTGACTTTCCAACAATGAACCAAAGGATCAGGATGTGGAGGGCTCGGGCATATCTCAAAATATGCGCTGATAAGAAACACCCACTGCATCAAGCGCTTTTTAGTGAAAAGGGCGACAGACTGAAGAGGGGGAAATCGTGGCTAGGTCGGGCAGAAGATGTTATTAGGCAAATATGCAGCCTAACCGACATCATACCTGGTGCAGAATGGATACCTGTGCCTCAGGCGTTTATTTGTACATTTTCCTGTATTGTCACACTCAACAGGCGATGTAGAGAAGAGAATCCTGTTGCTGTTAATGCAGAGGTCAACGCTCTCATCGGTGAAAATTCAGACGAAGCAGATGCAATAATCTATACAGACGGATCCGTTATACGCCAAAGAAGAAGCGCATGGGCATTTACAGCACGCTCAGCGGGCAGAACAGTTAAAGAAGCCAACGGCGCCTTCTCCATGACAACCAGCAGCATGACGATGGAGGTGATGGCAGTGACACAAGCGCTTGCCTGGCTTGAAACACAAAAACACACCCGCGTGTGTATACTCAGTGATTCAATGAGTATGATCCGGAGGGTTCAGGCAGGTTCAGTGCGAAGACAATGGCTTGAATCATTACAGAAGTCCACTGTTCGTGGAGTCACCTTTATTTTTGTTCCGGGACACGCAGGCGTCAATGGAAATGAAAGAGCTGACAGGTTGGCTGGATCCGCTATCACTACCGACGGTCAGCCTATAGATCATGCTGATATTATCAATGCCCTCAGAGAAATGGGAAGAATAGAGGACTTTGGTGGCAGTGAATCCACATCACTCGCCAGAATGGCAGACTTGGGAATTAAGATCGGCACAGCAAAAAACGAGACGCACACCAGCTACGCCAGAAGACTTGTTAATCAACATAGAACTGGTACTATTAGCCATCGGACGTTGGGGTTCATACTGAGGGGAGGATCTGAGCACCTATGGACATGTCCGGAGTGCAATGAGGATAACCCAACTAACTAACTAACTAACTAACTAACTAACTAACTAACTAACTAACTAACTAACTAACTAACTAACTAACTAACTAACTAACTAACTAACTAACTAACTAACTAACTAACTAACTAACTAACTAACTAACTAACTAACTAACTAACTATCGACTTAGCCACAGAGCCGACACTCAACTAGTAAACTACATCTAATTCCTCTATGCGACGCTTTTATGGCATTAGAAATAGAACAAAAGACGAAATCGAACTGATGGATGAATGCATACGAAGATGTCCCATAAAAATTACAATCTGATTAAAAGTCGGCCTGCATTATCCCCACTGTGTTGACTACATACAGAAACTCTGCATACCCACATTGAATTTTTTTTTCTATTTGGGTCTTTTTTACTTTTTCTCTTCGTCGAAGTGTTAGGGTGGGGTGGGGTACGGTTTAAGGATCTTATATTTGCTCTTTCCGAAGTTTTATATAAACTAGTCTTCATTTCTTCAAGACCGTTCTTGGTGCCCTCGTTCTACGTTCCGCGTGGTCTTCCTCCTAAAAAGGAAGAGAAACAAGAGATCACATCCTCAACATGCGTTTAATTAATAATAGAGAAGTCCAGAGAATTCAATGCAAAACTATTCTCATGTTTTTCTGCATTATTCAAAAGCATTTGACTGTATGGGACATCAGAAACTTTGGAAATCATGAGAAATATAGGCTTTCCATCACATGTAGTACACCTCATAACAATGCTCCATCTCGACCAGCAAGCAGATGTTAGAATAGATACCGAGACATCAGACTGGTTTGACAACAAGCAAGGAGTCCGTCAGTGCTGTGTGCTGTCACCCTATTTGTTTGTTTAAAATGTACACCGAAAATATAATGAGAAATGTCAAAGATGTTATAACCAGAGAGCAATATGATTCCCTAAATATCGGTAGTCATGAAATACCAGAGATCCAATGTTCCCATGATACAGTATTGCTATCCACATCACAGACTGGTATTGAAAACGTTATAACCACAACCCTATTTGTGACCCAGACGGGACTCAATGTTTAGCATGACTGATGTCGAACGCAGAAGAAGAATCTGAACCCTAAGAAATAGTGAAAATCAAAACTTTTATCTTAACATAGCCATAACAAAGTTAATGCATACAGATACAACTACTATGGAGAAAGAAATATATGTTAATAAGGAAAGGCTGGACGTTGTTGAAAGTTTTGAATATCTTGGGTCACTGATTACCAGCAACGGTGTCAATGAAAGAAATTAAACGACGACTATCAGCTGCCCTATTAGCTTTAAAACCAAACAAATTATGGAGTGAGGTAGACAGAACTACAAAAATAAGATTTTAAAGAGCATTTATCTTTCCCATTGCAACATTTTCCTGGAAGACTCGGACACTTACTAAACAATCTGAATAGCGCATAAATGCTTTTGAATACAAATGTTATAGACGTGTTTTAAGAATATCATGGGTTTAACAAAATGCATTCATACTTAAAGAACTGAATATCGAAGATGGTTGGCTATTAAAGACGATAAAACACAGAAAATAGAAATATTTTGGTCACACGAAAGTTTGGAGAGGACAATAATGGAAAAACCAGTTAGAGAAGAAGAGGAAGACCAAAGAGGATATGGGTGCAGGATGTGGTGGATGATCTCCAGATGGGTGTATCGGACGCGGGACATCTTGCTTGTGATCTAGAAGTTTTTTGGAGGGTTGTTGTGGGACCAAGGCTCTGCAAAGGGCATGCTACTGACTGTTTAATATTGTGCCATTATTATGGTGGATATATTGTTTCCCTAGTGTGTACTAACTGATTATTCTCGTCGATTTTATCTTTAGGGTAAACTTCTTCAAAGATGGCATGCACATTCTATATATGGATTTTAATTTAAGTAATAAATCGCGTAATATTAATAAAATAGACATAACACCAACAGATGTCGATAAACAGGAGGACTTCAATGAGCTGCTCTTTGCCGACGATCAATGCATATTTCACAGTGATAGTAAACAGCTGCAAGACCACATAAACCTACTACACGACAGTTGCCCCAAGCATCATATGAAGATCAATACTTCTTCTTCTTCTTCTTGTTCACCGGCTGTGAATTCCGGCGGTAAGTCACGGTTGTTCGTCCAAAATGGACTTTTGGCTTTTACCTTGACCTGAGTTTTGCGTGTACATCCGTTTTACTGGCTTATTTGTTTGCAGTACTCGTTCCCCGCCTCTCAGGCAGATGTACTCCGACTTCGGAGGAAGACGTCAAGCCTATTTCTAGGTTTACTGTGGCCATTGTTTTGTGTGGGTCGAGATGTTGCCTTATTTGTGTGGTGTCCTCTTTGACTTTTAACAAGTGTGGCCCCCGGCATGTCGTCCTTAAGGCAGCTCTATGTAGAGTTTTCAGCCCTCAAGGGAAGGCAGGGGCAGATCATGGGCATTCCTCGCCATCCAAGGAGGCTTCCATAAATGCAGAGCCGACACATGATGTTCTGGTTCTGGGCTCACCCAAGGAATCGTCACGTCATGCCCATGACTGCTTAACCTCACAACCGTGTATTGAGCTTCCCGCGCTACAAGGCTGCGCTCTCCGGAGATCAGCGGGGAGCAGCCCGCAGGTCTAGGACGTTTGTGGCCACACAAATAGGTACATTCTTTTTCATCTTACGTTAGACACCTTTAACGTTGTTTCAGCTGTGCCCTTAGCACGACAGAATGGGGAAGTAAAATGCGTCACGCGTGGCTTCACCTGTTTGGTCCCAACACTCGGGCGAGTTGGACCAGTGGATACGGACATTCAGACGATTCCTAATCGGTACGAGTTATGATCGTCGGACTTTGAGCTTGCATGTGTGCCGTGGGGTGTAACTTTGTCGGACATTGTTTTCAAGCCAGCATATGAATAGTTGCTGCCATGGTGTACCTCAGCGCGGTGACGACGACACTGAGGATTGACAGAGGATGTACGTAGGTGGGATCTTGCTGCGAGAAGTCGCCCACAAGAGATGTTACTCGTCTTGGCTGCGGGTAAATCTCTCGGTCAGGGTTGAGTCTCAGCAGCACAGTTTTCCATTCGCTCCCGAATTTTAACCAAGAGTTGTCATTTGATGGTACATTTAGCAAGCAGTCCTTGAGTTTTGTTACTTTTCACCCATGCGTTTGGGGGCGGGCTGGTGAGAGCCAGAAAGGACTCTACACCTCTGGGGGCCGCCAGCTCCGAGATCCCCTGCCAACTCTGTTAATGCTCATTTGAGACATTATCCGTGGCGCACGACGGGGACGTGCAACAGGAGTCTTGCATGAGGTTCCGTAAAACCAGAACAGTGAAGGACTGGCGCCCGAGTGGGGTACGGAATATCTCCTTATACACATCACATCAGACTTAACTTCCCCTCATGCCTGTGACCGAAATCACCGCGCCACTGATCAATACTGAAAAGACAGAAGTCATGAGCATAAGTAGAGAGCAACAGACCATCGACATAAAGATTCTAGATCACAGCCTAAAACAAGTGCAAGAATTTAAATACTTGGGAAGTATCTTTACATCCAATTGTAAAATAGACAGAGAGATCGAAGCAAGAATCCAACAAGCCAACAATGTCGCATACCAGCTTGCCCCAATTTTAAAACACCCTGCTGTCCCAGCTGAGATAAAAAGACAAATTATAAATACAATCTTTATACCGACATTAGGTTATCAATGTCAGACTTGGACATTAACAAAAGAACATGAGAGAAGACTAACCACCTGTGAAATGAGATGTTTGAGAATGGCTGCGAATAAAACCAGAAGAGATCGAGTGAGAAACGATGTGATTACAAGAACTATTGGAACCATACCCATCGTTAAAATTATTGAGAAGCAAAGAATGAAATGGTTTGGTCACCTAATGAGAATGGAACCAACGATGCCAGCATCAAGAGCATACAACATGAAAATCGAAACACCAAGAGGCAGGGGAAGACCAAGAAGAAGATGGATTGAGGGAGTCACGGACAACTTGAGACTTCATAACATCACGGCATATGAAGCGACTGAGCGCGCCCTGGCTCGGTTGCCGATCATCTGATAGACTGCGACGCCTAGCGGCACAAGCAGATTTTGACAAAAGAAGAAGAATAAATCGCGTGACTTTGCCAAACGGCTCTCTGGGCTGTTTAAGTTCAGCAAGTTTTAGTACGACGTGAATGGTGACGACGTAGCCCGACCGTTGCTAATCAAACTAGCTGGTATAATGTAAAGGACCCTTTTCCACGCCATCAATGTATTAACCTGCCTTTATTGACCAATATGCACTCAGTGGGTGATGGGGCCTTTACTTCCCATGACTGTGACTCTACCCATTTAAGGCCTATCCGACCTGATAGCCAAAGTAATTGAAAGTCCAGTGGCGTTCAAATTTCTCCCCACAACCCCCGGATCCGTAGGCGAGCGACTAACCACTGCACCAGGTCGGCTGGCTGATATAAAGCATCGAAAATAAGCCAGTGGCGTACTATATCCACACATCCTTTTTAGGATGAAATTTGTTGTTATTTGAAGCCCCTCCCTGGCTTTTGCCAGGGGTCGCAATATAAGCAGGCCATAAATATGGTCAATTGTCTGAACCCGGTTTCTGGGACCTCTCCACGGTGATCCTCATCCACATGGTGGCACACTGTGTCGTCGGGTGTTTATCGCTTGTGTGATGTTCTGGTGGCGGGGTAGAAAGTCAGTCAGCCAGTAGCGTCTAATCCAGTTTTTGTTAGCCGCCGCGCATGCGCATCCCCTGACGTCTGGATGAGCAAGATTTACGTTTGGTCCATCTTGTCTTTGACAGTTCTTTCTTCTTCATGAAATATGGCAGCTTTATTTTCTTGTACAAAGTGTCATAAAAGATATCTATTTGAAGAACTGTCAAAAGGCGAGCAGTTGTGCAAGGTAAATCATACAGGTTGTTTGCAAAATGTGGCTCCTAACCTGCAGTGACTGTTAAAGTTAATGATTTGTTATCTCTCAATTTTCACTTTCATTCATTTGGTTTGGTTTGGTTTTGGTAGTGACTAAACAAAGCATTTTTAACTTTAGTAAAATTTGTATTTTGCAACTTTACAAGTACAAGAATAACAGTAATTAAATTAGGTTAAATTAAACCCATTGAAGGTGATTTATTTCGTTTTTTTTCTTTTCTTCAAATGTTGAATTAAGAATTCACATGACAGCACTCTGCTGGACACTCCCATAAGTGCTCCGCCCCTTCTTCAGCAGCAGGGGAAGAGTTCCATTCCGATGGCACCAGTAACTGTCTGATAGTATATCCATCTCACCCTTCCCCTGAGTGTTGAGCGTCGGCCAGATCCCCAGGTAACTCCTCGCAGCTCCATTCTCCTCAGACCAAAATGATGTATCTTTGCCTCCGCTCACTCATTCCCAAAGGGCACTGACAATATCTAGCTTGTCATTTTTTTTGTTTCAAGAATACGTCAAATAGTTGAGTTTTCTGATTTTGAATTTCACGGATCGGTCAGTACCAAAGAGATAGACAATAGATATAGAAGAAACACAAGGCGCTCAAGACAAAAATTTACCTTTAACTCTTCTTCAAGTCCCAAGGAATGTATCAAACGTTCATATTTTACCCCCTTGAAGCCCAATGAACGCATGATGTGCCGATTTTAGTCTCTCTTGACTACCCCTTGGGCCTGTGATGCTAAACGCTCTGGGACTCAAAGAGTTAAGGTAGCAGCAGAGATGGTGTTTACCTGCAGTTTGAGACTTTTGATGAACAAAGATGCACAGTTTGACTAGAGACAGTTCTTGGATGTCATAGACTATATATATAATGTTTATGAAATTGACAAGATCATTTGTGCTGAGGAGTAGACTAAGGTGTCAGCCAACAAGACTGCCTTGCATAGAGCAGGAGTTGCTTTGGACCAAGGATTTTAGGAATGGATAGCACTTAATATGGAGACTTCATGGGGAATAGAGGAGAAGCAGCAACGAAATTCAAGATGTGGGGAAGTGAATACAATATGTATGAATGTGAATACAAGGTGTGTGAAGTGAACACAAGGTATGTGTGGAAGTGAATACAGGATGTGTGAAAGTGAATACAAGGTGTGTGGAAGAAAATACAATGTATGTGTGAAAGTGAATACAATGTATGTGTGAAAGTGAATACAGGATGTGTGAATGTGAATACATGGTGTGTGAAAGTGAATACAAGATGTGTATAAGTGAATGCAAGGTATGTGGAAAATAACTTAAAGCTTAAAATTTCTTGTAGATAATTATCCAACAGTTGACAAGTGTTTGCATTTTCCCTTTCTGTATGTTATAATTGAACCAGTAAGTAAACATTTGGAAATTTGAATTCCAGGATTGCAGAAATAACTTCCCGGTTGTGAAGTGCACTTACTGCAGAGTAGAATTTCTGCAAAACAGGTAATTTGTGGGCTCATCATACAGTAAAACCTCATTAACATGAATTTCAAGGGACGAAAATTGGGTTTCTGTCAAACACAAATTGTATTAACTGGGGACTAACCATAACACAACCCTGCTGGGACCAATATTTTAACCGTGTTCATCTTATGCAAGTTCATATCAATGGGGATTTACTGTAGTTATAAGGTTATTTTTGTGACTTGATCCAACACTTTCACATCAGTTTTAAATTTTGCACTTTTTCCTTTGCCGTACTTTGTTCTTCCCTGTTCTTATTTCCAGCACTTGTTGGGATAGGAAATATAGTTTTCATTAAAGCATTTGTAGAATGAGCTGACATAACTCAGGTCACAACCATCGTAGGGTTAGCAAACATGGAGGCTTTCACATATGTGCATAATGAGTGGTGATTTTCCTAATTTGTGGTATATTTATTTACACATAGGATTCTCACAACTTGACGATGAGAGTAGAAAACCTCCAAAAATGTAGCTATATTTGATTGTTTCTTGTAACTGTATAGACCAGAATAGTCTACACATATCCAGTGAATTCTGCGCATGTCTAAGAAGGCATGTGTTTACCTGGTGACAGAACAGTCTACACATATCCAGTGAATTCTGCGCATGTCTAAGAAGGCATGTGTTGACCTGGTGACAGAACAGTCTACACATATCCAGTGAATTCTGCGCATGTCTAAGAAGGCTTGTGTTGACCTGGTGACAGTCTTCCACAAGTTTGCTCTATTAGACAATTGAAATACTTTTTTTGGCAGACTTGTAAGAAATCAGCATCGAGGACAAATCTTGTGTATCATGTAACCTTCTGAGAGAGTCACAAAACGGAATCCAATGGGTTATAATTTAATAAAAATGCCAGTTCACATTGTTTAAAAAAAATCAACATTGTACCTAAACGTAACCTAAAAAAAAAGGTCAAAGCTTTGTTGTTGTATGTGAGAATGCCTTGAATTAATTACTTCAGCATTTGTTAAACTAAAACACTGCTGCCTGGTCAGCATGTTGATGAATAGATATCTAAATCTTATATTTTCTTTCTTTACTAAAGTTAATCTTCTTCTTAACATTCACTGGCTGTAAATTCTGGCGGCAAATTCTGGTTGTTCAGCCACTTCTTGGCCGTGGCCTTATCTCAGAACTCGAGTTTTGCATGCATATCCATTACATATCTGAATTATAGGAATGCAGACTGTTGGTTCCTTATCTCTCAGGCAGATGCTCTCCAACTTCAAAAGAATCCCCCAGAATTAGTCACCTTTTACAACATGCTTGTTCAGGGGGCACGAGATCTATTCTCCCCCCCCCCCCCCCCCCCCCTTAAAGTGTGGCCCAGGAACCCACACGGGACTGAAGTGAATCTATAGTTGTCATGTTACTGTGCCTGCTCATGGAACTTGTAAGGCAAAGATAGGCACAATGTAATCTACCAGTCATGGCATAAGCGATCACTCAGGAGGGTTGGCAAGAGACTCCTACCACAGAACACTTAAGCTGCAAAAAATATCAGTGCCTGATGCGTTCCATGGCACCCAAAGAGTTAACAAGTGTACAAGACGATTAGTGTGAGTAGGCTTCTTGTGCTGCATTGAAAGATGAAAGACTGAATACAAATATAATTGTACGAGGATGAGTTACTGTTGACATTTATCAATTATTTACAAAAATATGTACACCTTGTTTATCCTAGCAAGGGCAGCACAAGTACGATTTGTGCTAAATGTGCACAGAATGTCAAATATTATGGAAAGGTAAGTGCAACCATTTGTTCATAATTTTCTAGATTGTCTTAAGAGCATAAGTTGTAACTTTACGTCAGTGGTTTTCTACCTGGGGATGGGTGGGGTTGGAGTAAAGAAGTTTCAGAAAGGTGGGAGGGGGTGGGGTCCTCAGGCATTTTTGAAATGAAGGGCAGTTTTACTTGTAAAAATCTGTTACACTAACAGTTTTATTTTCAGTTTAATTATACATGAAATATGTTAAAGATAACTTTATCTTTGCGTTCGCTACTGTAAACTCCGGCAGGAAATTCTCATTATTGGTCCACCTTTGGTCTTTTCACTTGTTCCAGTACTTCAGTTTTGTGTGCACTTCTGTTTTACAGATCTGGCTTTTTTGTTCACAGAGGGGGTGTTGCCGTATATTGAAGGCGACAGCCTCCTTAAAAAGGTTGACAATTATTGCTTGACATAGTTAATGATGAACAGGTTTTGTTTGTGTGGTTATGGAACTTATTTTACAGAACTTTGCTAATGAGACCACTTCTAGTTTCTCTGAACTCTGGAATGTCTGAAGGAAGAAATAACTCTAGATAGATCATGACTTCATCACTTTCACATACGAGACAATAATCCTGATGTTGAAAAATAAAAAGATCGTTCATTAAATATTTATTTCAGTTTTACTGTAATGTTATTTCTGTGACATTAAATTTCTGTTTGTTTCCAGTTGGTCCATTCACTGATGGACTTGTGTTTGCCACATTATTTCAGCCAACTGCATGTGAAAACTGCAGTATTCTTGCAGCATTTATCGGTAACCGCTGTCAGAGGTGTGTCAACTCGGAAAAGAAATGGGGGCCCCCTTTGGCCTGTGAACAGTGCAAATTGAAGTGTGCTTTCAGTCGAGCAGAGAAGAAAAAGGTAAAACTATAGAAAATGTAGCACAGTTTAAGACAGAAGAGAGCTAGCAGTAAGATAATGCATAAGCAAATGAACTAGAGGCGAGATTGCTATCAGGCTTGACTGGCGGGCATCTGTTCTTCTTCTTCCTAACATTCATCGCTGTAAACTTTGGTGGAAAGTCATGGTTGTTTATTAACTTCTAGACTCTCTTCTTGTTGTAGGACTTGAGTGTTGCGAGCACATCCTTTTGTACAGACCTGGCTTATTTGTGTGCAGAATGTGGGTTCCTCACCTCTCGGGCAGATATGCCGAAAGAAACATCAGTCCTATTTATGTTGGCCAAGTCCCTGGTAGGGAACCTGCTTCTGGCATGTCCGTGGAGAGGTGTAGATAGGTCTCGACTAGTATAAGTCCTGTTCATAATGCACTGCCACATATGGTTTAGTACCTCTGCATCCCAGGCATCTGTTCGAACAGCATTTAAAGTGGAGTTTTCATTGACTCAGCTCCTTTGATTTCAGAGTACATCTGTCTGAGAAGTTAAGAACTAACAGTCTGCATAAAATATACAAATAAGCCAGTTCTATAAAATGGATGTAAAGGCAAAACGCAAGTTCTGAAACAAGACTAAAGTCCAGATGTGGATGAACAACCAGAACCTTTTGCTGGAATTTACAGCTGGTGAACGCAAATAAGAAAAAGAAAATTGATTCAGCCTCAATTGGATACCAAGAAATTTCTTGAAAGATAAAGTTTGTGGGATAGACACATCACTCATCAAGCGCAGTTTAATCTAAAACAATAAGACTATCTCCATTTACACAGTAAACCTAATGGCATCAAAGGGCCCTCAAATTATTGTACAGATGTAGCAAAGTATTCTTGAAAAAAAAAAAGAAAAAAAAACACACTGGGTAACCATCAGTAGTATCAGAGTGTCAGAAATGTCAGATGTGTGGGTTGAGGTTGACAGGCTGCTCACAGTCACACGGAGGATGGTTTGGTGCTTGTCCTAGTGATCATGACAAGCTATGACTCTCTGCATTGATTGGCACAGCACATGATGATAATCCAGAGGCACGCCATACAAAAGTCTACTGTCAAGTGAGCTCTCAGTGATTTCAAGCTTCCTCACCCACATTAGACTGCTGGTCTAGCTATTCCAAGTGCCCCATTTATAACTTCCTTAGAGGTTGAACCTGATATCTGGGATTTGTCATTTTAGCTTGCCATTCAGATTAAGATTTCACAGTCTCAGGTTGGTTCAGACCTTCAGCTAGCAGGCCGGAGTAGACAAAATGGAGAGAAGAAGAAGAAGAAACCTCTGATCTGATCAAAAGTTAACGTCACTCTTGCCTGATTGTAACAGACATTTTCAAGCACAGGTTGGCTACTCAGCCATCTCCACCTCACCCACTGTTGGGCAGAAATGACGATAGTGTGGTTGGCACTGATGGACAGACATCTCGTATGAATGTGGTTATTCATTCAGTCAGCATTTACCATCTCCAGAATAAAGTTTTGTTGCAGGGATCTTCAAGTTTTGTTGCAGGGATCTTCAGGTTTTGTTGCAGGGATCTTCAGGTTTTGTTGCAGGGATTGTTATCCACTGTGTATCCCAGACATTTAAAAAGAGTCAGCTGTCTCCAGCTCTTTACCATCACTGTAGACCGCAGGTCTATCATTAAAACTACACCATAATCTTTGCCTTCCTTTTTCTTTCTATTACCGGCACTCCTTTTATTCCATCTTTTTTCTGAATCTGTTTGTTTTTTTATTTGGGAATTTGTTCTTCCTTTTCTTTATTTCTGAATATTTTCTGTCCATTTATTTCCCCTTTTGTTCAACTATGAATGTTTTCTTCCCATTTGTTGTGCCAGCTTGATGGGAAACTCATGTGCTGGTTGTGTAACGAGGCATACAGAAGAGTTCTGGAAAAGACCAGGAAAACACAGGAGATAATTCTCAAGACATCACAGTCATCTTCTTCATTAATTGATGTTTCCAGCAAGTCTAATACCCCTACCAGTAATGGGCAAGGCGTACCTGTCAACCAGCCTGTGGCATCTGCATCATTTGAAGGCATGACTGTTCTCGAGCGATTGACCAGACTGGCCACAAGCGGTGGCAGCAGTCGGGGTAACACCCCGCCGGTTGACTTGGAGAAACATGCGAAGACTGATGTTCAAGAAAGCAGGTTAGCAGAAAGACAGCAGTCAGCTCCAGAGAAAGGTGCCAGTGGAGAAGAGGAGGAAGTGAAAGAGGAGAAAGAGAAGCAACGATCACTTCACAGACACCATCATCGTAAACATAGTCAACACCATCATCATCATTCACGTTCCAAGAAACATCACATCAAGTAAGTGTTAGTATGGGCTTTTCTTTCTTTGTTTTTTCTTCCCCTGACATCTCCATGTGTTCATTATTCCCTTCAGTTGTCTCACTTCCGTATTTTATTTCTGTTGGGTGTGTACATTTCCTCCAAATGTTTTCATTCACGCAGCACATTATGAGACAGTCTTCAGATGTTTACCGAGTCCCTTTAATAAATAACCGTGAAGCAGGCACGTGACAGCAGAGTGAATTGAGTGGATGTTAACAGCAAACAATAGTATTGCTGTTCAGAATGCAGTGGATGTTAACAGCAAACAATAGTATTGCTGTTCAGAATGCAGTGGATGTGAACAGCAAACAATAGTATTGCTGTTCAGAATGCAGTGGATGTGAACAGCAAACAATAGTATTGCTGTTCAGAATGCAGTGGATGTGAACAGCAAACAATAGTATTGCTGTTCAGAATGCAGTGGATGTGAACAGCAAACAATAGTATTGCTGCTCAGAATGCTGAGGTGCTGAACCACAGATCGTGGCCACCAGGGCTCACATAGGTCACGACCTGCCTACACCCTCCGGCGGCCATCTTAGAAATAGGTTTTCAACTGGAAGCCTGATCAGCATGGATGGGATTGACATTTCATTCAGAGTCAGAGTACATCTGCTTGAGAGGCAAGCTACCAACAGTTTACACACAAATAAGCTAGATCTGTAAAACGAATGTGCACGCAACGCTTAAGTCATGGAACAAGACTAATGCCCAGAAGTGGACGAACAACCAGGAACCTTTACTAGAGTTACAGTTGTGGATGAAAATAAGAAGTATTTTTTTTCTTGGTTACGGTCAAACTTGGGCCATATTCTATGCATTGAAACACATACATCACAGAATACCACGACAGGAATGCTAGCATGTAACTGTGAAGATGCCACCTCATATCAGGCTGTGTCTCTGGTATACTGGACCTGCTCACTTACATGATACCTTTCAACAGTTTTTGATCCTAAATTGTCTTTCTATACAAGACAAACATGAGTTTCTTGTATTTCAATTGTCTTTCTATACAAGACAAACATGAGTTTCTTGTATTTAAATTATCTTTACACGCAAGACAGACATGAGTTTCTTGTATTTAAATTGCCTTTACACACACGACAGACATGAGTTTCTTGTATTTAAATTGTCTTTATACACAAGACAGACATGAGTTTCTTGAATTTAAATTACCTTTACACACAAGACAAACATGAGTTTCTTGTATTTAAATTGTCTTTACATGACTTGTATTTAAATTACCTTTACACACAAGACAAAACATGAGTTTCTTGTATTTCAATTGTCTTTCTATACAAGACAAACATGAGTTTCTTGTATTTAAATTGTCTTTCTATACAAGACAAACATGAGTTTCTTGTATTTAAATTACCTTTACACGCAAGACAGACATGAGTTTCTTGTATTTAAATTGTCTTTATACACAAGACAGACATGAGTTTCTTGTATTTAAATTGTCTTTATACACAAGACAGACATGAGTTTCTTGTATTTAAATTACCTTTACACACAAGACAAACATGAGTTTCTTGTATTTCAATTGTCTTTCTATACAAGACAAACATGAGTTTCTTGTATTTAAATTACCTTTACACGCAAGACAGACATTTTTCTTGTATTTAAATTGTCTTTATACACAAGACAGACATGATGATTTCAATTGTTTTTACAAGACAAACAATTGTATTTTTGCCTTTACAGACATGAGTTTCTTATATTTAATTGACAAGACGACATGAGTTTCTTGTATTTAAATTGCCTTTTATTTAAATTGCCTTTACACACAAGACAGACATGAGTTTCTTGTATTTACATTGCCTTTACACACAAGACAGACATGAGTTTTTTGTATTTAAATTGTCTTTCTACACTTAACAAAAATGAGCTTCTTGTATTTAAATTGTCTTTCTACACAAGACAAACATGAGCTTCTTGTATTTAAATTGCCTTTACACACAAGACAGACATGAGTTTCTTATATTTAAATTGCCTTTACACACAAGACAGACATGAGTTTCTTGTATTTAAATTGCCTTTACACACAAGACAGACATGAGTTTTTTGTATTTAAATTGCCTTTACACACAAGACAGACATGAGTTTCTTGTATTTAAATTGCCTTTACACACAAGACAGACATGAGTTTTTTGTATTTAAATTGTCTTTCTACACTTAACAAAAATGAGCTTCTTGTATTTAAATGGGGTTTCTATGCAAGACAAACATGAGCTCCTTGTATTTAACTTTTTTCTGCACAAGACAAGCAGGAATTTCTTGTTTTTAAATTGATTTTCTACACAAGGAAAATGTTAGTTTTTTAATTTTAAATAAAAAAAAAAATTAAAATAAGGAAGTGTGAGCTTGTAAAAAAGAAAATTGCTGGAACAAGTAAAATGTTAAATACAATATACTTAGGTCATGTCAAACATATAACACTTTATGGATGGAAAAGTTCAAGTGAAAAGAGTTAGAGGGTGTCAAAGACATAAAGGGACGGACATGACTTATGGGTTACATATGTGTGCCATGATGTTGATCCGAAGATTAAACATAAACATATTTTAGCGTAATGCACACCATGGGAGACCCAGGTTGGTAAGGCTGTGGTTTTTTCATGTTAGGATCATCTCTCCACAGTCAAAGTTAGTGGTATGGGCTCTAGTAGTGTCTGCTGGTAGCCCCAGTTGAACATCCTACCAGGCTATATCCTGACTGTCTTCATGTCTGTCCCTTTATGTCAGGGGCCGAATTAGCACAGTTGATTGTAGACTTGCTTTGAAATCCAGCTGCTACTCGCTGCAGCCCACGGCCGATGTTGAAACCGGGCGGTTCCCGGGGTTCACCTAGCCTCTGAGTAATGGGTACTAAAGTTAAGGCTCTGGGGTAAATGGAGGAACGTCGATATAGCTATGGAGTTACGTGCAGACGGCGCCACAAGCGGATAGTTTATGTCAGCTGTCTGTACTGGTTGCAGAACACTTATGGTTTATAACCGCGTGCAATGACGCTGGTTCACATCTCCCGACTTTACCTTTTAACCCATAAGTGCTCCTTTCTACTTCTAACTCAAGTCAATCTGAAGAATCTCAACGCAGTGTACAAACTCTGTTGCACCGGAAGGATCCTGAAATACTTCAAGTACATTTTTTACAGGCTAAAATATGTACACCTTTATTTATGATGATATTGTTTAAAAAAATTTTTTTTTTCAAAATAGAGACAGTGAGGGTGATGCTGGGGATGTGAAGAAACCAAAATCTGACAAGAACCCAGCGGATGGTGTTTCAACATCCACACCCAAAAGGTAAGTTCATATTCATCACATTTGTACTTCCATGATTTCTTCATCTCCATCATGAATTACGCCCGCCTGCTGACCTCAGGGTCGTGCGGCTTAATACATTTTTGGGGGAACACTGACCTTGGTTCCCATGTCAACCCAGCTTACAGTTGGTTCCAGGTGTTGTCCGGGGGAAATACAGGTGGCTGGCACATCACCCATCAACTGCTGACTGGTCTATAACGGCAATTTAACTGGAGGTCTGCGGGTTTGAATCTGGCCCTCGGAGGTCTAACAAGTGGCCCCCGGATCATTGCCAACTGTAATATATTAGCAGTCTTTCTATGCTAGGTCCGGAGCACCCGACGATCCCTAGTTTCAGCATTGTTACCCCTGATTTAACTTAGCTGAACAGCCTTGGTCTAGCATCATATGTCCAAAATTCCCCGTGTGGGTTCCGGGGCCCCATTGTGGGGAAAACAAGAATAGACCCACTGCCTCCCCAAAAGCATGTCGTAAGAGTCGGCTAATTGGGGAGCTTCCTTTGAAGTCAGAGTGCATCTGCGGGAGAGGCAAGGAACCAACAGTCTGTATTCAAGAGAATGAGATCTGTAAAACTGATACACACGCAACACTCTGGAGCAGGGTTGCATTCCAGTAGTGGATGAGCAACCAGAACCTTCCGCCAGAGTTTACAGCTGGTGAACGCGAAGAAGAAGAAGATATGTCCAAAATGTCACTGACAGGACAAGTCAGCTTGACATGATGACTTAACCCTACCAGACCTGAGGCCCTGAACCTAACTGCCCCCTACCAGACCTGAGGCCCTGAACCTAACTGCCCCCTATACCTGAGCTCTTGGGTATTTCCCCTACCAGACCTGAGGCCCTGAACCTAACTGCCCCCTATACCTGAGCTCTTGGGTATTTCCCCTACCAGACCTGAGGCCCTGAACCTAACTGCCCCCTATACCTGAGCTCTTGGGTATTTCCCCTACCAGACCTGAGGCCCTGAACCTAACTGCCCCCTATACCTGAGCTCTTGGGTATTTCCCCTACCAGACCTGAGGCCCTGAACCTAACTGCCCCCTATACCTGAGCTCCTGGGTATTTCCCCTACCAGACATGAGGCCATGAACCTAACTGCCCCCTATACCTGAGTCCCTGAACCTAACTGCCCCCTATACCTGAGCTCTTGGGTATTTCCCCTACCAGACATGAGGCCATGAACCTAACTGCCCCCTATACCTGAGCTCTTGGGTATTAACACTAAAAACCAACAAGATATACACAAATATTAGTTTCATGCAAACAAATGGTTAAAATAAGATAAAACTTAGAGACATTGTAGAAAATAGGTTTACCTTTCATCTAGCACCAATATTCCACTTCTTTGTGTTTGCCAATCCACCCAGCAGGATCAGCCTTGTTTCACAAAGTGAGCACCAGAGGTTGCTGTTTGAGGGACATGCCCCCTTCTCTTACTATCAATCTAGTTTTAAATCTATAATTTTCAAGATTCTTCTCATCACTCGAGCTCACACTGACTGTATCACTTCAACTTGGAATGTATTCTTCATGAAATTCTGGCTCCTCAGATTCTGAATTAACCAAAGTATCGATCACCTGTTGGTTGGTTCGTCAGCCGCTTGTTTCATTGTGAATTTTCAAAAAAATTTCACGTAAAACCGCACAAAAGTAAATCCAAACACACGTGGGCAGCCATTTGCAATGACTAACCATGAGGTTTCATCACGGCTGGTTGGTTATTTTTAGTTTTGACGCCTTTTGTCATGCAGTACGCAAAGTACCGAAAATTAGGTACAGCAGTTTAGCGGCAGATCAGGAAATTACCGAAAAAGTTATAAAGCGGTGTGGTAGAGTTAGAGTTTTGATCTGTGGTCCAACAGTTTGTAATCCGATGTTTGACAAGGTTGTTGTTCACTAATGTTCTCTTTGTTCATTCTCTCACTTATTTGCCACAACTGTTTATCATCAATTGAGTAGACTGGACTGTCACAACTGTTTATCATTAATTGAGTAGACTGGACTGTCACAACTGTTTATCATTAATTGAGTAGACTGGACTGTCACAACTGTTTATCATTCATTGTGTAGACTGGACTGTCACAGCTCTTATCATTAATTGAGTAGACTGGACTGTCACAGCTCTTATCATTCATTGTGTAGACTGGACTGTCACAGCTCTTATCATTAATTGAGTAGACTGGACTATCACAACTGTTTATCATTAATTGAGTAGACTGGACTGTCACAGCTCTTATCATTCATTGTGTAGACTGGACTGTCACAACTGTTTATCATTAATTGAGTAGACTGGACTGTCACAGCTCTTATCATTCATTGTGTAGACTAGACTATCACAACTGTTTATCATTAATTGAGTAGACTGGACTGTCACAGCTCTTATCATTCATTGTGTAGACTGGACTGTCACAGCTCTTATCATTCATTGTGTAGACTGGACTATCACAACTGGTTATCATTAATTGAGTAGACTGGACTGTCACAACTGTTTATCATTAATTGAGTAGACTGGACTGTCACAGCTCTTATCATTAATTGAGTAGACTGGACTATCACAACTGTTTATCATTAATTGAGTAGACTGGACTGTCACAGCTCTTATCATTCATTGTGTAGACTGGACTATCACAACTGTTTATCATTAATTGAGTAGACGACTGTCACAGCTCTTATCATTCATTGTCTAGACTGGACTGTCACAGCTCTTATCATTCATTGTGTAGACTGGACTGTCACAGCTATTATCATTCATTGTGTAGACTGGACTATCACAGCTCTTATCATTAATTGAGTAGACTGGACTGTCACAGCTCTTATCATTCATTGTGTAGACTGGACTGTCACAGCTCAAATCATTCATTGAGTAGAATGGACTGTCACAGCTCTTATCATTCATTGTGTAGACTGGAGCATCATATTGATTTGTGAAATAATCTTCCTTGAGTGTATCATTAGTTGTGCATGGATACTGTTTTATATTATTATTAATTTCATATATTTGCATTTTCATTAATTTATATTTTAATTATTTAATTCCATTTTCTTTCTGTTGTTTTATTTCTGGCTAAACATTTTGGGAGCTGCGGTAGCCCACCAGCGAGGCTTTCTTCTGCTGGCCACAAGGTCTAAGGTTCAGATTCCGCAGTGAGGCGGATATTTTTTCAAAACTGACCTTGCAGGTTGACCCAGCCTTAAATGGGTACCAGATCAAGTCCTAGGAAGTAAAGATGGCCAGCAAAACATTAACCCATCACCTATCCAGTTTTAATTGGTTTCTAAAAATATAAGTCCAAGTCGGGAGTCCTGAAGAAAATATTCTGTTGCTTAAAAAAAAATGTTTGTTGTTGTTATTGTAGGATCAGTAGTGTACCCTGTTGAGGTGATCTTCCATTTAGGAATGTACTGATACTGCCATGGTTGATCACCTTTAATATATATGTCTGTCACATGAGTGTGCTCAAAGAACACAACAGCTCATACTGAACCAATAGCACGAGGTAAAACTAGAAGCTCTGGCACAGTATCATGTGAGGCTACTGTCTTTCACTGACATCATGTCTCTGTTTCATTTCAGCACAGACGGTTATGTCTCTGTTTCATTTCAGCACAGACGGTTATGTCTCTGTTTCATTTCAGCACAGACGGTTATGTCTCTGTTTCATTTCAGCACAGACGGTTATGTCTCTGTTTCATTTCAGCACAGGCGGTTATGTCTCTGTTTCATTTCAGCACAGACGGTTATGTCTCTGTTTCATTTCAGCACAGACGGTTATGTCTCTGTTTCATTTCAGCACAGACGGTTATGTCTCTGACCACGGGGTTGATTCTGCAGCCTCAGAGAACGTGATTCTCATCACCCAGTTGCGAGAGCAGATAGAAAGCCTGAAGAAGCAGATGGTGATCAAAGACCAACAGCTAGTGGAGAGGGACCACAGGGTAATGAGTGTGTCCTGTTCTGTGAACAACAAGCATGTGCTAGTTACAACTGTTGCAGAGATGCCGCACGTTTGTGTTTACAGACCACAGATCCTTGTCTGACACTGCCAGCAGAAGTGACATTCTTGTTTTCTGATTCCATCACTGGTCATGAAAAGGCTTGTGCCAGAAATAAATAAAATCTCATAGTTGTCCTGTGTAGATGCCCTGGAGGTCCAGATTTTGTTTGTTATACCTAAGATAACTTCAGATTTATTCTTTGCTTCAGATTTTTTTTTTAAATATCTGAGACAACTTCAGATTTATTCTTTGCTTCGGATTTGTTTTTATATCTAAGACAACTTCAGATTTATTCCCTGCTTCAGATTTAAAAAAAAAAATATTTAAGATAACTTCAGGTTTTTTCTTTGCTTTATTAATATGCTACCCCAGATGATGTCACAGGATAGTCCAACATTTTAGAGGTTGGTAAGACTGGGTTTCCCGGCTTTCTGATGCTTAAATGACCCCAAAACATTTGGAACTGGCCCTAACCCCATCCCACCTACGTCCCACGAGAGAGTGCAGCTTAGGTCCCACGACTGCATGCAGCCTAGGTCCTACAACTGCATGCAGCCTATCTACCAACCTCTGAAATATTAATGTCCCGTGACCTGTGGATTTGTCTTGTTTGGTGGGGTAGGATATTAATAAAGCACAGATTTATTATTTGCTTCTGATTTTTTTTTAATTTCTAAGACAGCTTCAGATTTATTATTTGCTTCATATTTTTTTTTTAATTTCTAAGAAAACTTCAGATGTATTCTTTGCTTCATATTTTAGGTGTTAAATATACAGTTGTGTATGTGGCTCTTCTGGAGCCCTCAACCATAGACAGTGATACTGTTGGAGAGTTTCTCTGATAACTTGTTGTTGATCTAACTTGGGCTGTGAGTCGTCCCTCTCTTCTTGTAATATGTGCCTTGTATGTTATGTGGCATCACATTACAAGGCATTGTCACTAAGTAGGTAGATAATTTTATTTGCTGTCTCTGTCTGTAATTTGCATTGGTTCTATGCTGATTGTGTCTCTGATGGCTTTAGTTCACCTTCTGACTCTTCTGTTCATTACCACAGCTTTTCTTAGTCTCATTACCTTGGTTATCAGTGTTTCTCTAATTGTTATCAGTGGCCATGTCTAGCGCTGTAGTCTGGAGTGGACAGGAAAATCCTTTTTATGGAATGTTTCTTTCTACTGGATTTGAACTGTTTTATGTTGTGGTAGAGGGCTAGCTATCCCAGTAATTGGTTTGCTTTACTGCATTTAGTAAATGGCTTCCATGAGTACTGCACTGTAGTAGACTTGCCTGTAAGGGAAAGTCTGCCAGGGCTGAAACTGAACATGTGTAAGTTGGTCTGGAGAGCTGGGAAAGAATATCAGTGGCAGTGTTCTTTTTGTTTTGTTTACATTAATGTCTAGACAATTGTTCTGTGTGTAAAATACAATTATAGTCTGTACAGTCCCTTGCACACTTGCAGGCTTCTGCTAGCATTGATACAGATAATCTATAGTTACAAGGGCATGGGCCAAGGGATTCATGTGTACTCCATGTGTAATGTTTTTGAGGTTACATATTGCTTCCTCATTTCCCATGTTACTCCTGCATGATCTGTTCCTTGAACTGACAGTTACAGAAAATCCACAGCAAGTGTTACTGCACTGTATGAATGAATGAATCCAGAGTTGGTATCACTGCACTGAAGACATTGCCACACTTGCTGTCACCTTCCTCAGTAGTCAGTGAAGAGGTCACATACTAGTTGTTTTTTTTTTTACCTCTTCCTTTATCTTCATTGGGCAAAGAAGGTATCCCAATGCTGTGGTAATAATTCTTCTTTTAGTTTTAGTTGATTGCTATAAAGGTATTGACAAAGCATTGACTCTACACTAGGTCACAGAAGACCACTTTCATATATATATATATATATATATATATATATATATATGTTAGGTCGTGGATTTCCTCCTTCATCACCCGTTACCCAACTGTTAGTAAAGTTTTATGTCTGGTGAGCAAGAGGTAGTGTTATAAATGGGTGGGTGACATCAAGAGATGGATGAACAGCAGTTGGAGAGAGTGTAAAACCAGAGTGAGAGACAGACTGTTTGAAATCCATTGCAGTTAACCTTTATTGTCGAGACAGCACACAGCTAAGTCTGGTGCATAAGTTGTGATTCAGTTATTTTCCATGAGAGGTCTACATTGCAATCTGATCACACCATTTTCCTTGGGATCTCAAAGTTATAGATTTTTTTCCACTGAACCATTTGGTAGACAGATGTAGTTGTTTTGCAGATCGCTGGTGATTATCACTGAAGCTGTAGAGTTAGTGCTTCATGTGAGGCTCTCGGCAGGCAGAGACAGAACAAAACTTAGTGAAGTCAGTCCTTTCATTTGTAATCATCCCTTCCATGCTGTATGCTGCCTGTGATTTCTGGACATAATTTCAAGCTAGTCACCGTTTTAACCTGCCTCCATTTATCTGTCAGTAGGAAAAGACTCTAGCAGATCCGCACAGGTAGACCCGGGGCAAATAGAGCCATTGGGATGTGAGATGGCTGGCTGACTGGCACAGGTAGACCCAGAGCAGTTACAATCATTGGGATGTGAGATGGCTGGCTGACTGGCACAGGTAGACCCAGGGCAGATACAATCATTGGGATGTGAGATGGCTAGCTGACTGGCACAGGTAGACCCAGGGCAGATACAATCATTGGGATGTGAGATGGCTGGCTGACTGGCACAGGTAGACCCAGAGCAGTTACAATCATTGGGATGTGAGATGACTGGCTGACTGGCACAGGTAGACCCAGGGCAGATACAATCATTGGGATGTGAGATGGCTGGCTGACTGGCACAGGTAGACCCAGGGCAGATACAATCATTGGGATGTGAGATGGCTAGCTGACTGGCACAGGTAGACCCAGGGCAGATACAATCATTGGGATGTGAGATGGCTGGCTGACTGGCACAGGTAGACCCAGGGCAGATACAATCATTGGGATGTGAGATGAATGGCCAGTATACCAGCATGATTTCTCAGTCTGAAGACACTCAGAATATACCAGGGCAACACTTCAGGAATACTTGTATACAACTGACAAATGCCAGCGGAAATTACATATAAACTAGAGACTTTTCCCCAAAACAATAATGACAACATAATCTTGTGGATATTGTCACTAGACAAAATCACAATAAAGAACTGGGGAGGAAAACAAAATGTCAGCCACTGGCAAATGTTATCACAGGAAGGAAGAAGATGGAGATGATTTGGACATGGGTGCATAATGCCTCATGAAACTTTAGTAAGGACAGCTCTCTGGTGGACAGCATATGGAAAAAGAAAATATGGAAGATCTAAGGAACCCTGGAGAATGATAGTAGAAAGGGAAATGGAGTATAAGGTAAAGGTAAAGTTGGGAGATGTGAACCAGTGTCATTGCACACAGTTATAACCCATAAGTGCTCTGCCATCAGTACGGACAGCTGTAAAAAACTGTCCGCCTGTGTCGCCGTCCGCACAAAACTCCATAGCTACAGCGACGTTCTTCTATTTACCCCAGAGTGTTAACTCTGTTAACCATTACCTAGAAGCTAGGTGAACCACGGGAACTGCCCAGTTTTGAACACCGGCCGTGGGCTGCAGCAAGTCGATGCTGGATTTCAAAGTTAGTCTCCTATCGACTGTTCTTACACGGCCCCAAAAAAACAAGGTATAAAACAGGGGATACCAAGGGCAGAAAAGCTGCAGGCCAGCAGTAATGGAGGTCACATGTGAATGCCTTGTGTGTCAACAGCGACATGAACTGGATATAGAATAGATACTAGCATGATAGAGAATGTCAGTGGGTATGTCTATATTTTTTTAGTTGGTGCTTCATTGATGATGAGCTGTTTGCCATGTTGTTCATGTAGATCACAGAGCTGAAAGTCCAGATGTGTGAAGGTGAGACAGAGTTCAGAGCTAAAGTTCAGGCCATGCATCAGAGTCACGCTACAGCCATAGAAAATTGTCAGGTGAGTAGAGCATAAGCTTGTGGCAATGCTTGAGCAGTTTATGTTTACATGCACAGCTGTGGTGTGTACCCAAAAATGGTTTCACAGGTCGGTCTTGTGAATTCTCAGATAATAGTCGCAGAGCATAATGCTGAAAAAGATGACTGGGCTGATCTGTCAGCCCGGTAAAAAAAAAAGGTCTTGAGATTGGCTGGCTGGTCTTCTTACCAGCCAGTCAAATTGTTTCTTGCACATCAGGGCCTTAAAGTGACAGCCATTCACGAGTTTGTAGTGTTCTGTAATGTGTGTGTGTTCCTTGTACCCAACAATGGCGAAAAGGACTATTGCATCTGTAGAAACCAAAATTAGCAAGAAAAAGAGGAGAACCATGTACCAGAGGTGTCAAAAGGGCCTCTATGAACCTTGTTTCCCAAAACACAAGTGTTAGGACTTCATCCAGACTTCATCCATACAAAATTCCCCTAAATTTTTCAAGTTAGGCGTGTTTGTTCCTAAGTTTAAATTAACCTTTTTGAGACGGAGCTTATTTGGAGTGTCAGGGAAGACTCTCATAGTTTTCATACAAAAATTATAAAAAAATTAAGCCCGTAATTAACCTATACAAAACTATTTATATTTGGGAAGAAAAATGAATGAACTAACAGAATATGTATGAATCAAACTGAAATCTCAAAATTATTTCAAATTAACTATCATCATTTGCATAATTTATGCAGACATTTTTAAAAAACTTGGGATCAAACATGACTAACCTGAAAAATTTGAGTTAATTTTTTTTATGGATGAAGCCTGAGTCCCAAGACTTGTGTTTTGGGGAAAAAAAAAGACCCATGGAGGCCGTTCAGACACTTCTGACACATAGTTTTACTCATCTTCATGCCTTCTGCTATGTTTTGGTTGCTATGATGCAACAGGCCTTTTCGCCGTCGTTGAGCACAGGTAAGCCCACACAAAAACCCACTGTAAAATTACAGAACACGTCAAACTTACTCGAAAGCTGTCATTAAACAGCCCACATGTGCAAGAAATACCAGAAGCAATCTGATTGGCTGGTACCAAAATCTGCCAGCTGTTTTGAAGGCTTTCATTACGCAGGGCCTACTGATCGACCCAGCCGTCCTTTTGGCTACTTTGCTTTAGGTCTATATTTAGGTGGCGGCGTCTCCAGAGGGTTAAAAAAAAATAATAATTTTAATAAATGTTGAGATTTCAGTTTGCTTCATAAAGATTGTGTTAGTTCATTTAATTTCCTACAAGAATATGTATAGTTTTATGTGTGTTTAATTTTTATTATTATTTTTAAAATAACTTTTTGTGTGCAAATTAAACGAATCCCCTCAGCAGGGCTCCATTTCTTCACACTGAAACTCTGAATGAGGTTTTGTCTCCAAAGAGTTAATGTACATTCTCTCCCATATCACACTGACGACCTATAATTTTTGATTTCTTCTGCAACAGATCAAAAACAAGGAGCTGACCCGCCAGTCTTTATTACTGAGAAAGAACAAGAAGTCAACAGATGCCTCGTAGCCCTCCTGTCTTCAGTTTTCTGTCTATCAGTATAAGCTTGTGTAATGTTTTGTATGCCACCGCCAGTGTTCACCGATGGTTTGACCACCTAGAGATTCTGCCACAACATATGAGAATATGTTAGCAATCGACTATTTCATTTGAATCTTGTTGCCTGCACTTAGTACAGTCTCTAAAAGTGTACTGGCACCAACATCATTGTACCGGGTGTTATCCTGTGCTGGTCTGTCTCCACATAGTAGCTAACCACATGTACACAGCTGTGCACTGAGCACAAACTCTGTAGCTCTAGTGATGGCACAGCTTCAACAGCTGGGCACTGTTTCAGACCCTTCTCTGTCCTGTGGATCTCTTCCCTTGTGAACCTCTCCCAGGTGAATCAGTCGCTCCTCATGTGAATCTCTCCCCATGTGAATAACTTCCAGTGAAGCCAGCCAACTTATAGCTCCTCATGTGAATCTCTCCCCATGTGAATAACTTCCAGTGAAGCCAGCCAACTTATAGCTCCTCATGTGAATCTCTCCCCATGTGAATAACTTCCAGTGAAGCCAGCCAACTTATAGCTCCTCATGTGAATCTCTCCCCATGTGAATAACTTCCAGTGAAGCCAGCCAACCTATAGGAAACTTGCTGTTCGCTGATTTTTTGTACACCTGTTTTATTATAACATCAACTTAACTCTTCCTGTGAAACTTAACAGTAGCTCAGTGTATTGGTGTATTGTCTTACACCCCCCCCCCCCCCCCCCCCCCCCCCCCCCAATTTGGCTAGAAGTTAATAAATCAATCTGGCCTTTTCATTGGAAATATTAATTGTAATGTATTGAACTCATGTTTCATATCAGTTCTTTTTCTCTTGAGCATCAACTGTTGAGAGGGTAGGAGGATTAAATAAGCTGTAGAAGGCAGACAATAAAAGCTGTCCTGTCCGGTTCTCTTTTCATTTAAAATAAGGTTTGAACAATTGTTCAATTTGAAATGTGATTACTCGCCGGTTTGCCACCAAATTTTTAAAGTTTTTTATTCTGAATTGTGATTTAGAATTTAGCATAGGCATTTAGAATGTTAAAAACTGCAAACAACAAAATCTGGCAAACTCTTTGGCAAACCTCTACACCCCAAGGTAGAAGATGATTAAGTAAGTAAGTATTTAGAATGTCTGAACATTCTTTAAAAAAACAAAAGAGAGAGAAAGAATGTAGTACGGGTGATGTTGAACCTGTTGTGCTGTATGGCAGTGAATAAATAAATTGTGAACTTGGAGGTTGCGGAAACGTGGTTTATGCGATGATTGTTTCGAATACCTGGGCTAGACACATTAGAAAATCAATGCCTGCAAAAACCTAATGAAAGTAGAAATGTGTAGGCAGATACAAGAAAAAGATATTTATTTTGAGCATATGGCCACAAACAAGAGAAAGCACAGGAAAATATTGTGATGACTGGAAAGATCAACTGTAGACAAGGCAGAGGCAGCGGATGCTGGCATGAAGGAATATCATCCGTTGAGTGGATCCAGAACACTGCGATCTGCGTAGAGATGTGATAACCTACTTCCTCTGACAAGACTCGGGGTGTACAGGCGAAGTGGGTAAGCTGATTGCCTTGTGCCCTGAAGATCATGGGTTTGTTTCATGGCTACATCATTTGGTTCATATGTGCATTTAACACTGATCCCTGGGGATTGCCTCATAGCTTCTGCAACGCTCTCTGCAGGCGGCTGGCTGTTCTGCATAGAGACTGAGCCATGTATAATTTAAAAAAAATAAAGTTGATAATCTGGACTTTAACTAACACATGTGATGATGAAGTCACTTTAAATCACATAAATTACTGGGGATTGTGTGTGTGTATATCTCTGTTTATTTGTATTAAAATGTTTGTTGATTTATAAACATAATTTTGTCCTTGCCTCCTCATTTTAGGTCAGTAAAATATTTCATTGTTAGCGTTTTTGTGACCATATCATGTTTCTGTAAGTCAAGATGGTATGCTGTCATATGAGAAATATACATCAGTCGAATTTACCAATTGTGGATTTCTTGTACTAAATGTATTTATTGTTGTGCTATTTTTAGCTGTTTCTGTTATCATATTATTTTGTTGTATTTTGGCAGCTTTTTGTCTTTTCAGACTGTTGGAAACTATGTCCAGACTGTTGGCAACGTTTTGTCTGTCCAGACTGAAATTAACATTTTGTCTGTTCATATGTCACAACTTTTTGTCTGTCCAGACTGTTGGCAACTTGTTGTCTGTACAGACAGTAGTGTTATATTGTGCTATAGGGAGACAGAAGAATTGCTGCCTATGGCGATATGTTCATTTTAAAACTTTTTCTGTCTATTATGTTGTATTCATGTGACATTTGTCTGCAGTATTACATTAAATAGGTTGTCCGAGGATAAATTCTTCTTCCTGTGCATGTTGTCCCCTAATGGCACATCAGCCCTCAACAAACACATACCTGATTGTTGTTTTGTTACTACCATGACCAGCTCAGCCCATGTCCTGACCATTCTTTTCACAGCTCTCTGGTTTTCTTCTCCAAGTGCTTGTTGTTAGTGTTGGTCTCCTTTCATTGTATAACACCATCAGTCATTGTATAACACCATCAGTCAAATCAAAGTCAAAGTCCCTTGACACACCAGTGTCATCAGGCATGTAATGTAAGGCCATAATCAGCACTCCGTTGGTGATGTGTTCAACATCCCGAGGGTTGCCTTGACTTCCCAGGACTTTATCTGGTAACTATTTAAGGCTGGGTGGATCTGGAAACCAAGGTCATGTGTGAAAAAAGTGGCTCCGTGTGGATTTGAACCTGCATCCTTTTGATCTGCAGGTGAGCATCTAGCCGCTACATCAGGCGGCCCATGTATGATACCGTAGCTAGAGTGATGATATAGGAGGCCACAGAGTTGCACATATTCACCTTACAAACACCAGATAGTTGCACATATTCACCTTACAAACACCAGATAGTTGCACATATTCACTGTGCAAACTCCAGAGAGTAGCACATATTCACTGTACAAACACCACAGAGTTGCACATATTCACCATACAAACACCACAGAGTTGCACATATTCACCATAAAAACACCACAGAGTTGCACATATTCACTGTACAAACACCACAAAGTAGCACATATTCACTGTACAAACACCACAGAGTTGCACATATTCACTGTACAAACACCACAGAGTTGCATATATTCACCATAAAAACACCACAGAGTTGCACATATTCACCTTACAAACACCAGATAGTTGCACATATTCACTGTGCAAACTCCAGAGAGTAGCACATATTCACTGTACAAACACCACAGAGTTGCATATATTCACTGTACAAACACCACAGAGTTGCACATATTCACCATACAAACACCACAGAGTTGCACATATTCACCATAAAAACACCACAGAGTTGCACATATTCACTGTACAAACACCACAAAGTAGCACATATTCACTGTACAAACACCACAGAGTTGCACATATTCACTGTACAAACACCACAGAGTTGCATATATTCACCATAAAAACACCACAGAGTTGCACATATTCACTGTACAAACACCACAGAGTTGCACATATTCACTGTACAAACACCACAGAGTTGCACATATTCACTGTACAAACACCACAGAGTTGCACATATTCACTGTACAAACACCACAGAGTTGCACATATTCACTGTACAAACACCACAGAGTTGCACATATTCACTGTACAAACACCACAGAGTTGCACATATTCACTGTACAAACATCACAGAGTTGCACATATTCACCATACAAATACCAGACAGTTGCACATATTCAATGTACAAACACCACAGAGTTATTCATATTCACCGTACAAACACCAGACAAGTTGCACATATTCAATGTTCAAATACCACAGAGTTGCACATATTCACTGTACAAACACCACAGAGTTGCACATATTCACTGTACAAACACCACAGAGTTGCACATATTCACCGTACAAACACCAGAGTTGCACAAATTCACCATACAAACACCACAGAGTTGCACATATTCACCGTACAAACACCACAGAGTTGCACATATTCACTGTACAAACACCATAGAGTTGCACATATTCACCGTACAAACACCACAGAGTTACACATATTCACCGTACAAACACCACAGAGTTGCACATATTCAATGTACAAACACCACAGAGTTGCACATATTCAATGTACAAACACCACAGAGTTGCACATATTCACCGTACAAACACCACAGAGTTGCACATATTCACCGTACAAACACCAGAGTTGCACATATTCACTGTACAAACACCATAGAGTTGCACATATTCATCGTACAAACACCACAGAGTTACACATATTCATCGTACAAACACCATAGAGTTGCACATATTCACTATACAAACACCACAGTTGCACATATTCACCGTACAAACACCACAGTTGCACATATTCACTGTACAAACACCACAGAGTTGCACATATTCACTGTACAAACACCACAGAGTTGCACATATTCACTATACAAACACCACAGTTGCACATATTCACCGTACAAACACCACAGTTGCACATATTCACCTTACAACCAGAGTTGCACATATTCACTGTACAAACACCACAAAGTTGCACATATTCACTATACAAACACCACAAAGTTGCACATATTCACTATACAAACACCACAAAGTTGCACATATTCACTATACAAACACCACAAAGTTGCACATATTCACTATACAAACACCACAGAGTTGCACATATTCACCGTACAAACACCACAGAGTTGCACATATTCACCTTACAAACACCAGAGTTGCACATATTCACTGTACAAACACCACAGAGTTACACATATTCACTGTACAAACACCACAGAGTTGCACATATTCACCATACAAACACCACAGAGTTGCACATATTCACCTTAAAAACACCAGAGACAATTTGTAGTAGCCATTCGTGACACCATGGCAAAGATCAGGTATAAAAACTAAATATTTTATGTTTATTGTTTGTGGATGTACAGGAAATATACCTCAACAGTTGTAGTCCTTACAACAGCCTGAAATTTGCAAACCTGTAATGTTCTGTCTCCTTGTTACTGTTACCCGGCTGCAATCTCTGGAAAGTTCTGCTTGTTCATCCACTGCTGGACTTTTGGTCTTAACAAGAACCCTGTGCTTAGGAGGAATTGTTATATATTTGTGTTTTTATGATAGCTTGAATGTTGTAATAACAGGGTTGTTCCAGCGGCATGGATCAGAATGATTGTACAGGATAGAAGGCAGAGGAGGAATGCACAGCAAGTCCTAGGTGGTGTCAATAAGGCAAAACAAGACAACAGTAAATAAAACGGATACTGGCAAACTTAAAATATTTGCATTGAATTTCTCGGATTTATAAAATGACAGAAATCAATTTCAAATTCTAATACCTCGATCTTATCTAACTCTGACAATGGAGAGCATTCCAGCCCAGTAAAATACTATGGCAGCAATACAGAACTACTAGGTTATCACCCATCAATTATGAACAGGACAAAGTCTTCAACACCAGGATGAAGAGATAATATAACACTTTTATTGTTAAACAGTTGAGAAGGGGACTTTAACAAACTGCCTTTCGGACCTCTCTCTTGTCAAATACACCATTCTCACATTTTTTGCTAGGTTAATATTAACAACAACAATGCATGCATTACAAGCAAACATGGTAAATATGCAGCAACAACTAAATAACTGCTATATGACTATATAATCATTACTATTCTAGTTAGGCTAAAGGGAAAATATGGAGATAGTAATCAAGATTATGTCATGGTCAGCTGACAGTCATCCACATCCAGTGATGATGTCATTATCAGCTGACAGTCATCTACATCCAATGATGTGCTGAGGTATCTATGTTGACTCCATATCTATAACAACTTTCCCTCGGAGATGTCCTTCAGATACTTGCTTGAAGGCGGCAGGGACTTCACTAAACGGGAACACCTGATGAAGGACGGGCCTCACCTGGTCACAGCGACAAATAAATGAACATGACTGGCACTCTCAAATGTGTTTTACAAATGCAATCCTAAATTAAGTGACGTCACATGAAAACAGATCACTTCAGATCAACTTGCTACTAGAAGGGAACAAGTGAGTGATTTTGAGGCAAGTTATAGAGAGTACAGTTTTATTGTCTTCTTCTTAACGTTCACTGGCTATATAGTCCGGCAGAAAGTTCTGGTTGTTTCTGGACTTTTGTTCTGTTCTAGAGCTCAAGTTTTGCGTACACATTCGTTTTAGAGATCCGACTTATCGGTACACAAATTGCTGGTCCCTTGACCCTCAGGCAGATGGACTCCAACACTTTGAAGGAAACACCCCTAATTAGTTGCCTTCTATGGCATGCTTGTTGGGGTGTGGTAGGTCCATTCTGGTTCTCCCCAAAACAGGGCGAGGTAACTCCCACAGGAGGAAGGGGTGTGGTGGGTCCATTCTTGTTCTCCCCAAAACAGGGTGAGGCAACTCCCACAGGAGGAAGGGGTGTGGTGGGTCCATTCTTGTTCTCCCCAAAACAGGGTGAGGGAACTCTCACAGGAGGAATGTTATAAAAATAAATAAATGGCTGGAGCCTGGGGTTGGTTCTTCAGTGTTTAATTTCTGTCTTGCATCTATTCCAGCATGGGTCACAGACAGAACGGCATGTTTGAGTCTTCACTGGGGCTTCATAGTTGGTCTTACATTTTGGGAGAGCAGACTGGATTTTTTCATTTCTGTAAGAAGGATGTGTCTCTGGAAGAACCAAACATAAGACACGCCTGTGTACCCAGTTATTTTGTTTTTTTAACCGTGCCAAGTGTATGGTTGTTTGAAAGCAAAGTTTGGTATTTAAAAAAACAAAACATTTATAACTCTTTGAGTCTCAAGGAACGCATCATAGGTTCCTACCTAGAAGCCCAATGAGTGCATGATGTGTCGATTTTATTACTTTCTTTACTACCCCCTGGGCCTGTGATGCTAAACCCCCTGGGACGCGATGAGTTAACAAGGGAGAAAGCAGATGACTCGTGGACATGTTATAAATCCCTCGACAGACAGCTGGAAATCAACATGAGCAGACCATTATCAAGGCTATATTTAAAAGTCAGCCTCTTTGATTCAAAGATATACACATCTGATTGCTGGAGAGAGCTAGTGCTCGATTTAGGCATACAAACTCAGGGTCTCACAATCAGTAGGGGCTTCAACAAATTTCTATTTTTTCTGTTGACAAATCCATTTTTCTTTCAACTGAGCATTTAAGAGGAGTCCCAAGAAACGTATGATACGTTCATAGGTTACTGCCTTGAAGCCCAATGAATGCATCATACGCTGATTTTACATCTCTCTTGACTACCCCTTTGCCTGTGATGCTGACCCCTCTGAGACTCAAAGAGTTATATTAATTTCTATGATATCGCTATCTGTTTCAGAGAAAGATGAACTGAATGGATATATCACCAATTGTAGCTTTGAAAGGGAAATATAATGTCAAATTAATTTTTTAAAATATGTCTTCTTATAAAATTTAGCGATTTGTTTGTATAAGAATATGTTATCATACAATCTAGAGTCAAATATTGTTTTTATCAAATGGAATTCTATTAATTTAAATTACTTCTAAAGCAACAAAGATTTTAATTATGCAATTTTTATAAACTATAACTCCTCCATAAATTAAAAATATGGCGAGCCGTGACGTATGTATTTCTATTATGCCTTAAACTAATGAGTAAGGAAAATAACGAGCCTGGGTGATTACAGGCTCCCAGACAAGACGTTCTGGAAGAATTTGTTTCTGGGCTTAGGTCGCCCCCAGGTGACCCACCTACTTTGTGGGATGCCAGGGTTGAGTGATCTGCCCTTATATTTCAAATGGCAGGAACACAGTATCAACAGATAATAACCACACATTAGTTAGTTTGGTGGGTTATCATCATTGCACTCCGGACACGGCCATAGGTGCTCAGATCCTCCCTTCAGTATCAAGAAAAGTTATTAGCAAGCTTCACAATATAACAAATACAAACAAAACGTGAGCGTTGCGGCTATTGAGCCTTCATCAGCATAAACAATATGCAAGTCTTCTGGTGTGCATCTTGTTTTTTGCCGATCTTAATTCCCAAGTCTGCCATTCTGGCAAGTGATGTGGATTTACTACCCTCAAAGTCCTCTATCCTTCTCATTTCTCTGAGGGCATTAATAATATCAGCATGATCTTTAGGCTGACCTTCAATAGTGATAGCGGATCCAGCCAAATAATCAGCTCTTTAATTTCCATCTAAGCCTGCGTTCTTGGGAACAAAAATAAAGGTGACTCCACACACAGTGGACTTCTGTAATGATTCAAGCCATTGTCTTCGCACCGAACCTGCCTGAACCCTCCGGATCATATTCATTGAATCACTGAGTGGGTGTTGTTTTGTCTTTCGAGCCAGGCGAACGCTTGCGTCACTGCCATCAACTCCATCATCATGCTGCTGGTTGTCATGGAGAAGGCGCCGTTAGCTTCTTTGACAGTTCTGCCCCCTGAGCGTGCTGTGAATGCCCATGCGCTTCTCTTTTGGCGTATAACCGATCCCTCTGTGTTGATTAGTGCATCTGCTTTATCTGAATTTTCACTGATGAAAGCGTTGACCTCTGCATTAACAGCAACAGGATTCTCTTCTCTACATCGCCTGTTCAGTGTGCAATACAGGAAAATGTACAAATAAGTGCATGAGGCACAGGTATCCACTCTGCACCAGGGGTGATGTCGGTTAGGCTGAATATTTGCCTAATAACATCTTCTGCTCGACGTAGCCATGATTTTCCGCTCTTCAGCCTGTAGCCCTTTTTACTAAAAACCGCTTGATTTTTTAGCTATTTTAAGGTATGCCTGAGCCCACCAGATTCTGATCCTTTGGTTCATAGTTGGAAAGTCAAATAGATACCTCACTGCTCCACAGGATGTGTCTCTTGTACATTCCAAAATAATGCGCATGGCTTCATTTTGCACCTTTTCAAGTCGTTCAGTCTGAGTAGCACTGACAGTGAGGATGGCCAGAGCGTATTCAATGGGGGAAAGGACCAGACCGTAGAATAGAAGTATTAGTGGTCTTTGCTCGATATTGGAATCAGCCATAATCCTCATTGCAGATAGACCTTTGCGTGCTTTTGTTATCACCGGGTCAACATGTTTCCTGAATGACAAGCTGCTATCAAACCGCACCCCGAAAAACGTCAAAATGTTGGTTCTGATCAACACATTATCACAATGTCGCCATCCTGTCAATGTGTTTTACATTCTGTGTTGTCATATTTCTATATTTGAGTTCACAAACTAAACGTTCGGTTGTGTTTGTGTGTGTCACCCATTCCTTCCATTGAGCTTTCTAATCACATTGTGTCTTATATTTAGCATTTCTGACATCAAGAGACAACAAATTAAATGGTTTATCCATCTGTCAAGACTACCACTGTTGTTCATCCATCATGAGTGATGAAGATCACTTTCATCCATCATGAGTGATGAAGACCACTTTCATCCATCATGAGTGATAAAGACCACTTTCATCCATCATGAGTGATGAAGACCACTTTCATCCATCATGAGTGATAAAGACCACTTTCATCCATCATGAGTGATGAAGACCACTTTCATCCATCATGAGTGATAAAGACCACTTTCATCCATCATGAGTGATGGAGACCACTTTTCATCCATCATGAGTGATGGAGACCACTTTCATCCATTATGAGTGATAAAGACCACTTTCATCCATCATGAGTGATGGAGACCACTTTTCATCCATCATGAGTGATGGAGACCACTTTCATCCATTATGAGTGATGGAGACCACTTTCATCCATCATGAGTGATGGAGACCACTATTCATCTATCATGAGTGATGGAGACCACTATTCATCCATCATGAGTGATGGAGACCACTATTCATCCATCATGAGTGATGGAGACCACTTTCATCCATCATGAGTGATGGAGACCACTTTCATCCATCATGAGTGATGGAGACCACTTTCATCCATCATGAGTGATGGAGACCACTATTCATCCATCATGAGTGATGGAGACCACTTTCATCCATCATGAGTGATGAAAACCACTTTCATCCATCATGAGTAATGGAGACCACTTTCATCTAAAGTAGGATAGCTGGATGAAAGTGACTTGCGCAAGGACTTGGATTTAAGTGAGGAAGAGTTGCACAATACTACACTCACTCTCTCGACTGTGTCCATCTTGATCCAATGGCAGGGCAATGTCAAGACGAATGGAAATGGACCTAGGTGCAAGACTACCACTAGATAGTACACCACGGTAAGATCGGACGCCCGTGTGTATTGCGCATGTAAAAAATCCCTTGGCAGTTGGAAATCATGTACTGAGGGTGTAGCCTAACGGCGCTGCACGGGCAAAATTTGGAGTTAAAAATCTTCCCAAAGTATTTCAGGATTCTCGCCGGTGCTATGGAGTTCGTGCACTGTGCTGAAATTCTTCGGACTCAGACTTGAGTTAGAAGTTGAACGGAGCACTTATGGGTTGCTACCCTTGTGCCATCATGTTGATCCACTGTATAAAGACACTAGACAGGATCAGAAATGACCATTTCAGGAAAGAAGTTTGGACGGAACCAATAGTAAACTACATCAAGAGACAACAGATGAAATGGTTCGGACATGATCACTAGACAGTACATCACAGACAAACCTGGAGTTTAGGTCTGACACTGAAAGGCATAATAAGACTAGAGGAAAAGATCTCTGTGGCCCAGAGCTTACTAATGAAGTTGACATAACCTCAGCCCCAAATATATGCATGCCCCTCTTACCCGCAACAAAAAGTCTGAACTCAAAAATTACCTGTCCATTTTCCACCATTTGCCTGACTTTATCCATTGCTGCACCGTTGGGTATGAACACAGCCCATCTCACACTCCTGCCTGACTGCAAACCCTGTCAACAAAATTGCATTTACAGTTTGTTAACCGAATCAAAATTATTGCACTGCTGACAAACTATCAAGTGTTTAGGGTCTCTGGGAAGACTTTGACTGAAATCAATTCAGCCAGTAACATACTGTTTAGATGCTGACACCATGTTAATCAAGTGTATTTCACTGACCCTACACACCTGTCCACATATATCTCTTCCTCAACCTTTCTTGTTCAGTATTTCTTGCTCTCAAGTCATTTTTAACCAAGTTAGTCTTTCTAGGAATAGAAGCATCCATATCTCAGTGTAATCTGGTAATCTGGTAATCCTAGTTTCAGCATCATAGCAAACGGGTCACCCCATTGTTGCTCCGCTCCTGTGCCAACGAAAAACACTCGTAGCTCACAGTGTCACACCATGCACTCAACTCAGAAGCTGGGTGACGAAACCATATCCTTCCAGTCTACAAATGGAGCAAAAATGCAACGGCCACCGCCTGGCAGAACTGCCACGGCTAAAAAAAAAAAATAAAAAAAAAAAAAAAAAAAAAAAAAAAAAAAAAAAGTGGCCGTGCCTAGCGTCCACTGTGACTTATATCTCAGTGTAGGCATGTGAGTGATATATGTCTCACAATCACATTAAAGTCATGTATCAATGCACAGCATGGTTCAAGACACAAGAAATTACAGTATTTCAGAAGGAATGAACAAGAAATATTGTTCTTCCTCTTCTTCTTTAGTGTTCACCTGTGAAATGCTGGTTGGCACAATATATTGTGGTTTACAGCTAGGCTATGATAACTGTGGCCCTAAATATCTGATTAAACATGTACCTCATTAGTCGCATTTTGCAACATGCTTCTTAAGGGGCAGTGCACCTATTTGCTCACCCCCCCCCCCCCCCCCCCCCCACCTCCAATATGGGCTGCATTAGCTATGGCTTTTAATTTTGATGTTGATTAGAGTGTCCTCCTATTTCTACATTTATCTTCAGCTTCACTGACTGCCCGTTATTACCTGTAAAATTATTTATCTTGCTTTTGCAATGGCCTCAAGGCTCTCCCAATAACAGATTCATCACTATGCTGAGCTGCTCACGTGCCACAGAAGACCCACAGTCTATGCCCCCATTTTGTTCTATCCTGCAGAAACCTTTTTTATATCATGGGTGAAATCCAATCCAGCTCCTCTCTTCTAGGTTCATCGTACTTTTTAGGGGACCTTGTTAATGATCAACTGACCAAAAAACTTTAAAGATTACACCTGTTTTGTTACCATAATTATGGTTTCTGGTCTAGCCCTAAATGCCTAAAGGAGCAAAAACAGGTCCCTTCCTTAATTTCTTTTTTTCATTTGATAAACAAGAGCAGATCACTCAACCCTGGCATCCCACAAAGTAGGTGGGTCACCTGGGGGCGACCTAAGCCCAGAAACATTCTTCCAGAAGTCTTGTCTAGGAGCCAGGCTCGTTATTTTCCTTACTCATTAGTTTAAGGCATAAGTGAACCAAATATTGTTGTGACTCCGCTCCTTTTTAATTTACTGAGGAATTATGGGTTAAATAAATTGCATACTGCATGTTTCTGTCTTAGTAAAAACATAGATTTGTAGTTTTCTATTCAGTTAAAACAATTCTTTGCTCTAGATAATACAGTAACATATTCTTATACAAACTAAATTGCACAACTATGTAAGCAGACACATTTAAAGAATGTAACCGAATAATATATTTTTTAACCTATAAGGGACATAATTTCTCTAAATGAGTTAACTATAGAAAGACAAAAGAGTTTCTAGTCATGCAAAAAGAGGTAATGGGAAGGCTGCTACACTGATATCAACAACACCTGGGTGTAGAGGAGACACCAAACAAAAAGTGACTATAACAATCTATAATATGTGACACACCTGCCCACCAGATCAATAATGTGTATTAAATAACAGCCATGGGTTGACAGGATCCTATAGTTTGTTCATAGACAGATGTTGACTGCACATGGCTAGATTACAGAAAAACAAACTAACATAAAATGAAGTGCTAGTATAGCTAAAATACTAAACATGGATAGATACTAGCTACACAGAGCTCAATCAATCAATCAATCAGAGACACTAAACATAGATAGTACCTACACAGAGCTCAATCAATCAATCAATCAATCAGAGACACTAAACATAGATACTAGCTACACAGAGCTCAATCAATCAATCAGAGACACTAAACATAGATACTAGCTACACAGAGCTCAATCAATCAATCAGAGACACTAAACATAGATAGTACCTACACAGAGCTCAATCAATCAGAGACACTAAACGTAGATACTAGCTACATAGAGCTCAATTATTCAATTAATCAGCAGGTCAGTGACAGATTGTTGCTCTCATCACAACATATATGAGAGTCTTTATTATTCTTTACTTTGCTTTTTTGACTGCCAAAATTAATTCTTCTGAGCTCTGAACACAGTTGGGAAAAGAGAACTAGAGAACAGGACAACAGTATAATAAATAATGAAGTACTAGTTGTAACCCACAGAGATATAGCTGTGCCATTAAATATAGACAGATATGATCTACATAGGGCTAGAGTACAGGACAACAGTATAAGAAATAATGAAGTGCTAGTTGTAACCCACAGAGATATAGCTGTGCCATTAAATATAGACAGATATGATCTACATAGGGCTAGGGTACAGGAAAGCAGACTAACAAACAGTGGCAGTTGCAACCTCCTTTGTAACCCACATGGGTACACCTATCACACTTAACAGTCTCACTATCTAGACTCGCTCAATTCTGGTGTAACAAGAGCATTTCCTTGGCAAGTTGGTTACCCCATTTGTCTTGCATTTCATGGCTGCAGGTTTGGTTCTAGGCTCCATACTTGGGTTAGCAAATGTAGGAGTCCTGAAGATCCAAGTGGGTCACTACAGGTCTAGCCCTATATGGCCAAAATGCCTGGAAGTGCAGAAAAAGGTCCTTTACTTTTACTTTATAGCTTGAGCTAGAGTAGTGAGTTTTGTGCGATGAGCTTGGTAGGTAAACAGTTGCTCTGTGGAGACAGACTGGGCCATTTGGAACCTAAGTCTTCTGCAATGAAATCGATCATCTGGTCTTTATGGTACAATAAAATCTCAGAAGGGTCAGAAATGACCAAGGGGTAGGATGATAACGAAAAGACGCCAAAGAAGATACACTACAACATTACCATTATTCAAGATCGCAACCCAATGTATCATTAAAAGATTCCCCCGTGTGGGTTCCGGGTCCCATTGTGGGGAAAACAAGAATAGACCCACTGCCTCCCCAAAAGCATGTCGTAAGAGTCGACTAATTGGGGAGCTTCCTTTGAAGTCGGAGTGCATCTGCCGGAGAGGCAAGGAACCAACAGTCTGTATTCAAGAGAATGAGATCTGTAAAACTGATGCACACGCAACACTCAGGTTCTGGAGCAGGACTGCAGTTCAGTAGTGGACGAGCAACCAGAACCTTCCGCCAGAGTTTACAGCTGGTGAACGCGAAGAAGAAGAAGAAGATTAAAAGATTCTTCCCCCTCCCCACCAAATGTATCTAAACAGGATTATTTCACAGCTTTTTAACTTTACCTTCAAGGTATCTACACCGGCGGACACAGCACTTCGAAGAAGTCCGGGCACCACCCCCAGCCTGTCCGAGTTGCCAAGCAATGGGTGTAACAGTGTTATCAGCTGAGACTTCTGCCATGATTTCAGAAATGGCAAGGCATTGTCTGTGTTTTCACCTCCCAAATTGTCCAGAATGTAGTCGAATCTAGGACACAATTTTACAACTGGTCAAAACACTAACCCCCCTTCACAAGTAATCTACATAATTCACAAAAACAACATCAACAACAACTACTTCTGACAGTTCTACTGACATTACTGCTAATAATATCCACTAAGTGTTGTTGAATGTTGAAAACAGCTTCATGACTATATCAGAACTACTATCATTACTACTACTACCACTACTACTACTACCACCACGATCATCAATACTTCTAACTATTACTAATACACCTAATATCATTATTAAAATTACAAAAATGCCAATACATCTACAAATGTCACTACTATTACACTTTTACTATTACTACAACTAATAAAAATAGGGCAGCGACTACATACAAGGTCCAACAATTAAATAATGAGATTTTATTTTGGCCAAGAAACAAATGTCATCTGTAAAGTAAAGCATGGAATCTAAAATGGCAACATTCATCTATTATCTGGCAACTTTTCACCGCCCCTCGATAAGCAGATAACAAACAAGCGGTCATTTTGTTGACCAAGTCACAGTTGCATTGTTACGTAATCAGCACGGATCAAAAAGATAACATTAAATCTTTTGGAAACTCAGAAAAAGTGCCATTGAAACAGCTGAATTGATGCAACAAGTTTATGGGGGATAATTGTTTATCTCGTGCACACATTTTCAGGTTGTTTTCATAATTCAAAAGTTGTGTGGAAATGATTAATAATGCACCTAAACCTGGATGCCAAATTTCTGTTCGTAATGATGAACTCATTGCAAAAGTCAAAGAACGGATACAAGAAAATCATTGTTTTACTGTGAGGATGATAGCAGATGATCTGGTGTTAATAAGAGACCATGCATAACATTTTTGTACACGATTTTGGCAAGAAAAATTGCTTGCCGGTCTCTACCACATTCGTTGTTTGATGACCAAAAACATCAGTGGGTTGAGTACCCAAGAGACAACATTAAAACAAGAATTTTTGGTCCAAAAACAAGTATGTGTTCTCAGCCTTCCACCCTGTTCCCCAGATTTGTCTCTCTGTGATTATTTTCTATTCCCAAAATTAAAATTACGATTGAAAGAATACTTCTTTAACGATACTGATGACATCCAAAGGGCTGTAACATTGACTTTAAGGGCCATAACAACAGAAGAACTACAGAGGTCATTCCAGTGTTTGTTAGATCGTGATACCTGTTGTATCAATGCACAAGGGGCTTACTTTGAATAAAATACAGGTTAGATCTTCAAATGTTGATTATTTTAATTTTTATGGAATTAGTCTCAATATTTTATTGTCAGACCTTGTATACTACTTACTTCTATTCTATTATTGCAGCTGCTGATACTACTAATAGTTTCTCCTCTTATTCTGTTCATATATATGATCGTCATCCCCTTGTGGTAGCAATTTTTTATTATTTTGAAGCCCCACCTTGGCTCTTGCCAGGAGCCGTAACATAACCCAGCAATAAATATGGCCTAATGGCTGAATGCGGCGACCTCTCCACGGGTGATCCTCATCCGTATGGTGGCACTTTGTGTCACTGGGTGTTTATCGCTTGTGTGATGTCCTAGTGGGGTAAAATGTACTACTACTACTAATTCTGTTCATTGTGATTTTCATTGTGATTTTCAGTCAGCCATATTAATCCCTCTAGCTGGCATTACATTTTAAGTATATTTTCTCACTTAGGTCTTATTTCTGATAAATGATATTAAACATTTACATTCTATTCAGGTAACAATCCCTCATCTGTCACTCATCTAACCAATTCTCATCATCCAACCACTTCTCATTATCCAAACATTTCTCATCATCCAACCACTTCTCATTATCCAAACATTTCTCATCATCCAACCACTTCTTTTCATCCAAATATTTCTCCTCATCTAACCACTTCTCATCTCATCATCTATTGCTCATCCCACCTACCAACCTCTCACAGCTTTACAGCTGATAATGCAAATCCACTTGTCTTACATTTAACACAAAGATAAAGACTACTTACTTCTGTACCCTACTTAACTCCTTCCAGACATTCTTTGTCTTGTAATCAATGACGTCTGCCCCTAGACCTTTGACCAGGTCAACAGCATCTGTGCCACATGTGGCTGTCACGTGCATGCCCCAGGCTTTAGCCAGCTGATAAATATAAGTGAAGTCATAAATTTTATGTCATCAATGTTAACATCTTGCTGGTGAGGACAAGACAACCTCATCAATGTCAACGTTTTTCAGGTGGGGACATAGCAACCTCATCAATGGCAACGTCTTACGGGTGGGGACATGGCAACCTCATCAATGGCAACGTTTTTCAGGTGGGGACATGACAACCTCATCAATGGCAACATCTTACAGATAGGGACATGGCAACCTCATCAATGACAACGTCTTACAGGTGGGGATATGGCAACCTCATCAATGGCAACATCTTACAGGTGGGGACATGGCAACCTCATCAATGGCAACATCTTACAGGTGGGGACATGGCAACCTCATCAATGACAATGTCTTACAGGTGGGGACATGGCAACCTCATCAATGGCAACATCTTACAGGTGAGGACATGGCTACCTCATCAATGGCAACATCTTGCTCATGGGGACATGACAACCTCATCAATGGCAACATCTTACAGGTGGGGACATGGCTACCTCATCAATGGCAACATCTTGCTCATGGGAAAATGACAACCTCATCAATGGCAACATCTTACAGGTGGGGACATGGCAACCTCATCAATGGCAACATCTTACAGGTGGGGACATGGCAACCTCATCAATGGCAACATCTTACAGGTGGGGACATGGCAACCTCATCAATGGCAACATCTTACAGGTGGGGACATGGCAACCTCATCAATGGCAACGTCTTACAGGTGGGGACATGGCAACCTCATGAATGGCAACGTCTTACAGGTGGGGACATGGCAACCACATCAATGGCAATGTCTTACAGGTGGGGACATAGCTACCTCATCAATGACAACATCTTACAGGTGGGGACATGGCAACCTCAACAATGACAATGTCTTACAGGTGGGGACATGGCAACCTCATCAATGGCAACATCTTACAGGTGGGGACATGGAAACCTCATCAATGGCAACATCTTACAGGTGGGGACATGGCAACCTCATCAATGACAACGTCTTACAGGTGGGGACATGGCAACCTCATCAATGGCAACATCTTACAAGTGGGGACAAGGCAACCTGATCAATGACAACCTGATCAATGACAACGTCTTACAGGTGGGGACATGGCAATCTCATCAATGACAACGTCTTACAGGTGGGGACATGGCAACCTGATCAATGACAACCTGATCAATGACAACGTCTTACAGGTGGGGACATGGCTACCTCATCAATGACAACGTCTTACAGGTGGGGACATGGCAACCTCATGAATGGCAACGTCTTACAGGTGGGGACATGGCAACCTGATCAATGACAACCTGATCAATGACAACGTCTTAACCGTGGGGACATGGCTACCTCATCAATGACAACGTCTTACAGGTGGGGACATGGCAACCTCATGAATGGCAACGTCTTACAGGTGGGGACATGGCAACCACATCAATGGCAACATCTTACAGGTGGGGACATGGCAACCTCATCAATGGCAATGTCTTACATGTGGGGACATGGCAACCTCATCAATGGCAACATCTTACAGGTGGGGACATAGCAACCTCATCAATGGCAACATCTTACAGGTGGGGACATGGCAACCTCATCAAAGACAATGTCTTACAGGTGGGGACATGGCATCTTCATCAATGGCAACATCTTACAGGTGGGGACATGGTAACCTCATCAATGGCAACATCTTACAGGTGGGGACATGGCAACCTTATCAATGGCAACATCTTACAGGTGGGGACATGGCAACCTGATAAATGACAACCTGATCAATGACGTCTTACAGGTGGGGACATGGCAACCACATCAATGGCAACATCTTACATGTGGGAACATGGCAACCTCATCAATGGCAACATCTTACAGGTGGGGACATGGCAACCTCATCAATGGCAACATCTTACAGGTGGGGACATGTCAACCTCATCAATGACAATGTCTTACAGGTGGGGACATGGCAACCTCATCAATGGCAACATCTTACAGGTGGGGACATGGCAACCTCATCAATGGCAACATCTTACAGGTGGGGACATGGCAACCTCATCAATGGCAACATCTTGCTCATGGGGACATGACCTCATCAAAGGCAACATCTTACTGTTGAGGACATGGCAACCTCATCAATGGCAATATCTTACTGTTGAGGACATGACAACCTCATCAAAGGCAACATCTTACTGTTGAGAACATGGCAACCTCATCAATGACAATGTCTTACAGGTGGGGACATGGCAACCTCATCAATGGCAACATCTTACAGGTGGGGACATGGCAACCTCATCAATGGCAATGTCTTACATGTGGGGACATGGCAACCTCATCAATGGCAATGTCTTACAGGTGGGGACATGGCAACCTCATCAATGGCAACATCTTACAGGTGGGGACATGGCAACCTCATCAATGGCAATGTCTTACAGGTGGGGACATGGCAACCTCATCAATGGCAATGTCTTACAGGTGGGGACATGGCAACCTCATCAATGGCAATATCTTACTGTTGAGGACATGGCAACCTCATCAATGGCAATATCTTACTGTTGAGGACAAGATAACCTCATCAATGGCAATAAACTGCTGCAGAACCCACCACCACAGGTAACTATATGTGTGTTAACACAGGCTTTCTGCAAGGATACTTAGAGAAGAAACAGCAGACTGCTAAGAGATGTAGACAATAGTGTACACACTAGACAACAGACAGATGTATATGTTAGAGGATACACTAGACAACAGAAAGATGTATATGTTAGAGGATACACTAGACAACAGAAAGATGTATATGTTAGAGGATACACTAGACAACAGAAAGATGTATATGTTAGAGGATACACTAGACAACAGAAAGATGTATATGTTAGAGGATACACTAGACAACAGAAAGATGTATATGTTAGAGGATACACTAGACAACAGAAAGATGTATTTGTTAGAGAATACACTAGACAACAGAAAGATGTATATGTTAGAGGATACACTAGACAACAGAAAGATGTATATGTTAGAGGATATACTAGACAACAGAAAGATGTATATGTTAGAGGTTATACTAGACAACAGAAAGATGTATATGTTAGAGGATATACTAGACAACAGAAAGATGTATATGTTAGAGGATATACTAGACAACAGAAAGATGTATATGTTAGAGGATATACTAGACAACAGAAAGATGTATATGTTAGAGGATACACTAGACAACAGAAAGATGTATATGTTAGAGGATATACTAGACAACAGAAAGATGTATATGTCAGAGGATATACTAGACAACAGAAAGATGTATATGTTAGAGGATACACTAGACAACAGAAAGATGTATATGTTAGAGGATATACTAGACAACAGAAAGATGTATATGTTAGAGGATACACTAGACAACAGAAAGATGTATATGTCAGAGGATATACTAGACAACAGAAAGATGTATATGTTAGAGGATACACTAGACAACAGAAAGATGTATATGTTAGAGGATATACTAGACAACAGAAAGATGTATATGTTAGAGGATATACTAGACAACAGAAAGATGTTTATGTTAGAGGATACACTAGACAACAGAAAGATGTATATGTTAGAGGATACACTAGACAACAGAAAGATGTATATGTTAGATGATATACTAGACAACAGAAAGATGTATATGTTAGAGGATATACTAGACAACAGAAAGATGTATATGTTAGAGGATATACTAGACAACAGAAAGATGTATATGTTAGAGGATATACTAGACAACAGAAAGATGTATATGTTATAGGATATACTAGACAACAGAAAGATGTATATGTTAGAGGATATACTAGACAACAGAAAGATGTATATGTTATAGGATATACTAGACAACAGAAAGATGTATATGTCAGAGGATATACTAGACAACAGAAAGATGTATATGTTAGAGGATATACTAGACAACAGAAAGATGTATATGTTAGAGGGTATACTAGACAACAGAAAGATGTATATGTTAGAGGATATACTAGACAACAGAAAGATGTATATGTTAGAGGATATACTAGACAACAGAAAGATGTATATGTTAGAGGATACACTAGACAACAGAAAGATGTATATGTTAGAGGATACACTAGACAACAGAAAGATGTATATGTTAGAGGATATACTAGACAACAGAAAGATGTATATGTTAGAGGATATACTAGACAACAGAAAGATGTATATGTTAGAGGATATACTAGACAACAGAAATAAGTATATGTTAGAGGATATACTAGACAACAGAAAGATGTATATGTTAGAGGATACACTAGACAACAGAAAGATGTATATGTTAGAGGATACACTAGACAACAGAAAGATGTATATGTTAGAGGATATACTAGACAACAGAAATAAGTATATGTTAGAGGATATACTAGACAACAGAAAGATGTATATGTTAGAGGATACACTAGATAACAGAAAGATGTATATGTTAGAGGACACAGACAAAAGAAAGATGTATATGTTAGAGGATATACTTAACAACAGAAAGATGTATATGTTAGAGGACACATAAGACCTTTCTCTGAGGGATGATTGTTTCTAATGTCTGAATATTTTCTGATCATCTACCTATTTCTGGCAGCCATGCTAACATAGCGGCCAGACCACAGCTTTTAAAACTGTGTATCACAGCACATGAGTATGTTGGCTGCAGTCTGAAGGTGTGCCGTGCAAACATAAAGCAATAAACAATTAATGAATGTGTCCATATTTCTTATAAGGGGTTGGTTTAACCTCAGGTTTGCTACAGTACACTGAATTTCCCACGTCATGAAATTATTTTTGTGATAAAAAATCTGGAAAGCTCTGGGCTAGAATCTTGTCAGACGGCCAAAAGGTCATCATGGATTAAAATCTCCACTGTGCCAGACTGTTTTTTAGTTTTTAAATTGACATTTGTTACCACACTGACCCAGCCTGAAATGGCTACTTGGTAATGCCATGGGAAGTAAAGGCAGCAGGCGTGATACTGACCACATCATCCACAGAGAGCCGATTGGTCCATACATATATGAGTCTAGTATTCTTTGTCTGATGTGCCACTGACGTACTAGGAATCCTTGGATTCATTATTTCATTTGACCTACTTCTGACATGTGCCACCATTAAATATGTGCGCCCTTTCTTACCAATTATTGGTGCTGCAGTCTCACATCTTCAGATTAGAAAATAATACAACTACTTCATGGAATATTCAATGATGTCACCTAGACAAAAACAAAACACTTTTTTTAAAGAAATTTAGTTGCAGATTCTTTACATGACACTGCAGAAACAAACTGCATTTGTGTCCTTTTAGCAGGCCAATTTATGTTTAGTAGTTAACTATTGCTTGCTGAACTGTGGATGGGCACTTGATTTCATTATCGACATCAATGCGAAGTGGTCTGCAGCATAACTGCCCGCAGGTATAATCAAACTGGGCATTTCAGAATTATGAAGTATGTTCACAATGCCTAAACCACAGACAGCAGTTCCCAACAACAACCAAATTTAGAAAAAAAAACTATTTAAAAAAACAACTAAACATTCTCTAAATAAAATAAATAAAACAGACACAGACAGAAGACAAAACCTACTTGAATAGCAAATGTCCCAATGCCACCAGACCCACCAAGAATTAGGATTCTAGGGAAACAAGAGCGTTAATAGAAATGTCATCAATGTGGGGTAACCGTTTACAGGAATATCATCAATATTTCTACAACATAATAACAATGAAACAACACACTACACACTGTGCATGTAGCCATATATCATCATCATCTTCTTCTTCTTGTTCTTCTTCATGTTCAACAGCTGTGTAAACTCTGGCAGAAAGTTCAGGTTGTTCATCCACTTCTGGAGTTGAGTCTTGTTCCAGAACCTGAGTTTTGCATGCCCATCAATTTTACAGATCTGGTTTACGTGTATGCAGACTGTTGGTTCTTGCCCCTCAGGGAGATGATAAAAGCAAAGAGGAGTTTGTAAAGAATGAAAGAAATCTGTAACCAGAATCCTGCCTCTCCCTCGACACACACACAATCCTGTCTCTACCTCAACACACACACAATCCTGTCTCTCCCTCGACACGCACACAATTCTGTCTCTCCTTCAACACCCAAAGTAGAAAAAGAATAGAAGAAGATGAAGGTAATACCATACAAATATTCATTACTTGGTAACTGCAAAAAAAAAAAAAAAAAAAAAAAAAAAATTTTTTTTTTTTTTAATTTTTACAGCACTAACAATTTTATTACTTTACAGTACTAACAATTTTGTTACTTTACAGCACTAACAATTCTGTTACTTCACAGCACTAATAATTTTAGTACTTTACAGCACTAACAATTTTATTACTTCACAGCACTAGCAATTTTATTACTTCACAGCACTAACAATTTTATTACTTCACAGCACTAACTATTCTGTTACTTCACAGCACTAAAAATTCTGTTACTTTACAGCACTAACAATTCTGTTAACTTTACAGCACTAATAATTCTGTTACTTCACAGCACTAACAATTCTGTTAACTTCACAGCACTAACAATTCTGTTACTTCACAGCACTAACAAATGTGTTACTTTACAGCACTAACAATTTTGTTACTTTACAGCACTAACAATTTTGTTACTTTACAGCACTAACAATTTTATTACTTTACAGCACTAACAATTTTATTACTTCACAGCACTAGCGATTTTGTTACTTCATAGCACTAACAATTCTGTTACTTTAGAGCACTAACAATTTTGTTACTTTACAGCACTAACAATTCTGTTACTTCACAGCACTAATAATTTTTTTACTTTACAGCACTAACAATTTTGTTACTTTACAGCACTAACAATTTTATTACTTTACAGCACTAACAATTTTGTTACTTTACAGCACTAACAATTCTGTTACTTCACAGCACTAATAATTTTATTACTTTACAGCACTAACAATTTTATTACTTCACAGCACTAGCAATTTTGTTACTTCACAGCACTACAATTCTGTTACTTTAGAGCACTAACAATTCTGTTACTTTACAGAACTAACAATTCTGTTTCTTCACAGCACTAACAATTTTGTTACTTCACAGCACTAACAATTTTATTACTTGACAGCATTAACAATTCTGTTAACTTCACAGCACTAACAATTTTGTTACTTTACAGCACTAACAATTCTGTTACTTTACAGCACTAACAATTTTATTACTTCACAGCACTAACGATTCTGTAAACTTCACAGCATTAACAATTCTGTTAACTTCACAGCACTAACAGTTTTGTTACTTTACAGTACTAACAATTCTGTTACTTTACAGCACTAACAATTTTATTACTTCACAGCACTAACAATTCTGTTACTTCACAGCGCTAACAATTTTATTACTTCACAGCACTAACAATTTTGTTACTTCAAAGCACTAACAATTCTGTAAACTTCACAGCATTAACAATTCTGTTAACTTCACAGCACTAACAATTTTGTTACTTTACAGCACTAACAATTTTATTACTTTACAGCACTAACAATTTTATTACTTCACAGCCCTAGCAATTTTATTACTTCACAGCACTAACAATTTTATTACTTCACAGCACTAAGAATTTTGTTACTTCACAGCACTAACAATTCTGTAAACTTCACAGCATTAACAATTTTGTTACTTTACAGCACTAACAATTCTGTAAACTTCACAGCATTAACAATTTTGTTACTTTACAGCACTAACAATTCTGTTACTTTACAGCACTAACAATTTTATTACTTAACAGCACTAACAATTCTGTTACTTCACAGCGCTAACAATTTTATTACTTCACAGCACTAACAATTCTGTTACTTCACAGCACTAACAATTTTATTACTTCACAGCACTAACAATTTTGTTACTTTACAGCACTAACAATTCTGTTACTTCACAGCACTAATAATTTTATTACTTTACAGCAATAACAATTTTATTACTTCACAGCACTAGCAATTTTATTACTTCACAGCACTAACAATTTTATTACTTCACAGCACTAACTGTTCTGTTACTTCACAGCACTAAAAATTATGTTACTTTACAGCACTAACAATTCTGTTACTTCACAGCACTAATAATTTTATTACTTTACAGCACTAACAATTTTATTACTTCACAGCACTAGCAATGTTGTTACTTCACAGCACTAACAATTCTGTTACTTTATAGCACTAACAATTCTGTTACTTTACAGCGCTAACAATTCTGTTACTTTACAGCACTAATAATTTTATTACTTTACAGGACTAACAATTTTATTACTTCACAGCACTAGCAAGTTTGTTACTTCACAGCACTAATAATTTTATTACTTTACAGCACTAACAATTTTATTACTTCACAGCACTAGCAATTTTGTTACTTCACAGCACTAACAATTCTGTTACTTTAGAGCACTAACAATTCTGTTACTTTACAGCGCTAACAATTCTGTTACTTTACAGCACTAACAATTCTGTTACTTTACAACACTAACAATTCTGTTACTTCACAGCACTAACAATTCTGTTTCTTCACAGCACTAACAATTTTGTTACTTCACAGCCCTAACAATTTTATTACTTTACAGCATTAACAATTCTGTTAACTTCACAGCACTAACAATTTTGTTACTTTACAGCACTAATAATTCTGTTACTTTACAGCACTAACAATTTTATTACTTCACAGCACTAACAATTCTGTTACTTCAAAGCACTAACAATTTTGTTACTTCACAGCACTATCAATTTTGTTACTTCACAGCCCTAACAATTTTATTACTTCACAGCACTAACAATTTCATTACTTCACAGCACTAACAATTCTGTTACTTCACAGCACTAACAATTTTTTTACTTCACAGCACTAACAATTTTATTACTTCACAGCACTAACAATTCTGTTACTTCACAGCACTAACAATTTTGTTACTTCACAGCACTAACAATTCTGTAAACATCACAGCATTAATAATTCTGTTAACTTCACAGCACTAACAATTTTGTTACTTTACAGCACTAACAATTCTGTTACTTTACAGCACTAACAATTCCGTTATTTTACAGCGCTAACAATTCTGTTACTTTACAGCACTAAAAATTCTGTTACTTTACAGCACTAACAATTCTGTTACTTACTTATCTATGAATGTGTACAACTAACAATACAATAAATTCTAAATATAATTAAATTTTTCTTTAAAGTAAAAACCTGGCTGAGGACAGTGAATGTGTTTTACAATGTCATGATCCTTGAGTACTAGGGCTCAACTGCCATGGTGTATATGATTTATTTTTAAAAAAAAAAACTTCTCATGGATTTTGGATAGTAATACAAGAGTTGCACCGTGGAAGAGAGTGGGGCTTCACCATGTATTATTACCAAGAAAGGTCAAGGGCAAGACAGCAAAAGATAGACAGTGTTACAAGTGAGGGGACAACATCAAGAGATGGACCAACAGAAGTCTGGGAGAGTGTACAACCAAGGCAAGAGACTAAGCGTGTTGGAGATTAGTTTCAGCCGACCTTCACTGTCAAGACAGCACCTCATTGAATTGAACCAAGGTTAGTTAGTTGTGTATCCTTTACAGGACATTGTAGAACCAACCTCAACAGCCCCTGGCTGTTGTGTGGTTTTTCTAGGCAAATTTACATCCAGTAGTTTGCCATTGCCTTTGAATTGAACCAAACAAGAAAGAAATTAAAAAGTCACACTGTCACAACATTGTCATGTCAGGTAATGTTATTTGTTACAGAACAATTCTGAGAACGTCTTGCAGAGACAAGAAAACAAACAATGACACACTGGCAGTGGTGACATTACTAAATTACACTTTATAAGCAGACTAACATTAGCAACATCAACAGGAATAATCACTGTGTGGGTTCCCAGGCCCTATTGTTGGGGGGAGGGGAGAGGGGGTTGGATGACCAACTGTCTCCCTAAAAAAGTGCGTAATAAAAGACAATTAATTAAGAATTTTTCCTCTGAAGCCACAGTGCATCTGCCTGATAAGCAAGTGACTAACAGTCTGCATAGAGGAAGCCAGATCTGTAAAATGGATGTGCATGCAGAATTCAAGATCTATATCAAGACAGCAGTCCGAGAAGTGATGAACAACCATAATTTTCTACTGCAGTCTATAGCCAGTGAAAGCAAAGAAGAATAAGAAGAAGAAGAACATGAGTTAAACAAATCATATTAGAGACAGAACTGCAGTCATGATCACTGGTGTCTGTACCAGGCCAGGCACATGAAGAAGTAAGGATGTGACATAAATTCACAAAACCTGACATTTCTGTCTTGCACGAATAAACGAGTATATTTTTATCACGTGCTCTATACCTTTTTGAAGGGGCCTTGCTCTCAGTGAGTTCACCAATCGTGCACAGTGCCGCCCACGTGGTAGCGATCACATATGGCAAGGAGGCAGCTTCAACATGTGAAATATTTGCAGGTTTCTTTTGAAATCTAGAAGAATCCAAAGAATGAAATGTATTTAAAATTATACATGAGTAACAACTGGAACAGGCATGGATGGTGAGTTAACTGAGTAAGAGCTCACTCAGCAGCTTTGCCACTTATCAACACAGCTGAAAACATCAACAATCTACACTTCAGGGACCACATGCCACTAATCAACACAGCTGAAAACATCAACAATCTACACTTCAGTGACCACATGCCACTAATCAACACAGCTGAAAACATCAACAATCTACACATCAGGGACCACATGCCACTAATCAACACAGCTGAAAACATCAACAATCTACACATCAGGGACCACATGCCACTAATCAACACAGCTGAAAACATCAACAATCTACACTTCAGTGACCACATGCCACTAATCAACACAGCTGAAAACATCAACAATCTACACTTAAGTGACCACATGCCACTAATCAACACAGCTGAAAACATCAACAATCTACACTTCAGTGACCACATGCCACTAATCAACACAGCTGAAAACATCAACAATCTACACATCAGGGACCACATGCCACTAATCAACACAGCTGAAAACATCAACAATCTACACTTCAGTGACCACATGCCACTAATCAACACAGCTGAAAACATCAACAATCTACACTTCAGTGACCACATGCCACTAATCAACACAGCTGAAAACATCAACAATCTACACTTCAGTGACCACATGCCACTAATCAACACAGCTGAAAACATCAACAATCTACACATCAGGGACCACATGCCACTAATCAACACAGCTGAAAACATCAACAATCTACACATCAGGGACCACATGCCACTAATCAACACAGCTGAAAACATCAACAATCTACACATCAGGGACCACATGCCACTAATCAACACAGCTGAAAACATCAACAATCTACACTTCAGTGACCACATGCCACTAATCACACAGCTGAAAACATCAACAATCTACACTTCAGTGACCACATGCCACTAATCAACACAGCTGAAAACATCAACAATCTACACTTCAGTGACCACATGCCACTAATCAACACAGCTGAAAACATCAACAATCTACACATCAGGGACCACATGCCACTAATCAACACAGCTGAAAACATCAACAATCTACACTTCAGTGACCACATGCCACTAATCAACACAGCTGAAAACATCAACAATCTACACTTCAGTGACCACATGCCACTAATCAACACAGCTGAAAACATCAACAATCTACACTTCAGTGACCACATGCCACTAATCAACACAGCTGAAAACATCAACAATCTACACATCAGGGACCACATGCCACTAATCAACACAGCTGAAAACATCAACAATCTACACATCAGGGACCACATGCCACTAATCAACACAGCTGAAAACATCAACAATCTACACATCAGGGACCACATGCCACTAATCAACACGGCTGAAAACATCAACAATCTACACTTCAGGGACCACATGCCACTAATCAACACAGCTGAAAACATCAACAATCTACACTTCAGTGACCACATGCCACTAATCAACACAGCTGAAAACATCAACAATCTCCACTTCAGTGACCACATGCCACTAATCAACACAGCTGAAAACATCAACAATCTACACTTCAGGGATCAGATGCCACTAATCAACACAGCTGAAAACATCAACAATCTACACTTCAGTGACCACATGCCACTAATCAACACAGCTGAAAACATCAACAATCTACACTTCAGTGACCACATGCCACTAATCAACACAGCTGAAAACATCAACAATCTACACTTCAGTGACCACATGCCACTAATCAACACAGCTGAAAACATCAACAATCTACACTTCAGTGACCACATGCCACTAATCAACACAGCTGAAAACATCAACAATCTACACTTCAGGGACCACATGCCACTAATCAACACGGCTGAAAACATCAACAATCTACACTTCAGTGACCACATGCCACTAATCAACACGGCTGAAAACATCAACAATCTACACTTCAGTGACCACATGCCACTAATCAACACAGCTGAAAACATCAACAATCTACACATCAGTGACCACATGATACAGACCAACCTCAGTCAAAATGAAGTTTATCTTGACCTCACAGTATCAGTACCAAAATGAAGTTTATTTTGACCTCACAGTATCAGTACCAAAATGAAGTTTATCTTGACCTCACAGTATCAGTATCAAAATGAAGTTTATCTAGACCTCACAGTATCAGTACCAAAATGAAGTTTATCTAGACCTCACAGTATCAGTACCAAAATGAAATTTATCTAGACCTCACAGTATCAGTACCAAAATGAAGGTTATCTGGACCTCACAGTATCAGTACCAAAAAATGAAGGTTTATCCGGAAGGGGACGTGTTGACTAAGGAACTGATTACATCATATTATTATTTAATCCTATCTCTACAGCAGAATGTGCCATGGGAATGGAGTGAGGTGTGTTACATTAAGTTATGCCCCTACCTAAATCATGACCAGCTGTCTGACTTTCGTATGTGTAAGGTTTTTCCCTTCAACAGTGTAGAAATTTGAAATAAAGAACTAACATCATAGCACTAGAGGCATTCCCATAAGTGCTCTATTCCCATCTTCAGCAGCAAGTGCAGAGTTTCAATTCTGATGACACCAGTAACTTTCTGATTTTATATCCATCTTGCCTTTCTCTTGAGTGGCAGCCAGGTCCCCTGGTCTCTCCTGGCAACACCTTTCCCCTTAGGGGGCTGAGTGGTCTTAAGGTATGGCATCCACCTTGAGTGCTGGAGGTCCCGGGTTCAAACCCCAGTAAAGGCTGGGATTTTTCACAAGGACTTTTAGTAATTTCCCCTGGTCTCTGGGTAGTATGACTGGACGCTCATATGTATTCTTGCGCACGTAAAAAATACGTTGCTAGATGGAAATTAAAAAGAGTAGCCAAATTGCGCTGCCCAGGCAAAATTTGTAATTAAAAATATACCCAAAGTATTTTAGGATTCTCGCCGGTGCAACGGAGTTCACGTACTGCGCTGAGTTTCTCAAGACTCAGGCTTGAGTTAGAAGTAGAACGGAGCATTTATGGGTTACGCCCGTGATGCTGGTCAGTTGAATAAACATAAACATAAAACCATTCTTCTGAGACTGTGATGATCTGTTTGTGCTCCTGCACTGTTCACTGACCACACCCCCCCCCCCCCCACGAGCCCTTACAACATCTAGCTTGCCAAGCATTATTTCACCACCAAGTGGTGCAGAAGCAGCCAGTCTTTCCACCTGTTCATTCCCCAACATACTGGCATCACCTGGAGAATATATTCAAAGGATGCTAACTACCTAGGACCTCTGAAGTGACGCTTGGTACTCTGCACAGAGCATACTGTCTCCACCTTTCTCAGCATGCTTTGCAAGTCAAGTTACAATTACGACATGTGCGTACTTCTGGTTTTCTAGCAGTGGAAAGCTGCACTGGCTGCCTCCACCTCCATTCTGAAACTAGCTATTATCTCTTTGTCACAGTAACAGGCTTTATCCACCGTTGGGTTAGATTTTTTTCCAAACATTTACTAGTACATGGCCCTGCTGCCTAATCTTTGCAATTCCCGCTGTAGGATTCGTACCTAGTGCAACACTAGTACTTGATTTCATCCTTGGTCTCATGCCTGTCAAAGAAGGATTGGTCTCTCTACCCAAGAGATCAGGCTCAATATAATTTTTCTAAAGGTTTAAGGAAGTGACAAGCCAGTGCTACAGTGACCGACTCCATCTCCATTCTTATACTAAAGAATATTACTTGACATGCTCAGTGACAACTCTGTGGCTTTCAGTAAGACAAATAAAGATAGTCAAGAATAATGGTGAGAAAGAACTGCTATAAAAATACCTCATTTTGTAAAAGTACAGCATAATTGGCGTGAGTTCCCGGTTTGTCAGCAGCAACAGCTCCCCAAACCTGAAATATACAGGTGAAACATTTGTCTAGCTTTCTGGGCCAAGATACAATGAGTCATCTCCATCGCTCATTCTCCCAAGATACAATCAGTCCTCTTCTCACTTATCCACCATGATAGAATATCTTCATCTACACTTATTCACACAAGATAGAATGAGTTCCCTTACACCCATTTCTTCTAAATTATAATCAATCCTCCTATACTCTTATTCCCCAAGATAAAGTCAGTCCTTTTCTGTCCTTATCCACTAACGTACAATCACCCTCTTCTGTCCTTATCCGCTAACGTACAATCACCCTCTTCTGTCCTTATCCGCTAACATACAATCACCCTCTTCTGTCCTTATCCGCTAACATACAATCACCCTCTTCTGTCCTTATCCGCTAACATACAATCACCCTCTTCTGTTCTTATCCGCTAACGTACAATCACCCTCTTCTGTCCTTATCCGCTAACGTACAATCACCCTCTTCTGCCCTTATCCGCTAACGTACAATCACCCTCTTCTGTCCATATCCGCTAACGTACAATCACCCTCTTCTGCCCTTATCCGCTAACATACAATCACCCTCTTCTGTCCTTATCCGCTAACGTACAATCACCCTCTTCTGCCCTTATCCGCTAACGTACAATCACCCTCTTCTGTCCATATCCGCTAACGTACAATCACCCTCTTCTGCCCTTATCCGCTAACATACAATCACCCTCTTCTGTCCTTATCCGCTAACGTACAATCACCCTCTTCTGTCCTTATCCGCTAACGTACAATCACCCTCTTCTGTTCTTATCCGCTAACGTACAATCACCCTCTTCTGCCCTTATCCGCTAACGTACAATCACCCTCTTCTGCCCTTATCCGCTAACGTACAATCACCCTCTTCTGTTCTTATCCGCTAACGTGCAATCACCCTCTTCTGCCCTTATCCCTAAGGATATAATGAGTCTATTTCTGCTGTTTATCTCCCGAGGTACAATAAGAAAAGTGCCAAAATAGCAAAGCTTTCTGAGAACTGTTTATTAGCCAATCTTCTTTGATGTTCAGATCTTTTAAAATGTCAGTATTTCTTCTCTTCTTTGTTGAAGGTATTCTGAGAATCTTTCTATAGAATTTCAGCTCAAAAGCCCCTATTTTCTTTCTTAAGGACTGGGAGATAGTCCACGACTCACATCTGTTTGTTGCTACTGGGAAGATGCATGTTCTCAAAATTTTTAGTTTGATTTCCTTGCTGGTGCTTTATCACAGACTTGTAATGCTTTTTTAGTTTCTTTTTTTTTTTTTTTCATCTAACAGTTTTTCCAGGAAAACAGCCGAATGCCCACTGTTTGTAATTTCCAACTGCCTTCAGATAATTAACATGGTCAACTAGTGTACAGGACTTCCTTGTTTACATTATCTGATAAAACTAGGTATCAAACCTTATTACCCGAGTGATCAGAGGGATGTATTTAATAATTAACAACAAGAGGTTGTTGTAAATATTCCAATCTCTGAGCTACCGTAAATCCAAAAACATTTCCGTTAGACTATACTGAAGGTTTACCCACATGATTCACAATTACAAATTGACAAAACATCACAATAAACATTAGGGCAGACTGACATAACATCATCGGGATCACTAACCTCATCCCCAACTTTAAAACTGTTGACTGCTTTGCCAGTTTCAACAACAGTTCCAGAGAAATCTCTACCCAGAATCAGCGGAAACTCAGATCCAGAGGTCACCAGCCCTCGTCGTTTCCTCATTATGTTAATGATGTTTCTTCCATAGCCATCTGTCTGGGTCAGAATAAAGATATCCTTGTTACTGGGGAGACTGGTATTGTCACAAGGAATACAGACTAATGAAATATTATAGTTGTTACAAGGAATACAGACTAATGAAATACTACAGTTGTTGCAAGGAATACAGACTAATGAAATATTATAGTTGTTACAAGGAATACAGACTAATGAAATATTATAGTTGTTGCAAGGAATACAGACTAATGAAATACTACAGTTGTTGCAAGGAATACAGACTAATGAAATACTATAGTTGTTACAAGGAATACAGACTAATGAAATTCTACAGTTGTTGCAAGGAATACAGACTAATGAAATATTATAGTTGTTGCAAGGAATACAGACTAATGAAATACTACAGTTGTTGCAAGGAATACAGACTAATGAAATACTACAGTTGTTGCAAGGAATACAGACTAATGAAATACTACAGTTGTTGCAAGGAATACAGACTAATGAAATACTACAAATGTTGCAAGGAATACAGACTAATGAAATATTATAGTTGTTGCAAGGAATACAGACTTATAAAATACTATTTTTGTCACAAGGAATACAGACTAATGAAATACTGTAAATCGGCCACTATGGCAAACATGGCAAGCTAAGAACATGGGAACCAGACCTTGGGGACGACCCAGGGTGCGCTGGGAAGACAACATCCGACAGTCATTAACTGACAGAGGACTGGAATGGAACAAAGCCAGAAAGAATTCTGCTGATAGAGACGTCTGGCGATCTCTCTGGCAAACCTCTACACCCCATGGTAGAAAAGGAGCTACTTAGTAAGTAAGTATGAAATACTGTGACTGGTGCAAGGCATACAGACTAATGAAATATTATAGTTGTTGCAAGGAATACAGACTTATGAAATATTATAGTTGTTGCAAGGAATACAGACTAATGACATGACTTCTTTTACAATATTGAAACTTTTACGGTTCTATCAGGTCACATATGGGGTTGTCAATAACAGAAAAGTTAGCTTACTTACCTGCTGGCTTGTGGTTATATGTTTGAATCCACACTGAAGTAGATTTTATTAGTTTATCAGGGATCAAGCCAAGTGAAAATGGAAACTGGACAATAGTGTGGCAAGTCAAGGTGGTCGGAATGATACTATCTTCTGTTCCAACCTTTTCTTCTTCTTACCATTCACCGGCTGTAAACTCCAGCAGAAATTTCTGGTTGTTCATCCACTTCTAGACTCTGGTCTTGTTCCAGGACTTCAGTTTTGCATGCACATCTGTTTTACACATCTGATTTATTTTATGCAAACTGATGTTCCTCACCTGTCATACAGATGCACTGTGACTTGGAAGGAAACACCGCTAGTCAGTCGCACTGTAGGACATGCTTGTAAAGGGGGCAGTAGGTATATTTTTTTCTCTCCTAAAAATGGAGCCCCAAAATTCACATATGGAGTTCCAACCTCTGCCAAGACAAAGATTATGGTTTACACGCATGTTCTGGACATGTGGTAGCTTTTGTCAAGGCCACTGACCTCCTGCTAAAAAATTTTCTGACAGATCAAAAAAAAAAAAAAAAAAGAAGAAAGACTGTTAATGCTGATTAGCCCCCAAAAAATGAGTAAATTTGTATTGTCCATATGTGTATAGGTAGGTACATAACAAATGAGTAAACAATAAAACAACAATTACCCAACATTCTGACATCGATTGGATTGACACTTGCTGCATGCACTTTCACAAGCAGCTCATCTGGACTGGTAACTGTCGGTGTGTGAGCTGAAGGATTGAATGTCAGCTGATCGATACCCCCATATGCATTGATTTGCCATGCCTGCATTCTAGCTGCACACCCAGACGATGACTTTCTAAAGAGCAACCTCAGACTGGCTGGGTATCTGACCACTCTCCCAGGGACATCTCCAGCCAGGAGTGGGTGGGGAGAGCCAACATACTTGCACGTGTTACACAGTATTCTATTACTGAGACGAACTGCCATCATTAATTATTTATTTACAATAAACAAAAACTTTCTATATCTGTCGAATGGCGGAGCTGACCTGCTCAGATCGTTAGTGAAACTGTGATGCTGTTCTTACTTAGTTTTTTTTTCAGAAAATGTAGATACATACATGAGTTAAAAAGATCGATTTATTTTGTATTTTTAAAAAAGGGGGTTTAAGACAATTAAAAAAAAAAACTAAATTTTGATTGAAAAGAAAAATAATACTGTGTTGGTATTAACGTATTATACTAATATTATTATTAAGACTCATATTCTACTCGTCTAGTAAATTAACTTTATAGATTAAGATAGCACACGGTGATATTGAATGATTGTATTTGAAAGTTCAGAGGAGTTCAAGGAAACGCCTTCCCTGCAGAAGCAACTTTTCTCATTGACAGAGGTGATGTTTGCATTATTGCAAAAGCAATGTAGGGCTACGATCCGGCAAGCGTGCCCAGGGTCGACAGTATCCCCGACAGCCCTAATCTCTGTGTGCCTGGCACTTGTTATCTCTCTGTCACCTAGAGAACAACTTGTGGACAACTTGTACAACTCTGGCTCTAGGTCAATCTACGTGCGGGTGTTGGCTGGCAGTCGACAGCAGTAACATACTCTTACATTTAATCAATCAATTAGGTGCTGTCTCCACAATGAAGGTTGGCTGCAATGGATCTCCAACAAGCCCTGTCTCTACGACCTAATCTTCTGTATATCCACATCTCTAAAGAATTGATACGATTTTCCATTTGTTTGTTCATTGTCCATGTCTCTGTGCCATACAGTAAGGTTGAGAATACATAACATTTGACAATTCTCATTTTTAATGTATTGCTTATTTCTCTTGATGTCAGTAACTTTTGCATGTTGTTGAAAATGTTTTTGGCCATCCCTATTCTTTTCTTGACTTCTGTTTCACTTCTGCCGTCACATGTTATTACTTGTCCAAGATAAAAGAAATTTTTTAACTTGTTCCAATTTCACACCGTTCACTGTGATATTCAGTTAGCTGATTATTTTCTTTGCTAAATATCATGGTTTTTTGTCTTTTTCAAATTAATATCTAATCAAAATTCTGCATTCCTTCTGTTTACTTGCTCCACTAGGTCTTGAAAATTCTGTGTCGTCAGCATATCTCAGATTGTTTATTATTCTACCATTGATGTGCAGTCCTGGTAATTCTACAATTTCTTTAAAAATGGTTTCTGTACATAAGTTGAAAAGGCTAGGTGACAGCACACATCCTAGTCTTACTCCTCTCTTGATCTCTATCTGGGGTGAGCAGATGTTGTCATATCTCACTGTTGCTTCTTGCTCCCAGTATAAGTTTCTAATAAGTCTGATATCCTTTCCATCTAGTCCTATGTTTTGAAGAGCTGCAATTAGTTTTTCATGTTGCACTCTGTGGAAAGATTTTTTGTAATCTATAAAACATGCATAAATATTTTTCTGAACTTTTATATATTTTTTCAGTCAGCATCTTTTACAAATTGCATATTTCTGTGATAGTATCAATTCCAAAAGTAGATAATGATTTTAACATTTCTGCAGTTATGTTGTCTGGACCTGCAGCTTTTCCCTGCTTCATCTGTTTAATGGCTTTCTCTACTTCAGACTTTAATATGTTTGTCCCCTCTTGAATATTATGGATTGGCGACTCTTACATTAGGATACTCGAACAGAAGATAAACTACTTACCTGTGAAATAAGCTGTGTCTGTAAAGTCACCAACACAAAAAGGGGCATGGTTACGAATACAAGCACTAGAAAGAACGTTGGAATAGGACCGTGTCTGAATTATTTTGATAGGTAACAAGTGAAATGGTTCGACTGTCTAGTGAGAATGCAGCCAGACTAAACTGTAAATGAGACTTCATTAGAACGTCTGGGAGGAAAGTCGGGGGAGGGGTTAGGGGCAAGAAAGATACGGATAAATGGTGAAACTGAAACCCGCAAACAGATGACAGAAACCATCACCCAAACCACTTTGAGTCGCTTGGTGTTTATCGCTCAGTTGGATGTCCTGGTTGGATTCAACATGAATCAATCAATCACTTGTTCCTTTATGTCGGAAGCATTTTTTTCCGGGACCTGTCCCCTCGTGATCCTCATCCGAATTGTGGCACTTTGTGTCACTGGGTGTTTATCGCTCTGTTAAACGTCATCACTTGTTCTTTTGTCCTCGGAGGTCAAAACACATCCACCTGAGAGGCGAGGAACCAACAGTCCGCATACAAATAAGCCAGAACAGTAAAACGGATGTTCACGCAAAATTCAAGTTCTTGAACAAGAAAAGAAGTCTAAAAGTGGACGAACAACCAAAACTTTAGGCTGGAGTTTTTAGCCGGTGAACGCTAAGAAGAAGTAGAAGACTTGTTCGTTCTATCTCTTTCAAAAACTCTTATTGGTTTGGTTTCTGCTTGTCTGCATATCGCATTGTCTGAGTTTTTTCAATGCTTATTTTCATATTATAGTTTTCTCTCTTGGTAGCGACTTAAATTTTCAGAAATAACTTAAAAATACTGCAGTAGATAAACCAATCATCTGGAAATCAATGTAAATTTGGGGTGCAATAATAGACGGACTTCAAGAGTTGATGTGTATTGTATACTGAGTCAGACAAAATCAAAGGTGGGTTTAAAATATCGTTTGATAGATGCGGACTTCAAGAGTTGATGTGTATTGTATACTGAGTCAGACAAAATCAAAGATGGGTTTAAAATATCGTTTGATAGATGCGGACTTCAAGAGTTGATGTGTATTGTATACTGAGTCAGACAAAATCAAAGGTGTGTTTAAAATATCGTTTGATAAATGCGGACTTCAAGAGTTGATGTGTATTGTATACTGAGTCAGACAAAATCAAAGG